ACATGGTTTGAAAGAATTCTCATTGCTAATTACAGAATGTAAGAGAATTCTTTATGAAGAACTGGTTGACAAAAATGGAAATCCCCGTGGCTTAATATATCAGTTAAATCAGTAGCTGTCTTAGGCAAGAGGCTGCTAAAATACATCATAAACCAATAGACTTCACAGTGCAACTATCCCTGTTATTCCTATTTGAAGGACCAAAAGAAGACATTTTTTGTTGTATATTTTAAAACTCTTTTTTTTTTTAATGGGGAAGTGTATTCAACCAACTACTGCTAAGCATGGACAATTGAAATTAATGAACTAAGTCATGTTTCTAACCTCAGTAGGCCTATTCTGAGTAGGACAAACACCACACAGAAAGTCCCATTTCTCATTGGATAGCAGCTAATCAGCATTCTGTTCAACTAATGCTGATGGTAATATACAATTTTTTTACATTCTTGCCATGTTATATGTTATCTTGACCATATTCACATGACCTTTAGCAACTGGCTTAACTGACATCTAAGCCCACAGATGTAATCTTTTTATGGGACCTGAGTGAAATGTGTCACAAAATACGGGGAAATGCATTTCTGCATGATTTACTGCTGAATTAAACCCTCATTGCAATCAGAAGACTTTGTTTACAAAGTACTACCCCCCCACACACAAATGACTTCATCTGTTTTCAAAGCATATAGATTGGATTTTACTAATACTACAAATACAGAAATGGGACCAGCGTCATACAGTGCCTGAGAATGCTGAGCTTGTATATGGGAAATCTCGTTTCAGTCAAATTGCTGCTTATCTATAAAGCAAGTCATTATCTCACAGCCTTGCCCATCTCATGGGGTCGTCGTGAAGCTGAAATACTAGTCTGAGCTCTTTGAAGAATGGGTCATGCACAAAGGAAACTGCTTTAGTATGGCTCAGTATGTTAGATCACTGGTCCATCTAATGCAGTATTCTCTACACTGACTGGCAGCAGCTCTCTAGAGTTTCAGACAAGGGTCCTTCCTATCCCTACCTGGATATGTTCATGTCATGAGTCACTTAGTACCTTTGGGTTCAGATCTGGGGTGGCAGACTGGAGGAATGGGGAGGGGGGATTGAGACAGTAGAGCAAAGCCTTTCTGAAGAAAGCTCTTCCCTGTCAGACAACAATACTGGAACAGGAGCTCTAGCTGCTTCCTACCCTGTGCTGTTGGTGGCTGGAGAGACCTCAGAGCTATGACTTGAGGTGGCTGAACTGGATTTAGCGGGCACAGGTCTAATAAGCACTCCCAGGGTCAGACAATGCCTCTGCTGGTGAGAACAGACGCACTTGCCCCAGCAGTGTGCGTGCCTACAAGCTAGACATTCTCACCAAGCTAATAAAGCTTGCCAAGTGGGCAGGAGAACTTGCTGGGACACCTTCGCTGCTCTCATATGGTTGTGAACTTCATGCCCTGGTCTTGGACTTTGGGATTCTAGCCTGGCTCCTAACTCGGTTAACTCATCCATCCTGTTTGTAGGAGCTTTGGGATTGAGTTAACCCTTTTCTGCTGTTGCACCTGTACTGTACTCCGCTTTAATAAAGGTCTTTCTCTTATTCTGCTGTAATGTCTGGGACAGGAGCCAGGACTTTCAGGGACTGAACTGAACCCCAGGCAAGCAAAGAATGAGCTCTGCCACTGAGCTAGGCAGAGCATATTTGTGCAGAAGGCCCAAGTCTAATCCCTAGCATCTCCAACGGAGCGCTCCGAGAGAGTTCTGCCTAAAATCCTGGAGATTTGTTGCTGGTCAGTGTAAACCATACTGGGCTAAATGGACTAATATTCAAATTTAGTATAAGGCAGTTTTCTGTGTTTATATAATTCTAGGAAACAGAAGTTAAAAGTTTAGGTGACAGTACGATTTTCCCCTTACATATGTATGAATATATCAGTTTTGTTGGTGTGAAAGGTTTTAACATTTCTCTCCTCCTTTCTCTAGAAGTCAAGTGAATCATTTCCCGTCTATTGCCACAATGAAGGGTATGTAAAGAAGCATGCATTGAATACATGTCTTTCTATGTATGGGGATGGAGCGTTTTATGGTGTGAATAGGAGTGGTGAAATATGTATGCAACTAAACCCGGTCCTACGAAATAACTATAATGAATCCACTGCAATCACCAGAAGTAAACAAAATTCTCCCCCCAATGAAACTACAAAGAGGAAGAAAAAGCCAGCCCTGTCTGGGAAACCAAAACGCATCGCTGTTCAGATTTTATCTGTGAAGAAAACACCGTGTGATGATATCTTCACAAGTTCTCAGAAAGAGATTGTTCAGAAGATGAGTGGAAGTGTCACAAAAACTTTCAGCAGACATACGGTCCCTGAAAGGAGTATTTCAACAAACATGTCTCAGCGTCAGAAAGAAGGCCTTATGGTATGTGGAGAGAATCCAATGCTGGCCATATACCGTACTATTTCATCTAGAAGCCTGATTTCAGGAATAAAATCCCAACTTCCAGATTTTTTTGAGAAGGAGTTAGCTTCCCCCGAAGAACCCCGTAAGAAGGATAGAGTGCTTTTTGTGGACTACATCCCCATCTCAAAGCCAATTCCAGTTCCAAGATCTGGAAGTAAACTTGCTAACCACCACAACTCCGTCCCTTCAGCTCGCAGTTCATGCTCATCTCATAGTTGTGCTAAAATCGTATCAGTGGAAAGCAGCAAGTCTGAAGTGAAGCACCAGGATAATTCACACCAGAAACCTTTTCTGGATGAAAACAGGGCAAGCAACATGGAGGTCTCAGCCCAGTCCCCAGCCCAAGAAGACAGTGAGAGGTTAATTGGGCCAACATCATCACTATCACTTAGGAGCTGTCAGGAAGAAGTAAATAGTAGCCTTGAGCCCCAGAAATCAGAATTGACCGCATGTTCAGAAGAGCAAAGCGCTGGGTCTGCACACGCTCCAGTTATAAGCATACCAACAGCAGAATTCGATGTTTCCGAATCCCATAGGGATCCGAGCATGCAGAACCTGTTACCTGTGGGTAATGAAAAGTAGCTTCAACCTCTGAAATGACTATTGTGTGAAGTGCATAATAAATCTGTACAATAACCACTTCCCCCAAATCTGTTGCCACAATGTAGTCCAAAGGGATTGCAACCAGTGAGGGAGGTATCTTTGTCAATACATAGGTTTTTATTATTATTATTATGAATGATATAGTAGCTTGGCAGTAGAATATCAGATGCACGGAAGCAGCAAATGCCATCTGATGTTTCGCCAGAGTCTCTCAAAATGTGATGTTGCATTGGCATTCCTGTACTAATTTCCACTCCGAGAGGGGAAAGTGAAGGCTAGTAAATGGGTTAACCAAAGCTGCCTGGTGAATTCCTAGGTGCATGCTCCATATTACGCCAGTATTGAAAGAGTGTTGCTGGCTACTAGGTGGCATCCAAACTCAGTTCAAGGTTCTGGCCTTTAAAGCTCTAAATGAGGGGTGGGAAACCTCAGCCCAAATGCCAAATGCAGACCTCCAGCCTTCTATTATCTCACTGTTGGGACTATGCCCAGGTCATGCTCCTCCCAATGACACACCCTTGATGTTTTTTCATGGCTGGAATGTGTCCTTGGAATTGTGATGTTCTGGACTTGCCAGGATAGAGGTGTGTGTTTGTATGTGTACATAGAGAGACTGCAAACTTCTAAGTGGATTGAATAAGCCTGCATTGTTGCACCCACTGCTCTACCTGCCCCATTTTTGCCTCTGGCCCGTGGTTGGATGAGTTGGCCCCAGGGAGGAATGCAGAAATCAGTGCCTGTCCTGTAGCTTCCTGCAAGAATAATATTTTTTTTTATAACCCAAATGTTCTGGTTTGTGTGTGTTTGTCCTGTTTTTCACAGAATTGTAGAGTTGGAAAGGACCATGAAGGGTTCATCTAGTCAAACCCCCTGCAGTGCTGGAATATGCAAGTGGCCTGTATGGGGAGTGAACCCACAACCTTGGCCTTATCAGCACCACAGTCTAAGCAACTGAGTTGGGCCCAAGGGAGTCTGCTCTACTGTTGAAGTTCTTTTTGTTGCACTATTCAGCATAAGAGTGTCCTTCCAGATAGCAATTAACCTGTTATTTTTGGGGAAGTATAGCAGAACAACTCGCAAAGTGGAACATGTGAATGGTTCTGTACAAATCCAACGTTAACGTATTATCATTGCATCAATGACATGTTGCAACCCCCACCAATCTGGAGCAGTCCCTGAGCTCCAAAAGGATAAAGCTAAAGTAATTCTAGTGAGTGCATATGGGAATAATTACCACTATGCAGTCACGGAAATTGGTAAAGTAATAGCTATACCTTTTCAATTCGGCATTTAATGCTAACCACATAATATGAACCACCTATGTACTTAAGGAAACGCCTGTGGCTCCTTATATGTAAAATGAAACAACTTTTTGAACTTTTATATTAACTGCTGCTAAGCTAGTCTTCCATGTACCTTATAGTTGCATCCTTTATAACGCAATCATATTGGGGTGGGGGTGGGCGGCGGTATGGGCATAGCCAGGATTTGGGGGGGGCAAACTTCATGTTTGGGGGCTCCGAGGACCGAGTTATCTGCGCCACAATTGGTCAGTTAGTTTGGTATTTTTATTTATTCATTCATTTGATGGGGGGCTGCCCCCCCCCACGCGGCGCGGCTTGGTAGGTAAAGCGCAGGAAGGAGCTCTATGAACCTATGTAAGTCTGCGCAAAGGGCCTCTTCTCACGCCCCCGACGGACGTGGCCAGCAAGCGCGTTGGCGGCGCTGCACGTGATGGGAGACAAGAGACTCTTAGTTTCCTTGCTACCCTCCCGCCCCCACCTGGGCTTCTCGTGGTGGCGTTAGTCCCGCACTGTGACTAGTAGCAAAAAATAAGGGCACCCTGTGCGCGCTCGGGGGAAGTTCTGTCGCGTGCTTCGCTTGCTCTGTGTCTTAGAACAGGTTCCGACGCCCTTTCCCGGGCGACTTAGGCGCGCAGGAGGACGCAGCCTACTCTTTCGCCCTCAGAAGAACAACATGCCGGGTTCGCACGTTGCTGAGTGAGGAACAGAGCCCCGCTGCGCCCCTGGCGCGTCACGGCTTTGCTTGCTCCTCCTCCGGCTGCTGCGCCCTCCGTGCACGCCGTCGGGCAGCCCCCCTTGGGCCCAGCCTCTCCTGGCTTCGCTGCCGCCCGCGTCCCGCTCCGCCCCGTCTGACGTTCAGCTTGCAACCATGTCGGCGGCCGCGCGCAGACGTCAGGCTTCTGGCGTGAAGGGAGAAGCCCCCACCGCAGAAGCAGCAGCAGCAGCAGCAGCAGCTCGCGGAGATGAGGAGCCGGGCATGGCGGCGGCGCCCAGCCTCACCGTCTGCCTCAAGCTGCTGGCGGCTGCCTTCTACGGCTTCAGCTCCTTCCTCATCGTCGTGGTCAACAAGAGCGTCCTCACCAGCTACGGGTAAGGGAGGCGGGCGGGAGAGCTCCGGGCAAAGTTCGCCGCCGCCGGCGCCAAGTAGAGGGGCAGCGCCGGCCGGGTTACAGATTAACTCGCGCGGAGAAAGGAGGTGGAGCAGGCCGGCGTGGGCGCTGAGCTGCAGGCGGCCGCGAGGACTCGGCTTTGTGGCGGCTGCTGCTGCTTCTGCAGAGCCAGCTCCCAAGTTGCTTTGGGAGGAGGAACGCTCCACAAGCCTCCATGTTCAGTAGCGCGCGGGGGGGGGGTGACTCCCTCTCGCTCTTCCCAACTTCCAGGCACGGGCATTTGCAGTGGGCATAGCGCACGCATCCGCCCCTCCCCCCAAGGTACATCTATGAAGGCCGCGTGTAGATACGATGGCTTGGTCAGAAGTTGCCAGGCGCCCTCAAACCTCCACCCCCAAAACGGAAGGGGTATTTGGCTTAGAGAGCACAGGGCTGCGATTCTGTACCTGTTCAGCCTGTTGGCTCCATTGAACTCAGCGACTGTGTAGCCCCATAATTTTCAATAACGCGAATGTTGGGGTTCAGCTTTGCTTCGTGGCACCCAGTTTTAAAGGGTTCACTGGAGCCGTTAAACATTCCCTTCTGCGTTTTTTTTTTTTTAAAATGTCCCTCCTACTGTGTACACTTTGTGTATACGTGTGTTTATTTCTAGAACAGACACGTTAAAAGAAGCGACTGATGCTGCCATCTAACTGCTATGCAAATACAGTTCAGCGTGTTAGGACTATGCATGCAAGAGTGTTGGTTGCTGGAGGCAAATGATTTTTTAAATACATTGAGTTCTTGGTTATTACTGTTCCATATATTCGTTATATCTGAGGCAGGAGAGTGAGCCACAAACAACTTTTCCTGCCAAAGGCTAGCCTTTTTCCATTATGTATGATTCGCTGAAGGTTGCCACTGTTTAGTTTAATTTGTCTGCTGTTTGTTACAGATTTCCTTCCTCGCTGTGTGTGGGACTAGGCCAGGTTAGTTGGAAATTTTGAATAAGGAAATTTCTAATTGGGCCGGGAGAGGGAGAGGCAAAATAGTGATCTCTCTTGTTCCTTTCACAGATGTTGGCTACGGTGGTTGTCCTCTGGGTGGGAAAGGCACTCAGGGTGGTGAAGTTTCCAGACTTCGACAGAAATATACCTCGAAAGGTATGATATTTCTCTCATTTACAAAGCCACTGGCAGAAGCGTAGTTCTTGCCGTACATGCCCATAATGGGGAAGAGTGGTCTAAATTGTTCTGGTGTATGTATATTCTGTAGAAAGAATGCAAGATAGACAACTTTCAAGGAAGGCATCAAAATGCATCAATACAAGTGCTGCTTTCTGCTCATGACAAATTAGAAAACTGTTTTAAAAGTGCTGTTAGGTCATTCCAATGCATCTTTATTTTCCTTTTGTACAGGATTCATTTATTATGGGCAGCTGTGAATCTGCAGCAAAGAAGGCAGATTCCACTGTGTCTAACTGACTTGTTGTAGTATGACTTTCCAGAGTTACTATCCTACTTTGGGTTAAAGAATCTGATATATGTAATTATAGATGCTAATCTGTAGAGGTCAGATAAACAAGCAAACAAAATGATTTGGCACAAATGCCGAAATGGTTTCTGATTCATGTGATGTTAAGGTAACAGGACTAAATTTGTCGATGAGAATTGAGTCAGTGCAGCCGTGTACAGGGAGAGGGCTGAACCTTTTCTAGTAGTGCTGCAGTCCTCAAAAAACCACACAGACCCTGGAGCTGCTTGTTGTTTGCTGTGGGAGAGAGGCCCCTGTTGGAGCCACCCTCATTCCCTGTGCATCACAAAAGACTAGCTTCCCATCATTCATTTAATATAATGTTTGATTTGGCCCTCATAGGTATGTTCTGCTAGAGTTGAAGGGTTTTATTCCCAATTAAGAAGCCACATGGTACAATTCTATGCAAGCTATTTATTTATTTCCCACCTTTTTGCGTGACAGTGCTCAAGACAGCTTACAGATAAAATACGAACAGCTAAAAATATAGGAGATAATTTTAAAAAAAACGATTAAATATTAATAGAATTAAGATCTATTAAAAATGCACAAATCATTACAATCAAAACAGCACAGCACTATCCCTTTCATTAAAAGCAGTTAGTTCCCAAAAGCCCTACACTTGCAGAGGGGAAGACAACAAGGAAGGAGCCAATGTAGCTTCTCTAGGGAGGGAGTTCCAAAATCTGGGAGCAGCCACTGAGAAGGCTCTCTCCCGCTACCTGTGAGAGTCGCAGAATTGAGAGAAGCATCTCCCCTTCAGAACCCAGGCAGGTTTGTATGAGGGAATCCTGTCTTTCAAATAGCCTGGACGTAAGCCGTGTAGGGCTTCATAGGTCATAACCACCATTTTGCCTTGTGCCTAGAAAGAAGCCGGTAGGTAGTTGGAGCTGTTGTGGCAAGGGAGCCATATGCTCCTTATAACCTGCCCCTGGTCAAGAATCTGACTGCAGCTCCTGGAGCAAGTTGAAGTTTCAGTGCTTTTCAAAGGCACATCGTGCATCACTGTAGCCAAATCAGACATCTCAAGGAACGGCTGCCACTAACGTGATAGCTTTAATTGTGCAGGTGCAAAATTTGCAGTCACAGTGACGTGGGCATCCGTGCTCAGGGCTGGGTCCAGAAGCACACCCAGACTATGAACCTGTGTCTTCAGGGGGAGTGTTACCCCATCCAGCACAGGCTGAATCCTTACTCCTTGTTCTGCCTTCCGACTGACCCCAAGAGCACCTCTGCCTTGTCTGGATTAAGTTTCAGCTTGTTCCTCCTCCTCCAGTCCAGAAGGAATGAAGCCACTATAAAACAGGCATTGACCACTCCCTTCATCTTCTAAGCCAGTCCCTCGCTGGCCTTTTCAATGAACTAGGAAGAGCAAGGATCTGGCACACATTCCAAGGATCCTGTCCAGGTCCTTGAGCGGCACAAGCTGAAAAAAATATCCCCTAACACTGGGCAAGCAAGGGCCAAAGTTACACCCACCAGACCTGTATCAGCTTATTTGGAAGGGAGTCATTTAAATCACAGGGACTTGCCTCTTAGAGTAATTGCCTGCGGAATACATGTCCATGTTTATATTATTTCTGAAGGTCCCCCCAATTACGCTTTCTGAGGTTGTATTTAAGCATGATCAGGCGTGTAAAAGAAACATCGCCATGTGGAGCATCATGCTTAAAAGAAGGTCAGTTTATACCAGTCTAGTTTACCATGAATTCCTGGTGTGCTGCTGCTGTACATGTACGGATCAATGACCTATTTAACATAGCATTAGCTGTGTTTATACATCTGAATACACTTGTTCCTCTTCCCATGCCCACTCTCTTGGTGTAACTTGGAAGACTGAATGTCTGATGTGACAGAAGATGTTATGTTTGTGTTTCCAGAATTCTACACGGTCTTGAGAAAAAGGAAGGATGTGTGTTGCTGGTGTTGTAAGTCAGAATGTGAAACCATACTGGCCTAATATGCAAAAGCTTTTATGCTACAGTTGAAGCATGATTGTGCATTTCCTAAGGCTTGCTATGTTGTGTGCCTGCTGGTGAAAACTGTTCCAGCTGCAAAAAACAAAACAAAAAACAGCAACGACAAAAAAACTGTGCAAATGTTTTGAAAGGTTACACAGCCAACTGACTTGACCTGTTTATTGAATGTTATTTTATCCCTCTTATAACTTTCTAGACTTTTCCACTACCTCTCCTGTATTTCGGAAACCAAATCACAGGACTGTTCAGCACAAAGAAATTGAAGTATGGATAATTAGATACAATTTTATTAAGCTTTTATTTTAAAAAAATTATTGAGCTTTTATTAAAATGTAATCTGAATTCTGGTTGGTCTGTACTTAAATTTGAAGGGCTTTTTGATTACTTCAAATTTAGTGAATGAAAATTGTGTAGAACATTTGTTTATAATTTATTTATAAGTTTCAGTATACCATAATTCTCATATCCGGTGTCTTGTTGCAGTTATATATAACAAAACAATTGGCATTAATATATAACATAATTCAGCTATGCATATTTGGTAATAAATAATTTACAAGGACATAATAAGTAATCACCAAGTCATTTAATCAGCTCTTTCTGATTCTCTGTAAATCATAAAAAAACCCCGAGATTACCCAAAAGGGGTGGGGTGGAGCTTCAGCTAGTTTTCTGCTCTCTTCCAGCACATCCTTAGTTACTCAGGTGAGTTCTGTTGAGTTTAATGAGGCTAATTCCCAGGTGAGTGGGTATAGAATTATAGCCTTAAGATGCTTTTCAATAGAGCCCTGTTGATTCAGTATTTTAAAAAGCAGCATTGAAAACATTGATATAAGTTTCTTGTTACTGCATAAATCTGTCAAGAGCTGTGGAATATCAAATGCCAAGGCCTACTACCCTCCCTAGCTATAATAATAATAATTATAATAATAAAAATACCACCCTTCAACCATAGATCTCAAGGCTATTTACAACATAAAAATACAAGATTAAAACCCAAAATACATTATTATTTTTAAAAAAACACACCAATAACTCCCTCTCCCTCCACAAACATATTAAAAAGTGTATAGGAAGTTAATCAGCCAAAAGCCTGGTTGAAGAGGAATGTTTTTGCGTGGCGCCTAAAGGTGTATAATGAACCTTCCTGGGGAGAACCTCCCACAAATGAGGAGCCACTGCAGAAAGGGCCTGTTCTCACGTTGCCAAACACAACCTGCCATGGAGGAGGCACATGAAGAAAGGCCTCAAATGATGATTGCAGGGTCTGGGTCGGTTCATATGGAAAGAGGGAGTTCATGAGGTATTGCAGTCCTGAGCCATTTAGGGCTTTATTGGTCAAAACCAGCATTTTGAATTGGGCCTGGAAATTTATTGGCAGCCAACAAGGACTCTTGTTTATTAAAATATTTTCAGCCTGTCTCTTGTCTTCAAGCTGGCTCATATTCTATAAATAATTTTTAAAAATGAAGTATTTCAGACCAATAAACGTAAAATACAGTGAAACCTCAGATAATACTGATCAAATTGAAAAGGAAGCAGTTCCTCAGATACTCTGGTTCCAAACCCTTTAGGGATTTAAAAGTGAAAACTAGTCCAGAAATAGACTAGCAGTCTATAACAAAGGAGTTTTATGCTTCTGGTGATTGGCTTCAACCCAAAGCCTTGCAGCTGCTTTGAAGTCCCTCTGAACCTTCCAGACAAAGGCCTGGTTTGCATGTCTCACTAAGTCATAGTTTGGCTGAGCAAGACTTGTGAACCAGGCCACTATCCAAGTAGAGTGTGCTACAGAAAACTTTAGTGCATGCTAGAACCAGCTGGAGCAAAGGTACTCCTGGCCACAGCTACATCCTGGAGCAAGGCTTTGTCCAGGAGTACTTCCAAGTCTGTGAACCCTTCTTCAAGGGCAGTGTTGTCTCATTCAGAATAGATTGTATCCCCATTTCCAGATCAGTGGTTCTGCTAACCCTGACTGCTTTTGTCGTGTCTGGATTAAGTTTCCATTTGCTCACCCTTATTTGAGCTTACCGACAATCGTTCAGAACCTCCATGAACTTCCCTAGATTCAATTGGAATGGAGAGAGAGAGAGAGCACTGTGTCATTTGCACACAACAGACTGGAAAGCTGCAGGTGACCTTTCCTGATGCTGCCATGCAGATTTTAAACACAGCATGTTCTTAGGATGCAAGTCTATGCACTTGTGTGTAGATCCACAGGGCGCACCACAGGACCTGTCTCCAAATTAAGCACATGCAACGTCAGGCATCTCCTTTCTGCTCTCCACCACTTGTGTGCCACCTGTTTTCCTGGCTAGGCAAGGTGTGTACAGTTAAGACTGTATACCAAAGTATATAGAGATGAAAACAATTTATGTATATAAAATTTACTGTTGGGTAGTAACGTTAGGGTAATGGAATTTGCATTTCCTTGTCACATAATTTGTTTGTAGATCTTATGAAGCTGCTGAATAAGCCATTATTATATAATAGCCTTTCAACAAATGATTGCTCTCTGCATCCTAGTGCAGATGTGGGCAGGTACTTGCTTTAGTAACCAGCCTGGACTGGTGGTTAAATATAACCTTAAATGTAGGGTCTTGTAACTTGAGATCCCAATTCATTTCAAGGGCATGAACTGGAAGAGAGAGTGTGTACTTATAAATAGCTTTTCTGCGCATAGTTTCCAAGCTTCAAAATAGCTAATGCAGTTGGGCTGCACTTGTGTGTAAAACAAAACTGTTAAATTTTGAAGAATTGAATTTTCTAGCCCGTTTTCCCTGCTTTTGACAAACGTTAGAGACAGTCTTTTTATAAAAAAAAAATCACCTGTGACTTTCCCCCAGGGACATCTGTTCTCATTCACCACACCATGTGCTTTGATGTTGAAATTTATCCGGAGTAAATTTAAAATGTCTCTGTATAAACATAAGGAGTATCTATATGGCTAGCTCTGTCCATAAACATTATTTCTCTTACAGCCTGCCAATGTTTACAGTCCTGAGACGGTTTTCCATTCTGTTTACAATGTTTGCAGAAGGAATTCTACTCAAGTAAGTTGTGAGATGGTACAGTACTGTGTTGCTTCATGTGTTTTGTGTCATATGGGTGGATACAGCCAATGGCAGTGCCATTATATTTCCCTTTGGTTATGCCAGCATGCAGCCTGCACAAGGTCAAGCATCCTTTGTAGTTCTTAGGGTTGAACAAAGGAAATATTTCAAGCACATGGGACTCCACATTTGTATAGGAAGGCACCGATCAATCTCCAGTACTGGAGATACAATGCTGAGAATCCCACATATGATGTGGGCTTTGTTCAGCGATGTCTTCTTTTTGGTTTGAAGTTGTTATCTGCATCAGTTTTGCATTGGTGAAATCCTTCATACTGCCAGATGCTTCTGTATTTTTCAGTTATACTCCTGCAGTATGAGGATTAACAGCAGGACAACAAAAGTGGATTCTGTGAGCCCTTATGGTTGCTAAGAGACATATTTGGAGCCCTGAAGGACCAATGTCTGTTTTCCATTGTTTTGAAGACCTCACTGCCCTGGCTACATTTGAATATATTTCATATAGACATAAATATTGTATAGATGACTATTTGGTCATGGGGGGGCGGGTTATAATAATTTATCTATTTAACTTAAGAAACAGGTACTGATGGTTACTGTATCTGTAACATGAACTGATAGTGAGTTTTTTGTTTTGTTACTCTTGGTATTCATATATTTCTTCCTTGCTTTTCTTTGCTAAATTTTCATATGAAAAATTAATTAAAAGAATACTGTCAAGTGTCGTGGGTCTACAAGCTTAGGCCAGACTTATTAATGTGTACCAGTGACTCCTTTCTCAAGTCCATTTTGCATACAAGGGAAGTTGGAGAAGGAAATTTCTAAGAGCATGCTGAGCTTTGTGCCAAAATTCAACATTACAAGAAAACACTCTTCTCCTTTGGAAAATGGGAGGATGGGTGCAAGAGAGGGCTGGGCAATAATCAGCTTTCCAACATCGCAGTGTGTCGCCAGCCAACATTGTGGTTTAGTGATACATTGCAATGTTGAAAAGTGGAGGGAGGAACAAATTCTATTGGCTTGGCCCCGCAAGGTGCCAGGGTGAAACCGCTTCAGCTCCCTTGGTAGCAGCAGCAGCAGCCGCCGCAGTTTCACTCTGGAGCCTCATGGGGCTGGGCCCAATGGAGCCTGTTCTTTCCTTGGCACTCCATTGGCCACTAAAGCAAGTTCTTGCTTTAGTTCTACAACCTCTGACAGCCAACCATGATTTTTGCTGTTGGCTTAGTGTTTTCTTTCATTCTTTGAAACCCTAGGAATTCTTAAATTTCGTTGCATCGTAGACCACTGTTTTTTATTGTTTGCAGGTCACTAATTTCTTATGTGACAGTAATTGCATAGGAGAATACTTAAGGACAGCTGTAAACTGGAGTGGGAGGCAGAGAGATAAATGAAACTCTTAGGTACATGTGGGCCTCCCTCCGCCCAGCTGCATACACAAACACAGACGTCGATTGGGTTTGACCTAAACAGAAAACCCTGGCTTTTTAAGCGTTTTCCTTCAATGTTTCCTTCATGATCTCTTGAAAGGTTATTGTGGACCACAGTTTTAAGAACGCTGCAAGAACGCCAGCTGCAATAATGAGAAAGCTCTTCCATTTTTATCTTCTTAGGAAGAAATTTTCTTGGAGAATTCAGATGACAGTATTTGCAATGATAATTGGTGCATTTGTAGCTGCAAGGTACGGTATACCATTATTAAAAGGAGCTTGAATATTGTTCAGGTTTTTTATGAGCTTGTTCCTCAACTAGCTTCTTAAAATATTCTGGTTAGCTGTTGGAAAGGTGAATAGAAATTCAGTTTGAAGCCCTGGAAGAAAAGAGCTAAGGCAATATACGATTGTCTGAAGTATAAATTAATGGACTAGAATAATTTGAGGTTTTTGTCGAAAATGAAGGCTTCCCTGGCAGGCAGTTCTGAAGCAGAGCTAGAAATGCCTGGAAGTGTCTAAAGTGGCCCCTAAGGTTTTGCACTCAGGAGACCAATATGGGAGAGACCTGTTTTGTTGCAGCTGGAGAAGATGAAGGTGTCTGGCTGTGTTGCTGCAGATGCACCATGGCTTTCTTCTCTCTGCTCTCTCTGTCTCTCTGTCTCTCTTTCTTCTCTCTTTCTTTTCTCTTCTCCCAGCAGTCATTCCTCCTGGTCACAACCTGTCTGTCTCCAGGCACTGCAGGCATCTACAAGGGATTCCTACACTGCGGAGTCAAGTTGCAGACATCTTTGTAACACAGAGTTGGTCTGCCAGTGGGACTGGTGCCTGAAGCCAGCTCCCCATAGAGCACATCCTTGGGGATCCTGACATGTACACCTGTAGATGGGTGATCAGTGCCACCATAAATGGCAGGACTGATCATGCATATACTGGATGCAGTGGGGTCTTCCCTTGTGCACCACCAGTGTGGTGTAGTGGGTTAAGAGCGGTAGTCTCGTAATCTGGGGAACCGGGTTCGCGTCTCCGCTCCTCCACATGCAGCTGCTGGGTGACCTTGGGCCAGTCACACTTCTCTGAAGTCTCTCAGCCCCACTCACCTCACAGAGTGTTTCTTGTGGGGGAGGAAGGGAAAGAAGAATGTTAGCCACTTTGAGACTCCTTAGGGTAATGATAAAGCGGGATATCAAATCCAAACTCTTCCTCTTCTTCTTCTTCTTGTGGGATCTAATCTGCAAATGTGATCCTTGTACAGAATCCTGCTCTGCTTGCAGATTGCAGTTGTTCAGTAATTATCATGATTATGTTTTTTCTCTGATTTTAAATATTACCTTCTCTGCCCCTAGTTCTGATCTGGCATTTGATCTGGAAGGCTATGTGTTTATCTTGATTAATGATGTCTTGACAGCTGCAAACGGTGCATATGTAAAACAGAAACTAGATTCCAAGGTAGGTTCAGCTTGCTACTTCATTTTAAAACAGCTTTCCACTTTATTGATCAGTAAAGGATGAACAAGTTACTGCTTTCTGGGGGAAAATACTCATTTTTCAACAATGTAGCTGTCCTGTCCTATATACAGTGGTGCCCCGCAAGACGAATGCCTCGCAAGACGGAAAACCCGCTAGATGAAAGGGTTTTCCGTTTTGGAGGTGCTTCGCAAAACGAATTTCCTATGTGCTTGCTTCGCAAGATGAAAATGTCTTGCGAGTTCCTGCGGGGTTTTTTTCCTCCCCCCCCCTTTTTCCCAAGCCGCTAAACCGCTTATCAGCTGATCTTTAAGCCGCTTAACAGCTGATGCTAAGCCGCTTATCAGCTGATCTTTAAGCCGCTTAACAGCTGATGCTAAGCCGCTTATCAGCTGATCTTTAAGCCGCTTAACAGCTGATGCTAAGCCGCTTATCAGCTGATCATTAAGCCGCTTATCAGCTGATCGTTAAGCCGTTTATCAGCTGATCTTTAAGCCGGCTAAGCCGCTAATACTGTAGCGCTAAGCCGCTTAACCTCTAATGGGCTTGCTTCGCAAGACGAAAAAACCCGCAAGACGAAGAGACTCGCGGAACGGATTCTTTTCGTCTTGCGAGGCACCACTGTATTATTATTTTTCATTTTGCTCTGCTGCTGCACAAACAACTGTAACACCATGTACATATTATTCTAACAATTTGCAAGTGTTTAGGATAGCGCGCACAAGTAAACATAGGCCAGAATTAGGCCCATAAGAAACATACTGTATTGGACCAAAGCCCATTCAAATACGGCATTTAATTTCTGCTGGTGGTTGGGGTTTGTTTTATTTGTATCATATTCATAAAACTAGAATCATTCTAACACTGTGTTCTATGACACCATGACCACTTGGGGCATGAAACTATTTCACACCACTATTAAATGATCAGACTTCCAAAGGGGCTTGAAGTTAATGCATGTAGTCTGGTTCACTTGTACTGAGATAAAAGTATTTATTTTATGATTATGTCATGAAACTTACTGTGCCAATAGATGATAGCCAGGATGGAAAATATAAACTTAGACCAGTACAGTAATGAAAAATGCAATTGTTTATTAATGTTACGACAGCCTGCCAGTAACACATATGTTTAGGATAAAGTTATTAGGTTAGCTACATTATGTACTAGTTAAAAGGAAAAGTCTGTGGATCAGTACAGATATAATACTGCCTTCCTTTTAACTTTGGCTAGTTGACCAAGAAGCCAGCCTTGGCTCCCTGTTATCTACAGTTAGTAAATCAAGAGCCAGACTTGGGAATGTTTGTTCCTTCACCCTAAATCACAATGAAGCAGAGTGTTTGCATCAGTGCTATCTGTGGTTAAGACCTTAATAACCCCAGTAGTTTCAAGCTCTGTATTTAAAGGGTGGGTGGCAACTTGCTCTAGAGAGGAGACGCGTGGTGAAGAACAATATACATTCCCAAGGCAGGCTCCCAACTTACTATGTTTCGCAGAGTTTAAGTATTGCAGCTGTACTAGGCAAATGATTTTTGGGGGGCAGATGGTTTGTATAAAAATCGTATTTGTGCTTATGGTCTCTCTTTTATATCCATCGATAGGTAAGGTAAACAGTAAAGTATATATGCTTTAATAGCTATTTGGGGTTTTTAAAAAATTATTTCATATACTTTTGATTTAAAGTAGATGTTATCTTTAAGAAATAGAAAAAAAGTTTTGCCAGCTATATTATTTATATCATTGCTGATTTGCACCATGGGGAAACATGAAGCTGCTTTGTGTCTCAAGGACTCAGACAGGATGCTACATTTATGATGCTTGTAGGAGATGATGGATGAGGTCTCGTTTTGTGAACTTCTCTGTGTACGGATTTATCATTCAGCCAAAATAAGTACATAACTTTTTTTTTCATTTCCAGGAGCTGGGAAAATACGGCCTTCTATATTACAATGCACTGTTTATGATTCTCCCTACCTTGGCCATTGCCTATTTTACAGGAGATGCGCAAAAGGTAAGCCTTCGGTTTTTATTCCAGAATGGCAGCTCTAATTGAAAACTATATTGCTTCCATATGTCAGTAATTGTGAAATACAATTTTGTGGGCTTTTTTAAAAAAAATGCAGTTTATGGTGTTGTGTACCAGGATGTCTAAATACGTTACTGTTTAGTTTTAATTCAGAACAATTTTAAAAATCTTGGCATTTGTCATGACTGCAAGTAAGAAACTGCACAATTTCAAAGGTATATGTGGAAGGGAAACTTACCTATAAAACTCTGAGACTGAGGAAGCAATTGAGAAAGGCCGACTTATATTGGCATTGGTTTCAGTGCGATGATACTAGTATGTGAATTGTCCCTGGGAAGCCAATACTATGGTCCTAAGTTATCTGCTATTGCCATTTTCCTTACCAGCGACCACTAAATAATCCATAGCAATGTTAAGAGTCGATGCAGGAATTGCAGGGGCAGTGCCTAGCATTTACACAACTTCTGTAATGTGTGTGAGCAGTTGGGGCAACAATATTTGCAGATACTGTGGCTGCGCAGCCAGTGCTCTGCAAGGTCCATGCTGCAGTCGGTTGTAGCATCTGTGGAGCTCTTCCTTGTCCTCTTGGCATAGGTTACTCCACCAAGGCAGTTTCTGTGCCTGAAGCCAGCATGGAATGGATCTAAAGAGTTTCATCCAAAAATGCCTGCAGCTACCAGGAGTCACCCACTCCACAGCAACTTGCTTGAGAAGTGAATGTTCATTCTTGGCCAATAATTACTACAGTCCTTGTTGCCTAGAGAGGCCTTCTTTAGGAGTGGCATTTTAATTGCCATTTTCAGGACAGACAGGGCCATTTCCTCTCCCAAGAAGGCATTTATTGCCTTGGGACCCAGGCAGCCAACCCAAGCGATAAGCAGACACGTGAGATGCTCTGCCCACATCCTCAGGTTGCCAGAGCTGAAACTCCACCAACAAAACGATGACTAAACAGTGCTTTGGGCACAATACTGTGTTACTATGACCTATTTACTTCTTTAAATTTGTAGCAAATATGTCACAGCATGCTTCTAAGGCATTCTTCACATCACTGTGAGGGAAAAATTGGAGTAAACCCAGAACACTTATGTTGTGTCATATATCGGGATATATGTAGCTGAAATATGAACAAGTCTATCATGAAGAGAACCACAGGGTTTTGTGAAAGAAGGCAATTTGTAGAGAACTGGTTCCCATATTTCTTCCATGTGTTAACGGGGGAGGGGGGGGTGGAAGGTGTTGAACTTCCAGATCCACAGGTGCCTTTTTGGAGAGACTTCTTGACTTAGTTTGACAAGATGTATGCTTGATTAACTAATATCCATAAAGTGTCTGATAGGAACCATTAGTTCACCAATATCCAGTAGGCCAGTTTCCCCATACCCTGCTATAAACAACCATGGATACAGTATTTGATACTAAACACTTGCATTGGTCACAGCTAAAGAGTGGACTGAATAATTACAATTATATTTCAAATCCTTCCAGGGTGGCTTACAAAAAAATGGCCCACTAAGTTGCTATATTGGGGGGGGGGGGGAAGGAAAGCACAACAATATCAAAAGACACATCCTGCCATCAGGATCCTTCCCACTGGAGAGTTGATGGGAAGGAAACAGTCCAGCTGGAGCGTGCCCTGATGCCCTGTTTACCTGCATCCCTCTCACCTGGAATTGTTTCCTCTGGATGGTTGATGATAGATCCCCTGTGACAGTGGGAAGGGGAGAGTGCAGCTGGAGCAGGCTCCAATGTGGTCTTTGCCTGCCTCCCTCTCTCCTGGAATCCTTCTCACATTGCATTTTAAGAACCTCCTCTTGAGATAGAAAATAGCATCTCAGTGTTTATGTATTTGTGGGAGGGGGGAAAAGTATTCATTTAGAAATATGTGCACCAATTAAGTGAGGAGGAGAATACCAGCACTGTTCTAGACTCTGCAGTTTGCATTCACAGTATGTGTAAATATCTTAAGCTACTAATTTTTGAATAAACTTTCTTCTCCCCGGCAAGCTCTTGGCAGTTAAGGTGAACAAAGTCTGCTCTGTTAAACATCCAGGAAGCTCAACATTCACAGAGCTGGGAAATCATTGGCTTTGTCGTAGATACATATTTCTAAGGCCGTGGCTCTGCTTTTTACACACGGCACCATCCCCTCTTAATCCAAGTTGATAAACTTGATACAGTTAAATACGAGCCAAGAGAGAATTTGTGCCAACACTTGGCAGTTTAGTTCATTAAAATCTGTCTATGGAGCACTTGTGAGTAAATTTATCATCCAGCTATTAAAGCACTGGAAAAGTACATCTATGACACTTATTATTTACACCAGCAGAACCCAGCAGTAAGTTCTGTTACTTGATCATAACACATAGCTATTTCATATAACGACCCCGTGCCTTGGTTTGGATGCTACAGCCAAAGACTGTGCATATAAGAAAGAAAGAAAGCCATGTCAAAAGGGAGAGGTTCTACAGAATTATTACCAGCTGTTTTCCTACAAAGAATTGCTTATCTCATATGTGGTTATGGGTCAAGCAAGGTTGTCTCTCATTCCTGCTGTTGCTTTTCTCTTCTGATTTTAGCAAGCTCTGAAAATGTTGGGAAAGGGTGCCACAAGGATACCCTTTAATTGATTTTACTACACATTTTAGTTGGACCTTTTGAGATATACTTTAGGGCTGTTGTCTCTTGCTGTTAATACTTTTTGCTGTTCTTGATGCTAATTCTCTAAGGTATATCAAATAGCTGATGACTGAAAACAGTTTTATATTAAAAAAAAGGTCTGACCTTGGGGACACAACCAAGCCTTTATTGACAGGGGACCTCTGTGGGTGCCAAATATTTGTGTGTACATAGACCACAAAGTGATGTAGAACTTACCCAGGATTTTAGCTATTGCTGGATTGTTCAGACGCTACTGGTAGTCATTTGACTGTGCACTTGTGATCCTGCCAGTAATATTATTCGTAATGATCACTGTCTTTGTAAGCTTTCATATACATTATTATAGATAATTGTATATTTACAAATGTCTCTTTTGATGCCAAAAAGGCCAAGAGGAATAGGTCAGTTCTGAGATGGGAAATAATGGAGTGATCTGACCTGCTTCTAGCACTATGCTTTGCTGTAGATTTCTAAATTCCAGCAGTTGAGCGTTGCTGCATTTAGTTTAAGCATGGGTACAGTTTGTGCAGTACGTTGCAGGTTGTCTTTGGAAATGTGAAGGTAGTGCTGGGTTTGAGCTGATGCATTTTGCAACTTCCTCTTTGTAGCCAACTGATAAACTGGTAGGCTTATATGTCTGTGTGTCAAATGTTTCTAGTCTAGATTCAACAGTAATTTTTCCTCATTTTTAAAGCAGCTGATTAGTGTCAAAACTACTATTTAATTTCTTTAAACATTTTTCTCCTGAAATGCTCATTATGTTACTTCTTTAATATAATCTTCTAATAAGTGGGAGGCATAGTTAAGGTGTACGCTGCAGAAATGATAACCGTTTTGCAGTGTTCAGGCTTCAACATTGTATTTTCACATCATTTGCTTCTGCTTACAGGGAGTGTATTCTAGTATTAGTAGAATATACAAGGTGCCCCCCCCCAAACTGCAGCCACATACAGTGGTACCTCGGGTTACAAACACTTCAGGTTATAGACTCCGCTAACCCAGAAGTAGTACCTCGGGTTAAGAACTTTACCTCAGGATGAGAACAGAAATTGTGCGCTGGTGGTGCTGCGGCAGTGGGAGGCCCCATTAGCTAAAGTGGTACCTCAGGTTAAGAACGGACCTCTGGAACGAATAAAGTTCGTAACCAGAGCTACCACTGTATACTTCTTCCTCCAATGCTCAAGTACACATACACAGGGCATACTTGAGCATTACCACAAACACACTCAGAAAACCCCCAATCCCTAACCCCAGGGACACAAGAGCCCCACAACCTGCTACCTAGCTCATGATCCCTTTGATACACATTACATTTCTTCAGTGGAGATGCTAAGCACAGACTTTGAGTGCTTAAAAAAGCTAGGCCAAAGATGAGACTGTTGGTATAGGTTCCCCATTGAATATGACAGTCATTTGGAATACTTGCAGATTGGCTCATTTGAGTAATTTCATGTGTAATTTTAAAGACATTACATAATTGAGGGTACGTTTGTGAATGCTGCCTGATGAGGTCTTTGGCATACACATATGGGATTGGGCACATATACAAAAATGGACATGTGTTGGCAAAGTGTACTGCCCCATTTTCTATTGCTCCAATATCCCTTTTTACCCCCTTTCTTTATGCCAGATTTATTTGTTCGATTGTAAGTTTCTTTTGTAAGGTTCCCTTTTCCGCTCTATTAAATTATGGGGATACGGAGATTTACTGCTTCTCGGAGCCTGCATGAGGCTGCTCGTCACGGGCTGCTATTCTCTTGCGTCGGGACTGCCCCCCCCCTTTACAAAAGAGACCAGGAAACTCCTCTTTGACGCTGCTGCTTCTATGCTGACCCTAAGACTCCCTCTTGGGGGTTGGGGGGGACATGTAGCCTTCGCGTCTGCCGCCTCAAAGCCCGTTAGCGATAGAGCCCTTCTGAGCTCATGCCATGTTCCGTCCTGCGGCAAACCGGAAGCCAGTGTTGGTTCAACACTTCTGCAATTTTAGCTGCTCTGCTAAAATTCTGTATTTGTTTTGCTTCTAGGCAATGGAATACAAAGGCTGGTCAGACAAACTTTTCCTTATACAGTTTACACTGTCATGTGTAATGGGGTAAGGATACTTGCCTTTTTTTCTCCTAAGAGACACTGTATTCTTAACAGCTATGCATTAGTGAGCGTAGCCGCTTTTGGTCAGTAACAGCAGGCTAGCCACACCAGCTGAAAAGAAATATGCAGACTATGCATATCCCTCTGGGCTGAGAGTCTGAATGCTGCTACTATGCTGTACATGTGGACTCAAGGCATATGAGGGCTTGAGGATATGCTGCACTTAACTCATTCGCCAGTTTGGGTATTTGTAGTTCAACATTTTTTGCCAGAATCTCAGAAATCAGCAGGCACCAGAAATTGTTCAGTATACTACTTTCTGCCCAGCTTGGTACTATTTTACATGTTTTTTAATTTTTTCTTCTCCGTAGGTTTATTTTGATGTATTCTACAGTACTTTGTACTCAGTATAATTCTGCCCTTACAACTACAATAGTTGGTTGTATTAAGGTAAGCTCTTCAGACTTACACATCTACACAAATAATTTCTAATAGTCCATGTTAGTTGTTTGGGATCTGTTGTGCCATAATGGTCTTGGTGCATCATAGGGAAGGAAGGGTAAATGATAGCTTTGAAAATGTTTTGTTGCCTCAAATCTGATATGTAGAAGAGCTTGTGCTCTGACTTGAAGGTTTGGGCTATACAAGAGAGAATGGTGTTTATGGGAAGATGACGAAAAGATGAATGTGAATACAAACACTGTTATTTGCAGTTTGTGCCACCTTTTGTAGAGCCCCTATTTACTTTCAGTAGAATATTCTGCTAGCTCTTTCAGTGTAAGGCTTAAGACTTGTCTGTAACATTTTCCCCATGTTAGCATCTCACAAATGTTGAAAAAGCAACAGAAAACTGTATGAACCTCTTTGTTTCCTTCCCAGAATATTTTAATAACCTACATAGGAATGTTCTTCGGAGGGGATTATATTTTCACATGGACAAACTTTGTAGGGCTAAATATCAGGTAAGTGCAAGACTGTTGGGGAGCTAATAAGTGGCAGTTATACAACAAATGTTGTAATTGAAATCAATATGACTTCTGTATAGAAAAGCATTTAGTTTTGTGCTGAAAGTGTCTTGAAATAAAAATAAGGATTTCTGGAACTGCAGTTTAGAGGAAAAAATGAAACTTAATCTCATACAATTAGAGAACATTTCTTAATACACACATTAGGGTAGGATAAGTGCACCTTGATTCATAACGAGTGTGTCTGTATGTTCATTCCCCTACCTTTGGCTCCTTCCGGGTTAATTCACTAACAAATGATAAAGGAAGCTGTCACTTCCCACAGGAAAAGTTTTGGCTGCCTGGAGCATTTGACTGCTCCACTGACAACTGTTTCACTGGTTACTTGACTTCTGTACTAATGCTAAATTTACTCCTTCCTGGGTATATGCTTCCCAGTACATTTGCCTTCGCAGAGATTACCTGGTCTTTGACCATAGTTAAACAGTTGCCTTCTTTTCAGAAAAAAAACAACAGAAGAGTAATACTTGACAGCTATAGATGCCTTTAGGAACATTAGTGATGTGGTGTGTGTGTCAACCAATCAAAGCTTAAGCCTACAGTCACTGTAACAGTTGTTTAATCATCACACACATAAATATACCTAAAGTACTCATGGCAGGGGGGGGGGGGGGCGGAGCTGGAAAAGCAATGCAGTATAGTATTTATAGTATCATCTTTCATTGAGTCATAGCTACAGAATAGGCCAGGGGGATGTATCAATATATTGTCCAGGACTGGTATGAGGGGCAGAATGCAATATTACAGGTGAAACAGATGCCGCTCCAGAGTCCCTGCTTTCAATATTGGGCCATTGGCAGCAGAAAGACTTGGTGGCGGCCTCACCTGTGATACTGCTGGGTAAAGTCATCACACTCTGCCTCTCATACCACAGAGGGTGAAACAAACTACATTGGCGGGCACACTCCTCAGTGGAGCCCCTGCCTCTGGGTCACATGACTGCCCCTCAGCTGAGCAAGCCCTGATGCCTTGCATGCAATCCAGAGAAGTATCAGGGCTTGCTCAGCTGGGGGGTGAGAGTCCTCATGCCCCACAGCTGAGCAGTGCAAGGAAGCCCCAATGCTCCTCTGACTCGCACGCCAGCTGGAAAGGCATTGGGCTTGCTCACCGTAGGGCTGGGCATGTATCTTGGCTGCTGCTTCTTCCCCTGACATGGGGAGGAAGAAATATCTGTGATATATCAGCAGATCATGGTATTTAGCTGCTGGTACATCACGATGTTGAAAACCTGACATCGTCCAGCCCTGCTGCAGAAGCATTTTACTTACCGTATTTTTCGCTCTATAGGACGCACTTTTTCTCCTCCAAAAATGAAGGGGAAATGTGTGTGCGTCCTATGGGGCGAATGCAGGCTTTCACTGAAGCCGGGACAGCGAGAGGCGTCGGTGCGCACCGACACCTCTCGCTCTCCAGGCAGCTATCTGCAAGCCTTGCGCACCCGGGGGGAGTTCCCCCGGGCACGCACGGCTTGCGGGCAGCAGCCTGCAGCACGGGGCGCCCTCCGGAGGACCCCCGTGCTTCGCGCAGGTGTCCGCAAGCCTTGCGCGCCCGGGGGATCTCCCCCCGGGAGCGCACGGCTTGCGGACGGCAGCCTGCAGCGCGGAGCACGGGGCGCCCTCCGGAGGACGCCCTGTGCTTCGCGCAGGTGTCTGCAGCCTGCCGCCCGGCGGGTGGGGCGCCCTGAAGCAGAGCGCCCCTCACGCCGGGCAGACATGGGCCAGCCTCACAAGCTCGGGGGACAACGGGGAGGCGCAGCGCTGCCATCGCACTGTTCCCCAACCTGGTTTTGGGGGGGAAATAAAGGAAAATTTTTTTTCCTTTATTTCCCCCCCAAAAAAGTAGGTGCGTCCTATGGAACGAAGCGTCCTATGGAACGAAAAATACGGTATACAGTTGTACCTTGGAAATAGAACGGAATCCGTTCAGCCTCCAAAACATCCAGAAAACAAAGCCCCATCAGATGTTCGGCTTCCAAAAATAGTTCACAAACTACAACAGTCACTTCCAGGTTTGCAGCATTCGGGAGCCAAAACATTCGAGAACTAAGCTGTTTGAAAACCAAGCTATGACTGTGCTGCTTTTGTACTCAAACACAGAGTTTACAATATAATAGCACCCACTACAAGAGTTACACTGAATATGTGGTGTGCTTCAAGTGGTATGATGAACCATTGTGAATCTTCCCCCTAGTTTGGAAAGTCAGTTACAGTTCCACTTACAGCAGGCTTTGTGTGCCATAAATACCTATGGAATGAAAGCCTCCTAACTTTATTCTGGCTAGGATCAGGGAGTTGTAAGAGGTTAGAAAAGAAAACTGCAGCTGTTGTGAAGAACCACACAACTGAAGCCAGGCAAAAAGGCAGCAATTCATCACATTTACAGTTTACTTTTACCACCATAAACCTGATAACATGTTCTTGCCACCTAATTCAACTACCTGCTGTCCTTACATTAGAAGCAGACTACTATCGATTAACTGGGCTGCTAACATTTTCTACTTGTCTGTAGTGTTTAGTAGAATGTAAAATACGAATTGAGTTTACTTAGTATGACTCGAGAACTGAGTTTAAGCTGTATTTTTCACCTGAAAAAAATCTGTGTCTTGCAGTATTGCTGGAAGCCTGGTGTATTCTTACATCACCTTTACAGAAGAGCAAATGAACAAGCAGTCTGAAGTTAGCATCAAGATGGACATTAAAGGGAAAAGCTCTGTATGACAAAAGGGTCACTTACCAACAGTAGCTCTTGATTTTCAGCCGTGATTGCTGACAAATCGCTAGAATGTGCCGTATCTCTGAATAGAATTGTATGTGCAAATGGAGAGTACCCAATATGAAGATTGCTCGCTGCCTTTTAGAATGAGATATTTAACTGATAGCACAAAATGTACAGCTGGTTATTAACACTAGGCTGAAAGGAATAAGGCTTAAACAGTCACAGCCTATCTTGCACCATCTGTGAAGACAAATACTTCTTATGCTCTATAGCTTTTATAATCTTGAGTGGAGCAAGAAAACATGTCCTAAATATTTCAAAATGAACTGAGGCTATTGTGCTAAAAGGCCCAGTGTTGACTCAATTCACTCAACATAAGATAGCAATCAATTTCTCATCGAAATGAAGCATAGACTGTAGTAACTAAGGATGCAATTCAAATCACTTAAATCCCAATGGAAATAACTTTTCGGCCCACAGTAAAGTATTATTAACTTCAGCAGTATTTGTACCTAAGAGACTTGTAAAGCACAGTAGTTAGGTGGGATTTTCTTATTCAAGAATCGGCAAGAACAAATGGATTCTTTTGCAAGGAATTCTTTTCATAACATTGTAATGCCCTCAGTATGAATCTGCAAAAATGAATCGAACTCTAAGCAAGTTATAACTTAAAACATTGTAACTAGGTAGCCAAAACTGTTGGGACTAAGTAGCTAAAGACAATTCAGATGTAAAAGAATATTGAACCAGTGCCATACAAATTCAGTTATTTGTAATAATTATATTTAATAAAGTTATTTGTAATATTTGCATTTTTGCCCACCTGGGTACTTCCACCCTGTGTATCCAAGACTAACCAACTGACAATAAAAAAGTATAATAGTACTGATGCAGGTTGGAGAGGCCGAAACTCCCAAGTTCTATTAGAAACAGTATTTAACAGCATTTTTCTTAAGAAAAATGGTTAAGTTCCAAAAATAATTTGAAAATACATTTTTTTGAAATTTAGATGGAGAAATTGAGGAACACAAGGTCTATAAATATATTCAATATATTCTGTCAGTTAAAAACAGGAGAATTACAGCTAATCTCTCAGTGCCAGAGATTTTAAATGCCTTTAACTAAAATGCAAAATAGAATTGGCTTTGCTAATTAGGGAAGCATCAGATTATATAGGTAGAGAGATCACCAACAATTTTCATCAGGTGTGGAAGAGAAATTTCAGGATCTGCAGCCAACAGAAGCACTTCAACATAAATAGGAACTTTGCTGCCTGCCCACACATGCTAATGACACTAAAGCCAGATGAGGCAACAGCCAGCCTCTTTTCATGAGGCAGATGAACGGGTTCTAATCTAGACTCCATGGTGATAATTTTCAATACCGTAGCTCATTCAGAGGCTGCTTTCCTTAACCTTGGTTAAAGGGCAGGCCAACAAGACAACTTGCATAAAACGTGTTCTGGGGAGAAAATTCCACTATAGTTTCTCTCGCTGCATCGAAGAAAAGTATCTTAATAGAAAAATCATCCTAAACCACCAAAAACTTCTGCATCCAAGCTGCAAACCTAGCTTGGAAGCTAGCAATCTGGACCCGACTTTGGACCAGCAAAAACTAACACATTCCATATACTTAACTTTACATACCACTTCATACATTCAGGACTTGGTGTATCATGTTCCTTCAAGTGTCATTTAGTAAAGCGCAGTATTTAAGGAATCTTGGCTACAGTTCTTAACCCCCACGTCCTGTGTACCTTTTATCAAATGGAGGTTCATGATGCAACTGAGACTAATACTAGGATTTACCTTTGCAGTACCAAAAGAAGCAATTTATCAGATTGGTTTCTTTGGGTGTAGGTCATCACCTAGTTGATGACATTTACCAATGATTTTTACAGGGCTTAAACTTCAGTACATGTTTTATTTTCAGAGTAAAAGTCTCCATTCAATCCAGATTCTGCACTTTAAAAAAGGTGAATAATGTGACATAAATTATACAATTACTATTTTGCAAAGTTTAGGGAGGTTTCATTTGTTGAAGAAGCAAAGAGCTAAACCAGGCATTGAAGCCAAACTCCCAACAACTGGAAATGTTCAGCCAGTAAACAGATTTTTGAGATTGTAGAGGACAAGGCCTGGTGCACTTTCAAGCATGGTTTGAAACAAGGGTGTGTATTATCTAATGCAACATAAAAATGGCCCAGGCTTGCACATAATAAATCATAGTTAATTGTGTACTGTGTTTACACAGATTGCTCATCCTCTAGCACAATAACCAGTGATCCCTGGTTAGTGTTAAGCTCATACCAGCAATCTTGGTAAGCCAAGTCCAACACTCAATGCTCTGCTTGGATGTAATGCAAAGCCAGGGTTCATGATTTGTTACTCCTTCCAATGTAAGGGGAAGAGCGTTAACCATTCAGACTAAAACATACTGATGTGTAAGCACAACCTACATATATGGCCACACATAGAATTGTAGAGTTGGAAGGGACCACAAGGATCATCTAGTCCAACCCCCCTGCAGTGCAGGGATTTGAGGGGAAAGGAATCTTTTTGTCCAACATGGGGCTTGAAGCCATGACCCTCAGTCAAATTTATTGTTGCTAAGTTATATATTGTCTCTGGAATCTGCATCTGTTACCCTTTTCTCTGCTTCTATGGCATTGGTATGCATTCTGCCCTGTTCATAACCTTTCATGTTACAGAACATTGGGAAAAATACTTTATAAACCTTAGTAAGTTTCTTGGTGTGTGATGCCCTTTCCCACCCATTTCAAAAGATCCACCTTTCAATGCTTTGAATATGACCACGCCTTATCCAAAAGGAAAAATGCACATGCTGCTGGCTACTGAGAAGAGACTTAAAAAGGAGGTAAATTTTAACAGCAAAGCAGTTGCACACCAATAGCCCAATAACATTTGGTCTATTTTTGTTTCAGAAGATTGTGTTATGAAAGCCACTGTAAGGGGGGGGGCAGTTATTCCATAAAGTCTATCTTCCTGTATTATTCCAGTCTTAAAGAAGATGAAGCAGCAGTATAAAAAATGTAATCCATAAATTCAGCATCTTCCCCTTTCTTGTGGCACATCTTTCCCCTCAAATCCTTAGAAGTTTGAGGTTTCTTGATCACAGCTATATATTATGGGCTGAAAACAGGAGAGACTAGATACATAAATACTAAAGAGCCACCTTGATCTGAAGTTGCATGTTACAGTTTAATTGTTACCCTGTTCCCATTCATTAACCTCAACATATTGTGTGTGCATGCATATATAAGCCCCAGTTGCACACTTCATACATACTTGCTTTTTAGAGAGTTGGGCTTCTACAGCTGCAATCACTGGTCGCAAACCAATAGAAACAACACACCAGATAGTCATGTTGCACTAATGTCATTCATTTCAGTAGAGTCCTGTAGCTTCTTTTTGGGCCTCATTGAAATGAATGGTGTGTATCGTCTTTTTTGTTGGATTTGTACTTTATCATGGTCGCAGTTACCTATAGCCACTTTATAATACTTTATAATACTTCAGTTCCCCTACCAACTTCAAATCTAAACAACTGAGAATTCGGCCTAAGTATTCATTTTTTAGGAAAGACTATACTGGCTTCTTATGCAGAATACAAGACATTCCATTCACTTCAAACAAACACCACATACATTTTACAACTCTAGCAATTATGTATGGTATTACTCACCACATCATTGCCTGTCTTACTTTCTTCCCTTGCACAAGAGTCCTGCCTAAAAGTACCAAACGCTGCAAAACACAAGTTCGTAGAGAATAATATATGTAAATATTTGTGCAAATAAGAGTAGTTGCATGGCCTGACTACAGAAAATGTCATCTATGTATAATGAATTCCTGATACAATCAAATTCTTGTATTTTTCTCTCTCTCTAATCTGCTGTACTGAGGCAGTTGCTCTCAGGGTATTTGTTACAGAGATTTTTTTAAAAAATCATGTAAAATTGTTCTGAATGCATTTGCATTTTGTAAAAACTTTGCAGTGCCAAGTTCTATAAGATACTACATACACTGGGAAGATAAAACAAAATTCTTACTAGTTTATTTTGTATGCTGTTAATTTTCCTCTTAACTATTTTCCTATATAGAATTTATTTACAAGATTGAGAATTCTAGCATTAAGGGTCAACTTTTTTAAAAAAATGTATATTCTGTAGGCTTTATATACTGTAAGTAAGAGGAAACCAGAAGGAATTTTATGTCCATATGTATTTTTGTACTGGCTTAGAAATAAATTTTGAGACAATTTTTCCATGTCTCAGTTTTAAAATTTGTTGGTTTTATTACTGGGTTTATCAGAATTAAAACCATTTTCTTTTTCAGTAACAGGTAAATGTGTTACTGGTAATGTTTGCAAATAAGTATATCTGGTTGGTGTATCACAATACAGGTGCACTATTCTACTCACCACTTCGATAGTGAATTTTGTTTGAATAGCATTTGACTTGAATTATTGTCACTCAAGACCCCAGCAGCATGTCAATAAGTGATGGATTCCGTTGTTTCCCATAATGCTTTGTAACACAGAAGTCATGGCTGATCATACAGTAAGCCTAGAGCTATGGCTTCAAGAATCTCTTCTCCTGACCTGAATTGTTTTGAAATGTTAATGATACATCAGTATAACACACATGTAAAGTTCAACGTGCAAGGCTGTGAAGACTTACTCCTGAATAGTCCAAATACACCATCAGAAAAGTTCCACAAGCTTTAGTGACACAAGCTTCTCTTAAAAGAAACAGAAGTTCCACTCTTAATATATTCAGTTGTATTTATGTAAGCAATGTGTTTAAAAAAATACTTTATAATCAGCTTTTCCAGAATTGCAGATGGCGAACTAGGGAAGGGACACAGGGATTACCAACAGTGCAAAAGTACTAGGTGAAAAATTTATAAAAACTAATTTGCAAATTTTTAATTTCTTTCAAAATATCACTTTAAACCCTTTTATAAAGTCCAACAATCAGACCTGTTGAATTGAAGGTTTGATTCAGACTGCACGCAATGCACTTCATGGATCATGACACAATAGTGCTTAAAAATATACATTACAATTACTATACACAAGCTGCACTGACTTTTCAATCCAATTTGGAAGCGTTTTTTTTTCCTTTTCCAAACAGAACTGAAAGCTTCTTGGACAGGTTACTATATTACTAGAACTTTAAATAGTACTACTAGTGCAATGTCTTATCAAGTTATAGTGGCTGCATTTTAAGGAACATGAATAAAATATTGTATAAACACCTGGATAAACAAAATGCACATTACAATTAAATACTTAATGAACAGCTGAGCATTACATATTGATTATGGAATGTCAGGACTTTTCTTAGGCATACCATTGAAAGTAAGATCAAAGACCAAAGTAAAATTCTGAAAATGTACACAGTGCTATATTTTACTTACAAGCCTGAGAACAATATACTTAGAAACTTTCCTATGAATTGTATTGCAAGCATTTCCACTTGCAAAATATATAGATAAGGAAGAAAAATAGTTGCAATAAGATTTCTAAAAGCATTGTGCTGCCTTGCTCTAACATACTTTATAGAAACAATCTTTGATACGAGGCTATGAAAACTTTGGATTCCCATATTTAACAAATCTGGGTCCTGCCAACTATGTCACCTCCCAAAAGCAGTTCAGTTTACAAGATGAATGGTTTAATCTATAGAGGCAAGTCATGCCTGCTGGGAGATGCACTGCTTCTGAGCTCTAGACAATAAATATTAGCCCTGTTAGTTAGATCACATATTCTGCCAAAACATTTCAGGAGAAAGCAGGGGGCTCTATTAATAATTAAATAACTTAAGTGACATCTACAATGAAATGGAGGTTCACATAATTAAGACCAAACATCACACATTTTGCCAAGTTACAGAGTTATCGGGCCAACTTGAAACAGCATGGTTGTAACCTTTAAAGCAAGCCTCAAGACAAGTAGAGGGAGAAAGCTACAGATAGCCTGATGTAAAAGCAACAAAAACAATACTTCCAATGAGTCATTTTACATGGCAATAAGGGACAAACATGGCAAACCTCTACCATGGCCATTATCCAAATCCTCTTATGGATGGGACTCATGGCTACAGGGACTATTCCTGCCACATTGTCAAGGACATCTGTCAAGCAAATTATTTTTTAAAAAAGGTTACCAGCCTTTACAGTACCACACAGACACGGGCATATTCATACATACATATGCAATAATTATTCAAAGACTTCTGCTTCCTAAGAAACAGTAAGCAGCATAAATCCAAGTGAATTCCTTGGAATGTATGATCAGGCCCAAATACGAGCTGTGCATTTGTCCTCATCAAGGCTACCAGACCCATTTCACAACTACACTGTGCTCACTGAAATGTAAAAATAATTAATGAACAATGTAATGCCTGACCTTGGCTAACAAGATTTAGCAACATTAAAGCATTTAAGGTTGTCTCATCATAAAAATAAATCTGAAAAAGAATTATAAAAGCAAGAACACTTGTGCAATCAAAGCATCGTCCTAAATTCCAAAATTCTAAGTCACCATTTGTCTCAAGATAGAAATTTGAAAAATTATGATATTCATAATTGGGTGTGAATTTTAAATATTTAAAAATTTTACCGCTTTCTGAAACATGACTATAACTCTTTTTTTTTTAATAAAAAAGCTTTAGCAAAATAAAATGAAGCTGACAGATCAAATCTCGTAAAAGTTTACCATACTGTACAAGTTATGAAAATTACACACTTGTTTTTAGAAATTACAGCTCAATCATGACTTAAGTATTGTAAAAATCTTTCAAAGGCTACAAAGAATCTGGAAAAATACAGAATGTATCTCTTATATCCAGATAAGAATATGGAAAGACATCACTGATGTCAACAATTTTACATATACAAACCTGACTTGGTTTATTTTTAAATATTTCTATATATAAAAAAATATTTTGTCACATACAACTTTCAGGATTTACAGGCATTCCTTAACCACCCAACACTGCTTCTCTTCCTATGGACTGATAAACTATCATCAGATCCTCACTTGTTTTATGAATCCTGCTTTACAATTTTAACTAATATTATGGAATTTGATATTGATGTCTTTCCAGAGTGTATTTTGCACAGTAGTTTATGTATGCTTTCCTTGAAATGCTAAACAGGAAGCAGTCCTTTTCAATAGAACGTGCTCCAATTAAATGTATCATTCAAGATTTTAAAGGTATGTTGTAACTTCTTCAGTCAGGATTAGGAAGCAACCAAAATGTATTTCAAAATCTCAATAAATTATATTAAAGGATTTGAATCTGTAAGGGTAACCTACCAACCCTGAAAATTTTGGACACCCCAAAAATTGCTTGAAGGACTAAAGCCAAACATTCAGTCATCTACCATCTCCTGTTCTTCAAACTTTCCATGGGTCACTGCTTCTGGGTAAATCTCTGAGGAACCTGGGCTCTCCTTCTCATTACTATTGACTCTTCTCCTCTTTGCAGGTCTTTCGTTTTTTTCTTCAGGATCATTTTCATTCTTTGAATTTGAATGAGCAAGTTTAGAATGATTGGAAAGGTTTTCAGTTTCATAGCCATTTGTATCAAGATCCACAAGAGGCATTTTTTTGCCAGTTGTTGGTCCATTTATGTGCAATCCCTCAATTTTCACTTCTTCTTTACTTGATAGTTCACCTGGCCCATTCGTGGATACACCTATATCATAAAGGAAACAAAGAAAGACTATGAGCAAGGACTGTAAAATTGCATTTTGGAACAAGTACTTAAACTTATGACCATTTACGGGCATAACGTAAGTAAATTCTACCATTACAAAGGCTATGTAATTGCCGCAATCCACTTTAGTTTATGAAATTTCCCATTTGAGTTTACAGCCCCACACCACTTGTGTCTGTTTGTGAATCAAGTGTAGATTATAGAACTGTTCACAATGCCCACAGGATATCTGCAATGAGCTTTGGGAAAATGTTTAGTTTAAGAGATTTCAGGTATACTAAGGACATATAAATTTTAGATACCATTTTGATTACTGCTGCTGGTTGTGCTGTCCTCTCTCTCCGAATGGCTGGTGCTGCTGTTAGAAGTTGTGGGAGGTGGGGAGGGAGCCCGACTAGATGCAGCACTTTCACTTTCATCTAAGAGTCGATCCATGTAATCCCTTAAAGGCAGAAAGAAAACATTTGCTCTTCAGCATGGATAGACCTGCTGCAAAAAGATCTTGTCATCTGGAGGAGCCCTGGCTGCCTAGATAAAACACTATACCCTCACGTTTACCTGGGAGTAAGGCCCACTGAACTCAGTGTGGCGTTCTTCTGAGTAGACAGTTATTTACTTGATGCAAGCCAGTAGCACCAGACGACCCCACTCAGCAAGGCACCGGGGTGGATTTCACCCCATGCCTTGCAGAATTGGGCAGACAGCTCTGATACACTTGGGGCTGGGGTGGATTGCACCCTGTGGCTTGCAGAGTCAGCCCAGGTTGCCACCGGGCGCAAGCAGCTTGCCTAGCCCTACCCATTGCCACCCCACTACCGCATTTACCCGACCTGGGGGCTCTGGATCGTGGGCTCTACTGGTCAAAACAGCAGTAGAGTGATCGCCCTCTCCACCGGAAATGAAACCAGGACTGCTCCAAGAAAATGCACGGGGCAAAAAGGAGCACTAGGCCCTAGTAGGCCGCCCCCTTACCCACCTGTGATTGACCAAGCGGATAGTCGGCCAATCAGGATTTTAAAAAAGTGCTTCACCCCCCCTTCAGTTCTCACTTCCCGCTGTGGCCCCTCGTGCTGTGGTGCCCCATTTATGCAATTTTCACCTGTGGCTCCACTGGAATATCCTGGGGGGCCCAGGGAGCCATATGGCCTCTGGTTGGGAAACACTGCTCTAGAACATCATTCCAGTATGACAAACATTAGTGGAAAGCACACAACAGTCTATGTACAAATTAATTTTAAATTTTGCAAGGACATCAATTGTAGAAAGAAGCAGTACTGCACAACTGGCAAAAATATTGTTCATACTTGATAAAGAAACAAGACTTCATAAGACAACATCAACTATTTCTTGCCATTGGTGCTACACCATCTATGAAACTCAGGAAGGCTTGGCAGTGCCTGGCAAAACACCTTTAAAGTTTCCCCATGCTTTTATGGTATTTTATGCCACTCATATCTGTTCTTTATGTGTCTTATACTTCTTTGTAAGCAACCCTGTTCATTTTCCATTGGAGGGTGGCATACACATTCTTAAACTGAAGTCTCCATCAAGTCACTCACTCCAAAATGTGTTTTATTTATGCTTATTTTGCTGTTAGGTCACAGCAAACTTCTATGTAACAAGAGACTAACAAGTCTAATAAATCAAACTGCTTGGAGACAATTATGCCAGCTACTATTTTTCATGGAACTCTACTCCCTTGGTTTGACATTACATTGCTGGGTACTGTAGTATCGGGAGGTTTTTACTGCTTGATGTTTTTACCGTTTTTAGATATGCTGTAAGCTGGCCAATTATAATAATTGCCAGGTATTTATTCACCACTTTGAAGGCTCCCTGGCCAAAAAGCACTAAAAAAGACAGACAAGAGCTGCTGTGCTAGGAGAGCCAGCCTGCTGGACTTAGATCAGAATCTAACTGAATGCTAGACTTAGGGAGACCTAGATTCAAACGCTAGACTTTGGCGAGACCAGGCTTCTTCTACGTGGAACTCTGACTAGGAAGAGCACACATTCATTTCCTATTTCTACACAAACACAAAACCAACCAAAATTGATTACAACTTACGTTACACCAGGATGCAAGTTGTACTTCTTTTTACCAAATCGTGTCTGTTGAGCAAAGAAGTCGTATCGTTCCGATTTTTTCCACATGTAGTAAAATGCTATGCATTCTCCAACAGATCTTGTCCGTACCTTTGAAAAATGAGTAAACCAAATACTTACTCTGCTTTCTATATAGACTTATGAAACACACTCTGAGATGACAAACCTTGGAGTTGAGGGATTGTTCAAAATGGGGACATTTAGGCAGATTAACACCTTGCCGAACACCTTAGGGGTGTGCCCCTGAATGACCAGCCAAGCAAACTGCCTTTGCTTCTCCCTCCCAAAACACCACATTACATGTTAAGCTAGATAGGGTAAATAGCACAGTCTTGCTCAGAGGCAGATATGGAACGTTAAGGCAATTTTTGCTCTGGATTACTCAGTCTCTTGTTCTACACCCAGGTTTATTGCACTTTGGTCTTTAAATCATTACCCAATTCACTAACCTTGTTTGCCTGAATCAAGTGAAAATCCTTTCCATAAGCCTTCAATCCTTGTTCAAAATTTCTACATTCTTCTTCTGTCCAGACAGATAGTTCCTCTGAATTTAAGAAATATAATACAAAAGCATATAAATGAAATTTATTATTTAGTTTATCTGTATACCACCCTTCATCCAAAGATCACAGGGTGGTTCACAACATAAAAATACAAAAAGAGAACACAAATTACATAATAAACCAAGAACAAGAAAACATTGAAAAGGCCATAGAATACTAATGGAAGGGGACACAAAGAAGGGCTTTAGATAATGTTCGCAGAGTCCAGGTTGGTATATACCGTATTGGCCTGAATATAAGCCGCACCCTCAAATAAGCCGCACCTTTAAAATTCGGGGTGGGGGGTGGGGAGAAAAAAAAAGACAATAGCCAAATATAAGCCGCTCCCTTAAAATTGGGTTACAGGCTAAAAATTGCTGCGGTTGGTAGAATTCTAACTCCGAGCCCATTTAAGCCTTTGATCTTGCCAGCTCATACAATTGCTCAAATGGCAAATTGCTATTCAATTGCTACAATTCTGCAGGCACTCACACCTGCAAATGGCAAATGAACAGTCTTGAGCTTACAAATCGGCAATAAAACATTTTTTTTGGTTCCATTTTACCATATGTCTGTTTCAGCATTGAATCGTCAAAGCCCATTTTTGTAAGGACACGAATTTAAACTGCACCTTAACTTTTAATGGTTGGAATTTGGAAAAAAAAGTGAGGCTTATATTCAGGCCAATATGGTATCGGGAGAGGCGGTCCTTGAGATTATTGCATTCCTGATCCATTCAAGGCTTTATAGGTCAAAACCAGCACTTTGAATTGGGCCCAGAAACTAACTGGCAGCCAGTGTAGATGGGTCAGGATATACATTATATGCTCAAGCTATCTTGTCCTGATGATCACCCTAGCCACTGAATTCTGCACCAGCTGAAGTTCCCAAAGTGCCTTCAGAAGCAACCCCATGTACAATGCATCACTTTGAGTAATCTAGCCTAGAGGTTCCCAAAGCACAGACAACTAAAGTTGGGCTATCCGTGTCCAGATAGGGGTGCAGCTGGGCCACCAGGCGAAGCTGATGGAAGGTGGTCCACACCACTGAGGCCACCTGAGCCTCAACCAACAGCAAATGATCCAGGAGTAGCCCCAAGCTACAGACCTACTCCTTCAGAGGGAGTGTAACCTCATCGAGACCAGGCAACCTCCCATCCTCTGGTCTAGGGAACCACCCACTAACAGTGCCTCAGCTCTAAGTCAAAAAATTAGCCAATATACATAGTCATATGCAGACATCTCTTAACCATAACTTTGGGGGGATGGGTGGAGAGAGATTGAACAGGAGGGGATTGTTTACTATTTACACAAAAAGCACAAATGGAGAGCGAAATGCTTGCCTTGTTGCACCCTGTGCAATCTTATCTAATTAGCAGATCACATCTAATGTTGTATTCTGCTGCTTTAAACTTTAAGTTGTTTTCCCACAACAGTATTACAACATAGTATATATTAACCCCACCTCCACTTTATATATGAGTGAGACAGATGTGTGCATAGTTGCTGTATCAAATCTACTTAGGCATATATGTTATAGAAATAAATAAATAAATTTTAAAAATTGTCCAGTAGCACCTTAAGAGACCAACTAAGTTTGTTCTGGGTATAAGCTTTCGTGTGCATGCACATGAAAGCTTATACCCAGAACTAACTTAGTTGGTCTCTAAGGCGCTACTGGACAATTTTTAAAATTTATTTATTTATTTCGACTGTCAGACGAACACAGCTACCTACCTGAATATATGTTATAGTTGGACAATTTTACTAGGACTCAGTTATATTTAAAGAAACTAGAACTTTTAGAATCACAGAATTCTAGAGTTGGGAGAGATCTACAAGGGTCATCTAGCGCAAGGCAGCTAAAGCGTCTCTGCCAGATAGCCACCCAAACTCGGATTATTCCTCACCAAGGAAGGAGAGTCCACCACCTTCTGAAGCAGTCCATTCCAATCTCAAATAGATCTTACTGTCAGAAAAGTCATCCTAATGATTATTTAGAATCTCCTTTCTTGTTATTTTTATCTTTTGGTTCAGATTCTACCTTCCCGAGCAACAGAAAACAAGCTTGTTCCATATTGTGACAGCCCTTTAGATATCTGAAGATGGCTATCCTAGCTCCTCTCAGTCTTCTCTTCTCAAGGCTAAACATACCCAACTCCCTCAACTGTTTATCTTAAGGCTTGGTTTCCAGACCCTTGATAAATCTTGGTTGCCCTCCTCTGCACAGATTCAGCTTTTTGATATTCTCCTTAAACATTTGTCCCTACTGAAATGCATTTTGATAGTTTTGGCCCAGTTCTCCAACTTGTTAAAGGCATATTGAATGCCGATTCTATATTCTGAGGCAGCATTTCCGAAAGGTACAATAATCGTATATGCCTTTTGAGTTTTGTCTTACCACTGCACCACCTTCTCAGGCGAATGTAATTTGGGGGTAGTTTTAATAATATTATTTTATATTTGAATTGCTTTATGCAGCTAAAAAAACCTATGATAAAGTAAAACAAAAAAATTATGCTGCCCACCCTTTGAAACCCTTTCATGTACCCTAGGGGGCACACGTACAACACTCTGGTGGCACCTGCAATTTGATGAGCATCCCATCTATTCCTTCATTCAAGTCACAACACCAGGCCCAGGACAGACCCTATGGCACCCCACTCGTCATTCTTTTTCAAGAATAATGAGGAACCATTGATGTGCACTCTTAGGGTTCCATCAGTCAACCAGCTACAAATCAACATAATAGTAACTAATAAGTACACTTGAAGGGTGGGAAAACTCTCAAGAGTAAACTAAATTATTGTAATTTTTTAATGTACCTTTCATTTCCTTTTGCATTTTTTCATTTATTTTGTTTCACTGAAATATTTGCAATAAAAAAATTAAAACCATAAATATTAAACTGAATTATTTTAAGATCTCTAAAATAATGGATGGATGGATGATATATATTTGATATATTAAAGGGCTCTTAATGGGATTGTAATGTTAGGAAGCTTTTTAAATTGGCTGTTTTCATTAAAGGTATTTTTAATGATAAAATATACATACCTCGGGCTGCTTTTACATTAAATCTTAATCTTCTTAGTGCCTCTTCTATATCAAAACTGCATTTCACTAATTCATACAAAGCCTGGGAAAGAAGGAAGAAAGTATGATCTTCTCAACTATTGTTTAAAAACACTGGAACAAAATCAGCTGTTTCTGTTTTTAAAATCCAGTGTTAAGACAAAGCTAGATCCTGCTGTAGAATCATAGAATCGAAGCATTGGAAGGGACCCTGAGGATCATCTAGTCCAATGCCCTGCAATGCAGGAATATGTAGCTGTCCCATACGGGGATCAAACCTGAAACCTAGGTGCTACCAGCACCATGCTCTGACCCACTGAGCTATCCAGGTAAGGAACAGAGATTTCATATTTCCCAATACATATAAAATTCCGAATCCTGCACCACTCAAAAACATTAGGCAGCCAAGATGAGGGAGTATAATGTGACACACAACAAAATAACCACAAGGAATTTTAAAGCCACTAAGAGTTCCAAGTGTCTTAAATACCTGCTCATTGTCTTTAGTATGAGATCCTTCAGGAATTGCATCTATTCCTCTCTCATCACCTGTTCGTCTAGAGGCTTCATTAAGGAATTCGATCACTTTCTCTTCAGACAAGTAATCTGGATTCCACAGCAACTGGTCATCATTTTCATACACTAAATTAGAGAAATCAAGACATATTGTCTTAACATCATCTATCATTAAACCTATCTACCAAAATTCTTTCCATTTACCTCCAAAACAAGCTGAAATGCTAAACAGACTTCCTTGACAGCATTTCTGCCAATAATTCTACACAGAATGTATGGTTTTCTCGAAGAAAACCAGACTTATTTCTGAGTAGATAACACAGGGCTGAGCTGTAAAACTGGCAAACCTGAAGAGTTGAGTTCTACTGGTTCACTAATAATTGGCGGCAACTTGAAAGATATATATTCACTGGTGACATTATGCAAAGTCTAACTCTTGTAAGTGGGCAACTCAGTTCTATCACTTTGCTCTGATGGGAAGCTGTGTGCAACAAAGTAAGTATTCACTCATCATTCATGACAAAAAGCATTGGGGATTGAGACTTCTAACACCTTTGCTTCCTCAGCACCTCTTGTACCTGCCACCAGAGCCAAATGCTACAAGATCAGCAGGTGTTGCCCAGTGATGAAGCCCTGGACTATGAGAGTCTTAATAGCTGTTACTTCATCTGTCAGTTCCAGACCAGGAAATTCAGCTGAATACAATTATACTATTGCCTAAATAAATAAATATTCCTTACACAGCAGTTTTCCAGTAACCAAAATAAAGATTCTTATAGGCAGTCACTCTCATGATCATTTTTAACATGATAAAATTAATGAATAGTAACTTTTACCAATGGAATTAATGTGATAATCACATTGCAACATTATGAGAACTGCTAAAGTTTACGTCAATCATGAACCTCATTGGCCACCTTTTCCCCTAAACATCTTACCTCAAATTTGTCAGATCTCTTAATTTGGATCAAATTACCACCATAGCATTAACAGCAATTAAAGTTTACCTTTTTCATTTTCTTTGTATTTAGATATCCCAACTGGAATTTCAGCTTGAAACATGGAGCCCACCATGATTTCCTATATAAAAAAACACATTCACAATAACCAGAAGTGTAACTGAGCACCCATCTGTTGCTATCTATGTATATTATTTAAAAATATGTAGGTTTAACACAATATGAATGCATCCAATCACTAGAAAATGCAGTTTGAGAAAATTACCTCACTTTAATGAGGTAAGTACTCTGTATTGAGGTAGCACCATCCATTTAACCTGTGGACAAGCTATGAAGTGACAGCAACGTTCCCTTCTGAACAGTCAATTATCTGTCAAAATTGTTCAGTGTGCGGCTTTCAGATTGGATAAGGATGATAAAAAGATGTGGAGTTGTATTGTTTCCATTTTTTAAAGTGACACAAATGTGCAGAAGTTGCCAACAAAAACATGTTTCACAATACAGTTGATTTTGTCTTCTTATATACTACTTAAAAGTAATAAATAACCCCAAGGTAGTTTCCATCTAGCAAATCAAATGGCATCAATAAAAATAACAGCAAATAACCAACAACAATCATTTCAACAGCGCAAATTGAGACTAAGAATCAGGCATGCCCTTCACATGCTCATGTGAACAAGTGCCCTTCACATGCAGTGGGCACCCATTAGAGCTATGGCTAAGAGGAGGAAGAGTTCAATAACTGTGGCACCACTAAAGATAAGGCCCTGCGCCAGGTCTCCACTCAGTGAACTGAAGCTGCTAGCTGGACCACCAGCAGGGTTTTCTGCCAAATTCAAGAGTGTGGGCTGACATGGGGAGAGGTGGTTCAACAAATGTGTACCCACAAGACGTGAAGGGCTTTATATATTAGTTTAAGCACAAAGAATTGGCCCTGGTAACAAATATGAAGATGTTCAGATCCCACAGAATAGGTTTTACATAACATTGTACATAAGTGCCTGTAAGGACTCCTACAGCTACATCCTGCACTATCTGCAGTTTCCAGGCAGTCTTCTAGAGCAACCCAACATAGAGGGCATTACGGTAGCCTGAACAGGAGGTGGCCAGAACATGCAGAACTGTGGTGAGGGTGTCTCATTCCAGAAATAGCCTTAGTGGGCACACCAGCTGGAGCTGAAAATCACTCCAAACCCTCTGATGCCTGCACCCAAAGGGCACTCACAATGTTCTAGAATACCTTATTTATTTATATGGTAGCCACATATGCTAATATAGTATTACCTTTTTCCAGTCTTCTGAAGGAATATAATCTTCGTCTTCTTCAGATTCCTCTTCTATTTCACTGTCTATATACAAAAACCAACAACTTTTGCTTAAATGTTAATAGCTACTCTGAGTCGCATTCCTTCAAATACAGTATATCCTAGAGACAGTTTTCTCAAAGTTAATTGGGCATTGAGACATGATGTCACAACCAACTCTATGTGACGACTTGTGGCAGAGATCTCCTTACTGAGTAATACAAAGAACTGTAAGAAGCAAGCAGATTACAAATTTGTAAAAAATTGAACACTCCTATATAGTCATTTAAATATCTGTGAACACCATGACAATGTATTTACCAAAGAACAGCTGCATATGCAAAGTCAGAGAAAGCATGAATTTTCAAGTTTGAAATAGATTTTAAAAGGTTTTGTAAAAAATTACATCCCATGTTGCTGAAACCATTTTTGCTAGCAGCCAAACAGCTAGTGACAATAACTATAAAAGAACACAGTTCTGATTGCTGTCAACAGTATATTTTAATTCTAGTGAGGCCGCTAAAGAAATATTGGGCAGATTCACCAGAAACTTTGTGCAAGGACTGCCACTTGTACAACGGGGCTTGGGTCACAGGAGCATTACAAAAGCTTCCCTTTCCTTACCCTGTTCTCCAATGGAAGCTAGGGACACCTCAACCTTCAGGAAAGCACCTCATTTTCTGTAAATCAAACAACTGCATGTTCTGAATCCTCTACATAGCCAAGTCTGATGAACAAGAACCACTGATCTTGGTGGTTAAAACTGAGGAAGCCAGCTTCTAACACTACTGGGGCTGGGGGGCAGGGAGAAACTGATTGTAATGTGGGGAAAAATATTTCTACAAGTCCCAACACACATGCTGAAGTCCTTCCAGACATCTGAAAGGAACTAGAAAAGGCTCACTTCACTGCCTTTGCCTCTCACCAGATTTGCCAAATAAATGTTAAAATTTCTAGCTATTTCTTTATATGTATGGAGCCAACATGTATATGACAGATTTATGACTTGGCCCAAAATCTCCAATCGTTTCATCATTTCATAGCGTTCCTATCCCCACTAAGTGCCAGCAAAAGATTAACATCCACAGAATGCATCTTACAAGGTCTAGGAATGATCTAAATAGGATGAGTTTTCCACAGCTCACTAATCATCACTACAGTCCTGCCCCTCACCCCCCCCATTTTCTCCTAATAATTCCAATATTTGCCAAAGAGCATACATACAAAATAATTAAAATAATTAGTAATTAAAATAATTAAAATAATTAATTAATAATTAAAATGTGCCTATATAATTGTTTTTAAAAAGGAAGAACACAAACAAAATTACACCTTATTACTTGCAAGCAGAAACTTGCTTTTGGCACTTGTGAGAGTACTTAAGCTATGAGAAGTAAGGAAAAGGCTTATCTCATTCAGTTTTTGGTATGAGAATCCTCAAACACTTATATGGGATCAAATTACAAGACCTGTTAAAATGTCTGAAAACAGGTTTAGATGACAATGCTTAATACTTTAAAAGACATACTTGCATCAAAGTATTTACACCGCCGTGGGCGAATTATCTCCTGTACAGCAGAGGGCACCGGATCATCGTTGGAGGACTGTGTCTCATCCTCTTGACCAGATGAATCCTTTATTACCTCCTCCTTACAAACAACGAAACAAGACAGCAGCTATTATCATTTCTGCCCTACTTACACAAGTTAACATACAAAATAAAATTGGTATAACTGACAGTGCATCATAACCCATAACAGTAAGAAGTGATGCCTTAAAAACCAAGTGGAAAAGAAAAATGAAGCAGATTAACAGACTAAAATCATACATAAGCTGCACACTGAAAAAAGATGTTTAACATGTTTTTTAAAACTAAAAGAGGCACAGCAGAGCTGCTCAAAGAAGACATTCCACAGTACCACTGACCAAAAAGGCCCTGTCACATCCCCACTCAGGATCAAAAAAAGGGCTTCTGATGCTAATCTTAATATCTGGCAAACTGTGCAGCAACACAGCTCCTGAGGCAACCTGGTCCCAAGTCATTAAAGGCTAGAACCAATGCTTAAATCTGAGGAAGCCAAAAGAAAAGAAGAGAAAAGAGAAGAGAAAAGAAAAGAAAAGAGAAAAGAAAAGAGAAAAGAGAAAAGAAAAGAGAAAAGAGAAGAGAAGAGAAGAGAAGAGAAGAAAAAAAAGAAAAGAAAAGAAAAGAAAAGAAAAGAAAAGAAAAGAAAAGAAAAGAAAAGAAAAGGAAAAGGAAAAGGAAGCAAAGGAAAGGAAAGGAAAGGAAAGGAAAGGAAAGGAAAAGAAAAGAAAAGAAAAGAAAAGAAAAGAAAAGAAAAGAAAAGAAAAGAAAAGCAGCTACTGTTTGCTAATATGTTGTTATTTTAAAGGGGGAACTTGCAAGCTGAAATCTGCTTTTGGCAATTGTAAGTGCAGATTTGGCGATGGGAAGTAAGGAATATGCTCCAATCTTTCATCCCCAGCTAGCAATCTGGCCACTGCATTTTTTACTAATTGAGGTTTTCAAGGCTTTATTTAAAGGAAAACCAACAGAGACAGCACTGCAGTAGTATAACCTGGAAGTAACTAGGGATGGATAACTGAGGGTGGGTCTGTATTGTTCATTAGCTGGCAAATCACCACTTTGAGACTATCTAGGAAAAAGCAAAACTACTGAAATAATATAATATAACATCATCACCGTTACAGAATTAGAGTTTGAGGGGTTCCATTTAGCGCAGACTTCACCAACCTAGTGCCCTTCACCAACCGAGTGCTCTCCACAGCCAGCATGTTGGCAAAAACTGATCTAGTCCAACCCCTTGTTTGACCTAGGGCATCCAGATTTACAGCATCCCTAACAAACGGTTGGACAGTGTTCTCGAAGCTACAAACATGAGTTTGACCAAGCTGCGGGAGGCAGTGGAAGACAGGAGTGCCTGGCGTGCTCTGGTCCATGGGGTCACGAAGAGTCGGACACGACTAAACAACAACAACAAATGGCTAGCTAGTCTCGGCTTGAAGACCTCCTATAAGGAAACAAATACCACCCCCTACGCCAGGGATGACTATTGTATGACTCTCCAGATGCTAAACTATAACTCAGGCATCCCCAAATTCAGCCCTCCAGATGTTTTGGGACTAGAACTCCCATCATCCCTAGCCAACAGGACCAGTGGTCAGGGATGATGGGAATTGTAGTCCCAAAACATCTGGAGGGCAGAGTTTGGGGAGGTCTGCTATAACTCTCATCAGCTCAACCCAGCAGAGCCAATGGTCAGAGGTGATGGGAGGGTCTCAGGTTTACCACCTCTGATTTGTGTAACTGATTCTTTTGTTGACTTGTCAAGAAGTTTCTCATAATGTTCACATGAATCTACTCTCCTGTAACTTAAACCCATTAGCTCTAATCTTGTCCTCTGGAGAAGCAGAAAACATTTTATTTTGCCCACAACCACATGACAGACTTCCAAAAATTTGAAGAGGGCTATCATATCCCTCCTTGGGCTTCTCTTCAGGAGGATAAACATACCCAGTTCCTTCAACCTTTCCTACATGCTGCCATCCTCTAAGCACATTCTAATGTATCAGTTTTTCTTACTGTGGTGCCCAGAGCTAGAAACAGAAGTCTAAATGAGCTCTGACAATTGCACAGTAAAATTGTAACCATTACTTCCTGTGCCTTGCAATTTTTTGGAAATCTCTGACTTGGTTCAGTCTAAAACTGTATTCATGTATTGCAGATGCATCACACTAGTTCAGCCTATGATCAACTTCAGGAGGTTCAGAAGGATACCACGGTTGATGGTATCAAAGGTTGCTGAGAGATCCGAGAGAAGTAATAGGGTTTCACTCCTTCTGCCCATCTCTGGTGCAGGTCATCCACCAGAATGGCCAAGGGAATTTCAATTCCAAAATCAGACCAGAAACCAGCATGGAACAGATCCAGATACTAAATCATGGCATGTCTAGATGAGAAGCTAGAACATACTTGAAAGCTTGCCCAAATAATCCAGTTTTGACACAGATCAAGTTGACTTATAAGAGAGACTTCTCCATAGGTACAGGAACTATGCCATCTCTTAGAGGCTTTGGTCACCTCTAAAATACAGAATGGCATACCCAGAGTACCAAAATAATAATAATAATTGTTATTTATTAAATTTCTATACTGCCCTATACCCACAGGTCTCAGGGCAGTTCACAGGATAAAATCACAATATAAAAGCACAAGATACATAATCAAAATAAAAACAAGAACTCAATAACCCCCCACAAATAATCAGAGAAAGGAAATAAAACTTAAAACACACATATACAGTAATTGTAATAAAACATATAAAAATAAGCACCCATCAGGCATCATGAAGAAGTAGATTAAAAGGTCAATTTAACTGTCTTTCAAATCAAAAAAATTTAGCCATTGGTTTTTTTCCAATTGCATCCATTCACAGAAGCTCTTTGATCCAGTGGAGGCTTCCATGAAGGGGCACTGGGAGGCAATTTTCTCTTACTCCCCTTTCCCTCCACAGCCCTTGTCCCCATCCCCTCAAATGGGAAAGCAGTGAGCATGTAAGTGGTAAACTTCAACTAGTCAAGCTGCCTGCCATGTCAGCAGGAAAAATTAACTGAAAAGTATCCATTACTAGGAGCCATGCTAGTTTTGATTGCAATTTGCTTTAAGCAGTTTTAACGCTGTATTTTGTATTACTGTAACCTGACAGTGCAGGGCATGTAACAAATCTAAACAAGAAGTGCTCGTAGCAATTCTCATCTCTCTCCACCTGGGACAGTTCTTCTGCCAGGCAATCTTGCAGATGCAATGGTGGCAGAAAAGTAGGTTGTTTTTCCCCTGCCACCACTTACACTGCAACATGGGCTCTGTGTTAGGTTGGATACTTTCTAAAACTTCTGCCACCTGTGCTCCAACCATAGCACTAATCATTTCATTGCCCTCAATTACTAATTAAGTCAATTTCTTTCAGCTTAAATTATTCAGTTATATACCAGATGTTTCACTGCCACAGAGGAACACAACACATGACAACAGAACAATGGAAGTTCAGTTAATACTTATAACTTGTCTTATAGTCTTTCCCTATAGCTTTTCACCAATCACTCAAGCTGTCCTGAAACACATACAGATGAACAATGATGTGAGCTATTTTGTACCTACAGTGGTATCTCTGGTTACGAACTTAATTCGTTCCGGAGGTCTGTTCTTAACCTCAAACCGTTCTTAACCTGAGGTACCACTTTAGCTAATGGGGCTTCCCGCTGCCGCCAGCGCACAATTTCTGTTCTGAGGTAGAGTTCTTAACCCGAGGTACTACTTCCGGGTTAGAGGAGCTTGTAACCCGAAGTGTTTGTAACCCGAGGTACCGCTGTATTTTGCAAGTTTGTATTGAAAAATTGAGAAAGCTGATGATTTGTTTAGATTCAGGTTTCTTAAAAGTCTGAGACAAATTGCCATTAACCACCTAGTCAGAAGCACAAAATCTACTTAGTACTCCACTCCCCCTGAGACAATTATCCTGGAGTATCTAGTTATAGTTATACAATTTGTCAAAGCTTCTGCAATTCCTGACAAAACACAAAACATTCAGATGAAATTGCCAAGACTGGAATATAAACCTCAGGAGGCACTCAAAGAAAAGAAAAGATTGCAGCAGAGTCCCAGAAAGAAATTTTATGAGAGTATCTCTTTAAACCAGGAATGTCTTACTTGCATTATTTACTGTGAAAAATGTGGGGGCAAAATGTTCTAAAGAAAACTTAAGGTTCACTGTCCATCTCAGGTAATGGAGCAAAAGGGGCAAGACAATATGCTTTAGTAGACAAAACGCTTTAGTAGACAAAACTCTGATGGCAAAATATTATGCAATGTTTTCAGTAACCAAGTGTTCTTTCTTGGGTAAACTTTCTGCATGATTCTCTGCACTATCCTAACCTGTAGTATGTTGTACAGATTTTTTTTAAAAGGTTAATATGGAAATAAGTCATGGAATTTGCCACCTAACTGCATGTTTGAATTGAACAGTAAATGCTATTGGCAATGGGAATGAGAGATGTGTTTGTGATCAACTACCCAGAGGACATTGTTATAATGGGTGGCAAATAAATTTCTGAATAAATAAATATATAAACTGCCCCTTTTTGTTTTCATGATATAAGCTTGCTTTAGTGCTATCCATAATGTTTATCTCAGTAGTTTAAAGCAGGGTAGACAATATATTGCTGGACTACAAATTCCATCACGACTGAAAGATTTTTCCTTCGAATTCCAGCTTGAGGTCAAACCAAGATCCAAAAGAAAAATGTTCCTTTGAATCCCTAGTCTGAAATTGAGTGTTCCTGATTCTTTCTCTGCATCAAAAAAAAGTCAACACTTTTGGAATTTTGCACCTTTTTCTATCACTGTGCAAGAAGGCAGAAAAGACGGCCAAATTCAAAAAGTGCTGACTTTTTTTTTACATGTTTGAGTTCTTCTTTCTTTTAGCCATAGCTTGAACTTGTTTTAGTTTTTCTTAATGCTTTAAAGTGTTTTAAATATGGTTTTGTGGGGGGTTGTTTTTGTTCTATTGTATGGTCACTTTATTGTTTGCCGCCCTGGGCTCCTTAGGCAAGAAAGAAATTTAATGAAGGAAAGCCAACATTTCTGCCCCAAATGTCATATATGATGTCAGGCTTGAGAAAGAAAGAAAATGGCCTGGTAGGCCAACTTCTCAGACCATGCCAGCCTAATGAGGCCCATAGGCCAGTTGCCCCAGCAACTATACTACACTCAGATCTTTCTGGGACTGTTCACCCATTTCTTGACCCTCAGATCATACTCTAAAATGAAACTAGGAGTAGATATTGAGCTTACATCCATCCTCACTCACTTTCCCCAGAAACCAAGATTAGTCTGAAGTTCAGACTACTGACTGAACTAAGGAGATTTGGAGAAAGAAGCATCAAGGTAACGTAGTCATTTAAATGTAAGCAAACATAGGATCTTCATTGTTCATATGTTATTCCCAGGTAAATGGAGTTTAGGGATTTAGTTGAGATTCCTGCATTGCAGGGGGTTGGACTAGATGATCCTCGGGGTCCCATCCAACTCAACAATTCTATGTTTCAATGACTCCAGTGTCCATTCCACCCCAAGTAAATCTTTGAAAGCAAGTACATTTTGAGTCCTTAGTTAAAGGCAGAAGCTCTTTAGATTTTTTCTATAATCAAGGAGTGTATAAATGTCATGAAATAAATAAATTCAAAGGGCAAAAGAGAGAGTATGCACTCATGCACACACAACAATCACAGCTATGCCTCCTTGATACAGTCCTATAGCAGCAGTCAGTTCCAGCTTTCCCTTTTGGCCTTTATCAACCTACACACGCACGCACACACACGAAACTAGGAACCAAAAGCACAGTCCAAGTTTAAATACTCATCTTTACAGCAGCTTCACTAAATAATACTAGCTTTAAGGAACAGATATGCTAGCTTGCCAAAAGCACACGATAGGAAGCACACAATAGCACAGACCAAGTTTTCAAATTAGTAAGTCTAACTCACTTTATTTTCTCCACTGCACCCACTGTTGTTATCATTATCTTCACCCTCACCCTCCTCCTCCTCCTCTTCTTCCTCTTCTGGTAGTGGCACAGTACCATCATAGCCGTAACGGCTAAGAAGCTCATGAATTGGCATATCACCTTCCTAAAAAGAATTAAAACAGGAAATTATAATAATTCCATGAATTTTATACCAATGTTGTAATCTATAGGCTGTCTGGTCAACAGTGGCTACAACTGTCCTCTGGAGAGCAGATGTCAGCCTGCATGTATTGTCCTCTGACTCAACTCTATCCTGCTCTTTTCAAGGCAGAGCAAAGACAGGATGAGGCACTAGTGTAGTTTGATACAATGATACCATGACAATCTACACCCCCAGGCACAAGAAAAGCAAAATCATTCCCTCTATAATGTTTCCTGCTCTGAATATGTAGAGAGAAAATAGCACAGAGACTGATCACTATCCCTTCTGTTGGACTTGACAATGGTAATGATGAGGACAAGGGGCATGACAATTGGAGCAGGGGTTGGGTGATCTCCATCTTAGTAATTAGCAGCAAAGTTTTTACAGTAGGCACAGATTACAACACATACACACATATAGAGTGGGAAGGGTTTCTACAGAATGAAATGACAATAATATCTAATCTTCAACAACTAAGGTGTGTGTGAGGCAAGGACATTGGGGCGGGGGAATAAGATTTATTGCCTTTGACATGATGATCCCATTGCTCTGGTTGGAAAATTTTCCCCCAGAGAAATATTTTTGCAGGTCAACAATGGATTTACACCAAAGAATAGAGAAATATTTTCAGTCCAAGGGCTACATTCCCTTCTAGTGCTTGGTGGATCCAGAGGAAAGAATGGTAACAATGAATGTACATATTATCTTTGTACATTAGGTTAGTTTCTACACACGCTCTCACACACCCATCTCTATCCTCCATCCAAGGAAGCAAGATTATCAGAATTCAGGGACACATTCTAGCCAGGCAAAAACACTCAAGGAGAGTGTGCAGTTGGGTCAATAGAGGTGTGATGGGGAGGGGAAGAGGAGGAGGTGGCCTGGGGAGGAACTGAGCTACCAGATAAGAGTGGTTTGGAGTGACACATTTGGATCAAAGTTCTCAACCCATTAGGACTTATATCTCATCACTCCTGCCAGTATGCTGAAATTTATAACTTATGACTGCAGAGTTAAACTGAAAATGTTACAGAAAACATGAGAAAAAGAAACAAGTAAAAGAAACACGAAGAAAACTTCATTGTGTTTTTCCTCCTCCCCCCAAATTATTTTTATTAATTTTCCAAATTATTACAAATCAAACCAAATTAATTTAATACAATTTCTTAAAATCAGGTTTCCTGCTCCTGTTCCAAACTCACAATCATCATCATTTCATCGCATAGCCAAATCATTTCTTATTTAAGTCCAGCTGAGAACCTTCATTTGCCGTTAAACCATTCTTCCAGCTTGCTACTTCTTTCACCTTACAAATAGCACCTCCATTACATCTTATAAATAAATGATGGATTTCACCTGTGTGGTCCTTCCTATATATTGTTGTTCCAGACCTGGTGTGCTGGGTGAGTTAATTACTATCTTCCATTGTTCAGTTCTTTGCAGTGTTTATCTGGATGGTACAAAGTTACATTCCATTCCTTCCATTGTTTACAGACTGCAGTCATAAATAACTCACAAAGTGCATATCCAAACTCCACCATTAAAATTCCGCTCTGGAGTTCTTCCTCAGCACACAGTTAAAAGCAAGATCTTTTCTCAAATTCAGCCTCTTTACCGCATCTGTTCGACAGCAGTTCATTATTTTTTCTCCCACTGCATTTCTCCAACAACAGTCCATGAATAATTTTAAATAAAGTCTATTCAGCATCGGTCGAGGGGGGAGGGCATAGTAAAAACCTTGTAAAATTCCTTGTTGAGCATAGACAAAAGCCTTTCCCCTCTTTTCCGAAATAACAAACAGAATAACATAGCAGCGGCTACACATGTCCTTTTCATTATGCATGGGAGGACAGGGAAAAAGGAGACCACTTGAAAACCATAAAAAGCACAAAGTACCTTGTCCACTCCCTTATTTTCCTGGCTGTTGTAAGGATTCTCAAGCTTCAAATAAAATGTCAAAGAAACCTTCAAAGAGTCAAGTCCAGTCCTTTGGGCAGCTAACTGATTGCAGTCTATTGGCATATGTCAGTCCAGGAGCGCCTCTTGATTAATGCCAATTGTCCGAATTTTGGAGGAACCAGGCTCGTCCATGGCAGGGACACAAACCCAGGTCACACCCGCTCTGCCTTTCAAGTTGGTAGACACAAGCTTGAGCGGCACAGCAGGATGCAGTGAGCTCCCCAGACCCCACTAGGGAACAATGCCAGGATTTTTGCCTCATAAATCCTGGCTTTTCCCTGTCTAAACCTCCTCACTGCCTGTGGAGGGCAGCGAGGAGCTACCACCATTGACTTGTGACGTGGCCAGAAAGCAACTTCATTGTGTTTTTTCAACTCTCATGATTTCTTAGGTTGTTATTATGAAGATTTATAAACATAGCAGTTTAAGGTTTTTCACACCTTGTGGATTAGGCTTTCAGGGTATCACCTAAGAAGCTTAACAACTGCACCATAGATTTTTCATCTATGTCCAATAAAATAATATGCAACTCATATTGTTATCCAATCATATGCAACTTAACTGTAGTTGGTTGACCAAAATATTTTTCCAAGGCTATTCTTAATATAAAATAAGCTTCTTAACATAACTGAGTGTATGCAGTATTTTTGGCACACATAACCTTGCTCGTACTAGTCTTCCACTAAAATTCAATGCTTCTGACCTTCACTGTTCTTTTCTATGAAAACTGACATCTGATTAGTGGTATAATACTCCATGCCAAAAACTGCAGCACTTTGAAGAGATACACATTTTGCTACTACCACTTATAACAAATATTACAGTAAGAAATCTGAGTTCTTGGCCATGTTTATGGTTGATAGAAGATGCCACAGTGAGTCTCAGGTTTGGATGCTCTACCCTCCAGTCTCTTCCCCCCCTGCAGTTGGGGGTTGTTTGGAAGCTTTTGCCTTCCATGTTTGTTAACTGTGGTTTGTCAGGTTGTCTGTGGCTACTGACTATGTTTTGCACTAAGGCTGCATTTGTACTTCACGGTAAGTCATAAATCATGACTTGCCATGCACATGAGTGAATTGTACTTGCTTCACTCCTCCTTGCTTGCACTGGGAGAAAACAAACCACGATTACAGCCTGAGGATTATCTCCCAACAGGGAATAATGGTCTGTTCCACTCCAAACTACAACCAGAAGTCAAGAATCAACCTTGGCTTACTAACTATGGTTTGTTGGAGTCAAACAAACTACCATCCTGTTTAGATTTAACACCAAGCCAGGGATCTTAATTTGTTTTCCCCCTGTGTGAGTGCACAAAGCAGACTCATTCATGCATGATAAGCCACAGTTTATGGCTTCCCATCAGGTACAAATGCAGTGTAACAAGGATTAATTTCAAATAATGGGCTATAAAGCTGTTAAACTAATCAATTAGTGTTGCCATACGTCCAGGTTTTCCTGGACATGTCCTCTTTTGGAGGGGCAGCACGCCCATCCGGGTGGATTTTTGCATTTTACATGAAGTGCCTGGGTTTTAGGGGGGTTTATTATGACCATTATTAGTAGTAGTAGTATTATTTGTGTTAGGGTTGTACTTGGCATTGTGATGTTTCCGGCAGCTGCCAGGCTTGGCACAGCCTTCTCGCGGCCACTTAGCCTCCCATCATCTGGAGACGCAGCATCTCCTGAGCAGGGGCCAAAGACAGCAAAGGTAAGAGAAGGGAGGGAGGGTGGGAGGGAAGGAGGGAGCAGGTGGGTAAAAAAGGGGTCAGCGGCAGGGAGGGGGTGAGCAACGGAGATGTGGGATGGTGGTGGGGGTGTCTCGAATGGGTTCAGGTTTTTGCTCTTCAGACTATGGTAACCCTAGATGACATGGCAAACTCATCTGCACTGCATTGAGCATGATGTGCAGATATGACCAGTATGCTTACTGACTGACAGCAGAACCTTTAATGTTCTCATTACATTGCTAATCTGCTCACTCTCATTCCCCAAACCAGGCTTCCTTACCGTTCCTTAGGGTTTTACAACTCATCCTAGGAACTCATTAACAAGTTAACTGATTGAAGGTATTTCCCCACCCCCTTCAGAATCTTCTTACTGAAATACTATATTTTCCCCCAGAGCACACCTCTATGTCAAGCATTAGGCAGTCAAACTGGCTGCCCACACAAAATAGCTTCCAACAAGTCCAAAAATTTATGTCCCCATCCCTTGGTCCAAAACTATTATTAATTTCAGAATTAAATAAGTAAGCTACATAATGATGAAAACTTTAAAAATGCAATAAAAATAAATTTAAGAAAAGTGAATCAATCAACTGGCTTAAATTAGACATACTTTAAAACAAATGAACAGCCTTATGAACTTTGTACTTGATATACACTATAGAAACCTCTACTTTGTACATCTCTTATTTGAGCTCCTGTCAAAGATCATGACTATGGATCATACTGAACTGATTCTAGGGCAACTGAACTGGGGCAATAGAAGATATAAAAGGTGCTAAGCAATGTTTGCTTAGTTGCTTGTTTCCCCTCTTGGTACTGGCACTTTTAAGTACCATTACACAGTTTCTCAGGCACTTGGGGAGTCTTCATTTAGTCAGCATGAGTTCCTCACATGACATCCCTATAACAAAATAAACAGAGGAGGATAAAAGTATACTGCTAAATCAGGACAGAGTACCCATGATGCAGAGAAGTGGTCATATAATGTAGATCAGTGGTACCCAATTGGTGGTCCATGGTTCCCAGGGGGTCCATGTAATCCACCCAGATGGTCCATGGCACCATTCACATAACAAAAACTCCCATAGAGATGTCAAAATTTTCAATAGTAGGGTCCATGGATTGGCTTTTGAAAAACAGAGATCTGCAATACTTAGCTAATGGGGAACCACTGGTGTAGACTGAATATGGTGGAACTACCCTGAAAACACCTTGTGCCAAGGATAGGGAACATGAGGCCATCCAGACATTGCTGGGCTACAACTCCCATTGGTTATACTAGCTGAGGTCGAAGTCCAACAATTGAAGAGCCACAGGTTCCCCACACCTACCCCTATGCCTTTCACCCAAAGACCATTTAACACAACCCCATTCTGCTGTTAACTAAGAAATACATCTTTTCCCAGGTAATAGAATGTCAAACCATTTCCAAGACAAAACTACTTCCCAAACAAAATAGCGTTTTGTTCAAAAATATTTTCTAGCATTTACCCTTGTAAGATCTTCTATTTCAGAACTGAAGTTTGTTTCACCTTCCATCATTTCTTCCTCTTCTAAAGTTCGTTCATCATCAAAGTCATGAACCAGCATGTCAGCCGTTGGGTCAAATTCATGGTCATCTGATGTTGCAGACCCTCCTACAATTTGATTAACTTCACAGTTGATCACATTGTAGACTTAAGTGTTAAAATCATTATTACCACATGCAAATTATTTTAAAACCAAGATTAATATAGCAGTGAAACTTTTCTGCAAAAGCCAAATCTCTAAATAATTAGTCAACCAATAAATAAATAAATAGTGTTATTTGAAGGCTACAGATTCAAAAATCATAAAGCATGAACATTGGTACTAATAAGTGCAAGCCTATACACAATTCAGAAGTAACTCCTAGAGAGTTAAATAGAACTTACCCCTAGGTAAAAGACTGTAGCTTATAACTTTACCCAGTGTTACAAAGCAAGATATAGGTAGGTTTTTAATTCATCCCCAGAGTCAAGCTATAAAGCAGTGCATGTATAGAAAACTATGACCTCAGAATGTTGGCTTCCTGCTGGATTTTTAGCTTGAGAGTAGAAGGTAGAAAGATCAAATGTTCATGTTTTTGTGATGGGCAGTGCAAATATTTGGCTTTAGGAATTTATTGCATTGCAAAATGGTACAATTGTTATGTCACTGAACAAAAAGCTTTTCCCATAATCAATACTAACCAGCTGGCTGTCTGGCACTTTGGAAGTGCTGTGCAAAACCCTTTGCAAGTTCTTTGCCCGGGAAAGCACAGAGCTTGGAAAGCACTTGCACAGCACTCCCCAAATGCTCAATAATTTTATTATAATAATTAAATGCCTGATTACTAGGCACCTGGGAAGCACTGTGCAAAATGCATTCCGAACTGTGTGCTCAGTGCTTCCTAACAACAATCAGCAGGTTGCTGGACATTTGGGAAGCCTTGCACCCAGGGCAGAACAAGCCCTCTGAACTATTACACACCATCTCCATAGAGATTTCATTATGGCATCAGATAGTGAGGTGGGTGATCCCACCTACCTGCTGAAGTTGACTTGTGAGGATGGGCAAAAATAAAGGTCTGGCCTCCCAGGCAAAAAAAAATCCCCCTCCTACTCTAAAGCATGAATCATACAACTCTGAACTTGCCAATACCTAGTGGATGGTGCAGAATACAGCACTTCAACAACAGGGAAAGTAAAATTTTATTTAAGCACATGACTGAAAAGTAGCCTGTAGTACACAAAATTTTATATTTTGGACTACGGTGAGAAGATGTCATACTATTTTATCTGTTCCACATACAGGTTTTTGGGAAGTGCCCAGCACCCTGATTCACCATGCCCAACATGTATAATGTACTAAGTCTAACCCAGTGTGGATTCCTGGTTATTCAGTTCCACAGAAAAAGGACTAGCAGATCAGCACAGGGGGCAACCCCAGAATTGGGAATACTACAGACAAACACAGTTAAACTTGATGATTTGCCTCTACTTCATTTTTAACAATACTGCACTAGCTGTGCAAGAAGAGACTTTCATTCTGGCAACCTTATGTTGAATAGTGGATGCTTTCAGACTTACAAATACAGTGATTTGTTAACATGGACAAAATTAGCTGCTAACAAAGATAACCCCTGGCCCAATCATACTATGCCTGAAAGGGCTCAATACCAGTATAAGACTGCAAGTTGCTAATTTCAGCCAGCACTAGAACATGATTTTATCCATGACAAAGTGGAAACTTTTACCCCCTTCTTAACAAATTCATGCATGGGATTCTGAAGTATGTCAGATAAGCACTGAACCACCTTCACCATAGGTGGGCTTTTTTTTTTTTTTGCACCAGTGCAAATTCAAAGGCATGTTAGTGGCAACTGTGTAAGAGCAACATGGCTCACCATGTTTTGCTTAGCAGAGAATGAAAATTAAGATGTAGGAATATCCCCTCAAGACCAGATTGTCTTGCAGAATAGAAAATAGTTAATTCCAGCAGTTACTGTGTGTACAATAAAATATATTCAAGTCTTGCCGGTTATAAAGGGCTCACTTTTCTATCCAAGCTTTGTAAATATCAGAATAAAACTTTACCTGGGCTTGCAGACTCAACAGAAGGCTATCAAAAAAAAGAAAGAAAAAAAAGAAAAATGTTATCAGTGAACAATTGCCAAATATTTTGCAATACATTGTGAAATATTAAGCATAAACCAGAATATTTCTGACTTTCACTGCAACATTTCGATCAATCATATATAACAGCCTAGAAGTATTTACATATTGAATAAATAAATATCTGACAGAAAACACACTATACCACAAGACTGACACTATGTAACAAAAGACCATAACATTTACCCTTTGTTAAAACATAAAAACAGTAAGAACTGAAAATATGTATATCACAGAAAGTTATCTCTAAGCTGCATTCTTACTTGGTATAAGCAATGAAACACAAAAATCTATCATCATTTCACGTGAAAACTTTTAACAAATGCCATTTCTACTTTCTAATTTTTAAAGTTCGATAAAGCAGAACACATATACGTGCAAAAAGCCACAACCATGTGAGGGCGTTCACATTTCATAATGTGAGTAATGAATGCCTCACTACATGTTGTTACATCATGATAGTCCAGTAAAACAAGGTTGTGTTTTAGCATTTCTGCAACATACAGACTAGCAATGTTCAGCTCAATGAAACACAGCTTTTTCCATCCCTAGCTATTATTGGAAATTGCTTAAAAGTAAGCCGCTCAACATGCAAGACACATGACAAATAATATCAGTACACTATGTATTTAAATGGATCTCCAACCCAGTGAAAGAAATTAGCCAGACGTCAGGAATGTTTTGCGACTGATGCAGGTCGAATTGCAACCACGTGGGGATCTGTGGATGCCAGGTTGGTGACTGGGGAAAGCAAAATGGCAGTCAGAGAAGGATATGAAATATTTTCCTTGAAGCCTGAATTTGTTTTATTCTGGATTTGATGTTTTAATGTGTTGTAAACATTTTTGAGATTTTTTTCTTTAAAATATAAAGTGGCATAGAAATGAAAATAAACAACAACACCAATATCGGGGGGGGGGGAGAAGACATTCCATTGTGGTGACTGTAACCTAGGTTTAAGGTGCCATTTGCTGATTAGCTTATATAGCTGAATTTCTAACACTGACCTCCCCTCCTTTTAAAAAATTAGCTTTTCAAATGTTACAGTCAACAATTCAAACACTTAACAGTGTCATTTGTGTCTCTACCAGCACAACGATCATTTTATTTTTTGCTAGTTGTCTTTCTGGATCACCCTTGTTCCCAAAGGAGCCCAAGGTGTACAATATAACATAAAAATAAAAATATTAGGATTCACCTGCACAAGAACTTCTGTTTGCACAACAGGGTTCCCCGTTCAACACACCCCAATTGGCTCTGGAGGGGATCAAAACAGCACACAAGGGGAGGAGACATGGGACTGTTTTATCTGGAAAGCTGCAATGCTTGTACAGATGAAACAAACGGAAGCCCACAGCACCGAATTCCACCAAAAATATACATAAGAAATAACAACAAACATACAGTCAACTTGCAACTTTCACACCATTAACCTGCACAACCTCAGCTTTATGTGCGCGGTGGCCAGCTAGCTGAAATCACACAAATGAAATGTATGCAAGGCATAGAGCTTTAAAGCTGTTTCTCAGTGTGGGAAGAGCTTTTCGCCTTGCTTATCGGGTTCTGAGAGACTCTTGCGACATCTCAGAGAGCCCCACAAGATCTTGAGAGAGCCTCCTAGAGTCCCAGAGCCCAATAATTAAGGCAGAGAGCATAAATGCTCTCAGCCTTGCATGGGGGGCAAGGCTGCTTGGCGTCAAATGGTTCCTTAAACCAAGGTTAGTCGCCAAAACGGAATGTCTAGTTGCCATTTGGGGGAAAAATGGCTCTAAAGTCTTATTTTTCAAACAATGGACTGACTGTGATTATCAGTTAAACATCTAGCTAGTTTAGATGACAACCTTGAGCTAGGTTAAGAACTTTGAGAATTTAAGAAAAGTCACTTGATTGTCCAGTTGACTTGATAAAAGTCCACATATAAAAGTCTATGTATATTTTGGCCTACGTCTACCTCTTTTTCTTAATAGTGAGACAGACCGTTCATAACGTAAGAATGTTCTTCATAACTTTGAGCAAGGTAGCGATGTGGGGTACAACAAGCTACAACAATTAACTATAATGTTGTTCACTGCTCCTGTTCAGGTTGCACAGAAAAAGCATTTTGGTTCCTGAAATTCATTCTAATTATGCAGATAAAATATAACTGATAGAATTCTACAGTATGTAGTATTAGTGTGTGAAAACTGTTAAGATCCAATGATTCCCAGGCATGCACCTTCAGATGGTGATGTCAGGCACCATCCTGGCACCCAGGCATCTTCACTTGGTCAGACGTGGCTGACAGCCAGGTGCAACATGTGCCTGGTTCCTGGCTAATTTTGATCACTGTTTGGCACTGAATGCCTCATTCAAAAGTGAAAAGTTAGACAAGAGGCTGGAAATATTTAATCACTATCTCCTATAATGTTAAAATAAACAGTTATGGGGAAGGCAACTTAATAGGGGCTGTGGCATAGGGGCTGTTTTTATTCTTTAAATGCACCCAAAGCTGCTATTTTCCCATAGGAGAAACAGAGATTCCCATATTATGGTTGCTTGCTTTCCTGGTAATACAAATAGTAGCTGGTGGATGGATTTGGATTAGAAGAAGGCACAGGGAAACAATGAGCCCTTCCCCCAGCAGTTGGAAGGCGGCTGTATGTGATTCTAATTTAGATTTTTTAAAAAGAAGATCCCAGTTATGGCTTTCCTGCATTGGAGATACACATCCAGCTCACATCTAAGCTACCCAAGACCTGTCTTATATACATCTGTACTAACCAGAGATCTCTACATATCAGCAGTGGAGAACATCTGGCCGTCCTGATATTGTTGGACTTCCAACTTATATGAACCCCAGACAGCAAGGCCTAATGGTTTGGGATTATGGAGCTGTAGTCCAACAACATGCGGAGGCACCAAGTTCCTCATCCTTGCTATGCCTCATCTACAAGTGCAGGTCACACTGAGGCATTTTCAGCTCTGAAGTTACATTACGCAGATAAGAAAGCAGCAGTCTGGATTATTTTAGTCAAGTACTTTATCCGTATTTTAGCAGGGAATGGATTATTTCAATTTACTAGATAAATTAACAATAGTTAAAATTGTATTTTTTATTAAATAATCAATAAAACTTAATTTTTAAAATATATCAGATGACACTGTATCATAGGAGGGTACAATTTTAACTATTCTCATGAATGTGTGAGATATTTCAGGCTCAAAGAAACTTTAAACTTGTTCAAAAAAAGTAATTTCTTTTGTAAAAAATTTATTTCAAAATCAAATTATTTTATAACCACAAAAAACACCCTCCTTATTTTTAAAACATAACAAGTACATGGTTAGCCCATTCTACAAAACAAGTCTGATACACGTCGTAGTTATGGTTTGCACAGGGATTCGAACCGCTGACCTACTGATCGACAAGCCCTAGGCTCAGTGGTTTAGACCACAGCGCCACCCGTGTCCCTTCATTATTTTTTTTAAAGAAAATCTGAGTCATGAGAGCATGGTCAAGCATTAAAATCAGGTGATTTGGCATGGAATGACCCTTCAATCTGTTTTTGTCTGCAGCTTCATCCATGTGCAATACTGGCACTTTTGCTTGTTGGTCTATTTTACATATCACTCTGACTAAAGCATCAAAGGGTGAAAAATGCAGACACAGTTCCGCCACCTCAGTTTCCATTAAGAAGTTATATCAATATCAGCGCTCAGATACAGTTAATAGGCTGCACATCTATTGAAGGTACAATCTACAGAAAGTTGCTTTGCTGCAAAGTAGACTCAATTCAAGCAGTGACCGGTTCCCTCTTCTTTGCATTGCCTGTCAGCGTGCACTCAAGATTAACAGTAATTTACCTCATCCTCAGGCAAAAAACTCCACAAACTTCAAGTTTTCGCAGGACAACACAGTTATCTAATTCCTTCACCCCAGGACTTTCAAATTCTCCATATTATGATTGTCCAAGGTAATGAACCACCACCTTAGGAAAAGATTTATTCTCTACCTTTACTTATACATGATATTAAGCTGACTGTCCCTGTACACTCAAGAAGATAAAATCATGTAGTGTTCCAAAAGTCATATTGAAACCTTAAAAATGCCTTTTCAATAGTAAAGCCTAAGTTCTCGTGCAGGTGCATTTATTATTTTAAGTAAAGGATGCTGATTTTAAAAAATGGAAATCACTGTCCATTCAATGTTAAATTTCTTTGTAATTTAGTGAAGTCAGCTGAAAAGACTTACAGAACAATTCTAACTAAAGGAAGCCAGAAAAACTTACTTGTTAACAAGGTTTAAGTTACCCCTTTTCCAAACTCTGTTCAAGAGGTGGACTACTGCCAGCTCAATCAGCCTGAGCCTGGTAGAGGAATGTCAGCCAGCATAGCCCTGACTGAGCCTAACCTCATCCAGCTCAGCTAGAAATCTAATCACCTCAGTGGATCTTGGGTTTACATTGCACTGGACAGAGGGGGTCTGTGCACCTAACCTTGCCAGCCTCCACTGGCCTCTAGTTAACCACTGTTTGTGGAAATATACCACGCCATTGGCACAGAGCTCCCCCTTCCAATCAACACGCGTAAGTGTGCAGAAGTGCCATTGGTGAGATTCTCCAAGCGCAGCAGGTTTGTGGATGCAATGGTAGACTCGCCATTCTGTAAAGCTTCACTGGTTCAAGTGGGGAGTTAGCATTGCTCCTTAACAAATCCTGTTGATTTTAACAGGACCTAATTTCAACTAATTTAGTCTGGAGCTAATCCAAAGGCAGAGAGTTGTAAGGTCAGTTATTTCCTAGTCAGTATTTATCATGAAAGACATTTTGCCTAAGAGAACTCTTAAAAGTATAAAATTAACAAAATTTTATTTGCTTTGTTGCAGAAGCTAAATGCTTTAGGTATTTATTTCTGCCCAAAGTAAATTATGTGACATCTGGCCTAGATGCATATTTATATTGTTGCTGGTTACAATTTAACTCAAGTTGTGATTATTTTTAATTCCCGCCCCCCAAAAAGATCAATTTGCAAAAAACTATGCATACTTGGGTTAAATTTTGCATTATCCCTTGAATAAGGAAATAATGATCTACGACTACGTGCAGACTTTCTTGACATGGGAATTTTTGTTTATTTCCTTGCTACATTTGTATCCTGTCCTTCCTTGAAAGAACTCTGAGCAGTGTTTTAGCCAGTATGTTAGCCTTGGGAAATGCATCTTGACCAAAACCACCCAGGAAGCTTCACAGCTGAATGGGTATTTGAGTCCGGAACTGCCAATTCTCAAATCCAAACTCTGCAGCCAGTACTTTTACAATGGCAAAAAGTACTCCTTTCATTTGCAAATTATTTATAGTCCATATGACTGGGGAGGGGGAGGAGAGGAGGGGGGAGGAGGGGTTAAGATCAAGCACACGTATCCTAAATTATGTTGTTTCTAAGGATATAATTACATGGTGACTACTTGGGATTTCTGAGCACTGCCATCAGTTATGTCCCACAAACAAAGCTGCTCCCACACTAATAAGCTTTCCACTAAATTCAGTCTTTTAACTTCCCTTCTACTGAACAGAAGCCATGTGCAAGTTTTCAAATGCTAACTATACCAAAAACAAATAAATGCACTTCAAACATTTTATCTTTATATTACCTCTCAAAATATATTAACAAATGTCAAAAAAACATGAGGAAGAATACAGTAAAAATGTAACTGAAATTCATGCACAGTTTGAGGAGGGAAAAGGTACAGTTTAACCATGGTGATATATTTCTCTCACCTGTGGCAAAGCCCAGGCCACATCAAGTTGGTCCACTACACCTGTAAGTATGCTAGTATGACCCAGGACTTACTACTGATATAAATTGTTTCAGAAACAGCTTTCCACCGGCAAGTGCAATCACTCACTCTAATAACAAACTCAGGAGGTGAATGAGCAGGATTAAAGACAAAATGGGGTCACTGAGAGACAAAAGGGTACATTCAGGGGAATCCCAAGGTCTGCAGAAGTACAAATTTAAGAATAAATACTTAAAAGGGAGCAAATGCCTCAATGAAGTACTCCTGTGAGAACTGAGCATTGTGACACTGACTCTTGACTAGAAAAGAAACAGAAATGGGAAGTACTGGAGAAATTGAATATTCTGAACTTCTGAAGGATGGTCTCTATCATTTCTGCTGAGCTGCAATGATACACTGCAACATTTTGTTGCAGAACTCACTATTCATGACTAGAGCAATATAACAAAATGCTGATTTCCAAAGTGCATTACTGTGCTTTTATCCAAAGTCACTAACCTTTGTACATTATTTTGTATTCCTACATTAGCTTGTTTCCTACCACAGAGGACGAGGTGTAACAAAAATCCCAAAAAATGTCTTAAAGCAATGGCCACTGGAGGCAAATATGCCAGCAAAAGGATTTTGTCTAAAAATGTGCAGAGTTTACATGAACTCTCCTCAGATTACAATGTATCCTCAAAATCCCATTTTCAATAGTGATATGAACACAACTGTCCACAAAGTATAGACAAAAGCACATGCCACCATGAACTTTGATAACTTTATATATTACTCTGAAATGGCAATTCCTCATGTTACTAAAGCAGCAATATAATGCCAATGCATATGGCAACAGTGTACTGCCAATACCAAAATGATGCAAATATGTCCCGGCCAATTTTGGAACTTTAGCTCTCACACTCAAGTGTGCTGGAAGTTTTCCACTTGAATTTAGCACTTGCACTCATATTTTCAAGTGACTAATGAAACTTATCTACCGTACATTTCATCTTCATAAATATACAGCCTACAATGAACATACAAGCTTGGATTGTGACATACTGGCAACAGAAAGTGAAAGAACTAACTCCCCACGCCTCATTACAAAAATGAAATGGAAATTAAGCCTATGAAAACGCATCTAAAAGTGTAGATATAGTTACGGGAAAAGGAGGTTTCCATATAAAGTGTTAATTTTGATAGGGCAGAATACATATTGAAATGTAACACCTTCCCACAATCAAAACTAGGAAAGAAGCACCATCTCTACAACAAAAAAATGACCAAGTGATCTAGAAAGGGTTATAAGTTGACCTTCCTGATTTTGATATTTAAATAAAGTAAAAGTTGCTTCATTAAAAGCAGCCTTACAAATAAATCCATCAAAGTTAGTAGCTTACAGTAGTTTTGATTAGTCCATGTACTCACATCAACCTGTTTATAGCCTTTTCAGAAGTGGTGCCCCAGGTCTGACATGCTTTTCCGAAAGAAACTTGCTTTATTTAGCATGGCCTTTTTGGCACTAGGTAGGACACCCCCCCCCCGCCCATGTTGTACACAACTACTAAGATATTGCTTCATTCTTATTCATTGTTATAATTGCTTTTATTGCTTTGTTATGTTTTTAAAAATCATTCATAAACCACTCTAACAGCAAAGTACCCAATACCACAAATAAATTCAATGGGAAAATGTTCTAAAGCCTGTCACCAAGAAGTGCTATTTACTTAAGGAGACCAAGGCCTAAGAAGCAATGAAATATATGGGGTGGAGTAGGAGATGTGTCCCTTATAACTCCGTTGCATATCTACAGATACATGTGTCTCAGGGAAACCACGCAACGGCCAACAGTGATAACTCTCCAATTTACAAGATTCTTCCCTATCAGAAAGCTAAAAGGGGATAGGGTGGAGAAGAGATCATATGAATTATGCCACTGCTTCAACTGGGAGCTTCACTTTTTTAGGTGCTTGGTGGGGGCACAATATAAATTGCATCACTTCCTGGATAAACCCCTAAGCTAGGCCTAGGTGAACTGTTATTTACAAGCCTGCTTTAAAGAGTTTGCCAAACTTTTATTAACCAAAAGGTCGTCAGATTTCAGCACCATATACTACTGCTTGAAGCAAACACACTCCCCAAACATTTTTATTATTATTATTTGTGGGAGCCCATAGGATATTGCATTCAGAGGTTCTGGGCAAAATCTCATCTCATAGCCACACAGTTAGTGAGGGAGCTTGAGCTAAAAACCACTTCGAGCTGCTCAGACTGAGGAGGAATGTGAATGCAAGAGTGCTGTGGATGATAATACATCATATTGCAGCCCAATTTAATTTTTTTACAACGTAATGTGCCAGAACAATGCTAGTCAAAGTGCATACTGCCTCTCCCTTTAAAAGGGGGGAAAGAGCAACTCTCTTTCCGAAGAGACACGACTGAAATCTCCTACCAAGAACAGATTTGGAGGTGGGTTTTTTGTTGGGGGGGGGCGGAATTAAACATAATGCGTCTTCCTAAAGATAAACAAAGCTTTCTTAATTCCCCAGGAACATTCCTTCTCCCCCACCCTCACCCCGCTTCTGTAGAAAGCAAGGGAGGTCGTAATGGGGGGGGGGCGAATCCTGACGGCCCCGAACAGGAAAAGCTGCTTCTCTCTCCCCACCCCTATCATAGTAAACGACCCTCCTCTTCCCCCACCCTAAAGAGAGACGACAACAACATTTCCTCTCCCGCCGGTCCTCACTCCCAGCTCTCCCCGCACCCAGCCATCCTCCCAAGTTCCAGAAGGGCCGGTGCGCCCTCACGGACCTCGGTGGGCCGGGTGGGGAGGCGGCAAGTTCCCCACCCAGCACGCCAGGCCCGTCTCGGGACCTCCCTCCTTTCCCGCCCCTGGAACTTAACTTGTGGGAAGCGAAAGCACAGAGGCGGGCAGGCAGCGGCCGCGCAACAAGTTCCCGGCCGGGCCCCGACTAGACTCTCCCCTCCGGCCTCCTCCTCTTCCTCCCCGTTTCTACCCGCCGCCCTCCTTCCCTCCCTTTCCATCCCCCTCGCCGCCGCCGCCCGCGGCTCTCGCTCACCTCCGCCATGTTCGCCGCGCAGCTGGGGCGGGCCGAGCCAGGAGAGGGGAGTCACATCGCCGCCGCGGCGAAGAGAGGAGGAAACGGCACGGAAGGGCAGCAGCAGCAGAGGAGGAGGAGGAGGCGACGACGGGTCACGGTCTCTGTGAGGCAGTAGTGGTGGGAAGGAGGAAGCGGGGAGCCACCAGGGGGAGGAAGAGGAGCCAACGTCACCGCGCAAACGAGGTGGGCGCGCCCGCGCCGCTGCCCCTCCTCCTTTCTCTCGGCGAGCGCGAGCGGCTCGGCGGAGTCACGAGACTCGAGCGCCCGCTCTCCCAGCCTCTTACCTCAGCGCGGGGCCTTGGGGCGGGGGAGACGTTGCCTCGCCTCCCAACCGTATAAACGGTTTCCTCTGGTCCCTCTGAGAAAGGGGGGGGCGTGTTTCTAACGCCTTCTCTCCCCCCGCCCCGTAGTTTGTTATTCACACATATTCACTCGCTGCTAGCCAAAGCAAGGGGCATGATGCAACTTCCCCGGGCTGACAGAAACTCAAAAGTGGACCCGCCAAAATGAAAAAACAATCCCGAGAAGCTCCTTGCGGTTCAAGCCGGCAAGGGAGCTTAGCCAGTGAAAGCCGAAAGCTTGTACTCCCCACACTGCTTTTATTTCCCTCCTTCCCCCTCCCTTTCGATAACGTTTACGTATTTCAAAGCGTACATTTTTTTAAAAAATGTCGGCGGGACGAATTTAGTGTCATGAAAATAGAAATGCATATGCATCCAATGACATGTTAAAGTCTGCCTCTCCTCCCCCCCCCCTATGAGGGAAAAGGAGGGTATTAAATGTGGAAGATACGTGAGAAGAGAGTGAACGCCTCCCCCGCCAGGACCCGATCAATACTCTCCTACCTTCACGGCCATTGGTCTTTAAAAAAACGAAAAAAACGCGCAAAGGTCCGATCAGGGATCATTTGACATCACGTCTAGTTTCGTCCCGTGCATTTGCTCACCCAACTAGGGATAGCAGTTTTGGGGGTGGGGAGACAAGCTTTTCGTCGAAGACATGGCGGGAAAGGTTAAATTCTCCCCTCTTAGCGCGCCACAGACCGATCCTGACGCGACCTCCCCACCTCTGCTTTTTATTTTTTTAAAAAACCCAATACGTGAAGCCTCTCACGTATGGTGTAGTTTGGCCCTTTGCCTGAGGTGAACAGTAGTACTCATAAACTACGTGCGTGCGAGGGAGATGCAGAAACAGGAAGTTAGGCGATCTTGAGCTAACAAAACTAAGAAGCTATTGCCGCTTTGTTTCAGAAGACCTCTCCCCTCTTTTGAAATTAAAACCCTCTCCTAATCAGATTTGCTGCTTGTCGACATTGGTTTTTTAAAAAATACTGCTCCCTATATGGAACTAAGGTTTAACCCGGTTTAAGCCTATAGGGATGAGTCTAGTAAAATCTGGTGCATTATGGGTAAAAGCAGGATGCTGTTGAGGTGACTTGATGTGCTATTGGTGGTGGTGGTGGTCAAAGTAGTAAACAATGACAAAACAGACTGGTTAGTAGTAGTAGTAGCTGCCGGGTGCAGAGTGCAACCAGAAATTACATGGCGTCTGTACGATCTAATTCTATACATGCACACTTAAAAGCGAGTTCCGCCGATTTCTGCAGGACTTGCATGGTAGTAATGGGGCATAGGATTGGAGTCATGTGCTAGTGGCCCAATCATAGCATGCTTGCTTAGGTTCTGTACACATTACTGGATTAAAACACAGCTAGGTTGTTCTTTTCCTCAATTCATATCTAAGCTTGGGGGGCACATCAAAAGCCAGTATTTCATAAGGAACAACACAACAGGTATGGATTGTGGCTAACATTGTGTGTACACTGCTTTTCCAAACCACTGGTGCAAGCATACTGGATGTAAACAGGAATGTGTACACAGACTAAGAGTAAGTCCCATTGAAATTACTGGGGTTCCTCCCAATTAAGAGTATATAGTATTGCAGCCTTACAATGTCATTGTTTGGAATCCCTCATCTTCGCTAAGTATGTATGTAACACCAAAGAGATTTCAATAAACCTATGCAAGTGTGCCTCAGCTTTATAAAGATGAAATCAGAGGTGTCATTTTAACTTGCCTGGACATGTCTTCCTTACTGAGGAATTCATGTATTTCATACTGCCTCAGTTGCAACGAAACATGTCTCTCCCGTATTGGTCTCCACAGCTATTGTCTCCTGAGATGGACAGATGTCAACCATGAAACTATGTCAAAGAGAAATTTTGCCAGTATTGCAGGCAGATAAGCCACAGCAAATCAGGAGGCCATTGTTTTTATTTAAATAATCTAATGAGCCTGAATTATCACATACATAAAGAGAATTAGAGTTTTATGGATTATAATTTATATGTCTAGATACAGGGCAGTAACTTAAGTGTTAAAGGCAATCACAACATTTTAGAATCCACAGAGAAATCAAGGGATAAAGTGAAATAAAGTCTCTCTTAAGATTGCTTCATGGGCTTTTAACTTTTATTAAACAAGCTCTAATTTATTTATTGTTCCCAGCTATTAGTTTCACAATTTGATTGTGTGTTACAGATTCTCATGCATCTTAATTATTTGCCTTGGTTATATACTGTTCACAAGTACATGCATTTAATTATATGCATCTAAGCCCTTGAATTCAGTGGATTCAAATGTGCTTAAGTGAGCTCTGGATTGTGTCACTTCTGCATCCTAGACCTCATGGGACAGAATTGTGAGTTTCCAAGAAATCCCTGTTTAGATTTTGAAACTGAAAGCCAATTACATTTTGCCTACTCAGAGAGGTGTTTATTAACATTCTGTGTGTGCTCTTTGGTCACATCCACACTACACATTTACAGAACATGGCTTCCCCCCAAAAATCCTGGGAACTGTAGTTTGTTAAGGTGCTGAGAATTGTAACTCTGTTAGGAATAACTACAGTTCACAGGACTTTGGGCGGGAGGGGGGGAGTCGTGTACTTTAAACATATGTGCGGAAATTGCAAATATTGTAAACAGTGGCTTTCTAAAAAGAATCATAAAGGAAAAACTTTGGAGAGCCCAAAGGAGAGGGAATATTTGCATCATTTATAGACCACCCCTTCCAGTTAAGCTATCTTGCTAGGTTTAGCTTGCAAATTGTGTCTTAATCTAGCACAATTACCATACTATCACAGTGCACGTTAGTACATATACAGTATAACATGCATTGTGATAATATAATTATACATGAACATGCATTGTATCTATAACACTGCAATGGTATTTCACATGGTGCACATGGTATTTCAAGTAATAAAGATAATATAAACTGTATTTAGTTTATGGGAAATATTTCCTTGGCTGCCTTTTCTTTTAACACTATATAATTGCAAGTTGGTTCTTTTCCCAAATCCTGACTAGTACTGGTAACTAACAATCTGCACAAAGCCAGATATGATGGAAAGATTTTTAAAAAAAACAAAAATAATTACAATTTCTAAAAAAAGGTCCTCCCTGCAAATGTTACATGTACAGAAATGTTACATATGAGTTTCTAATGTGATCCAAAACCTTAGATGCATCACTTTAATCTGGTTTTCAGTTACAAAAGATACATTTTCAAAAGTTGTCATTTCCTGTAGAATAAAATTGTGGTTAAAATGTCTCAAACAAGCTCTTTTCTGTTTATATTTGATTCTTGTGTGGAGTACAAAAGCATTGCACGCTACTGGAGTGTTAACCATTCTTTAAGAGCAGCTGTCTCTTTCAAATCCCACAGCACTGTAGACTTATTTTTTACATCCCCCTTAGCATCAGATCTGCCTTTATTTCATGTAACAACTCGATAATTTTCAGAACATTTCAGAACTGATGGCAGGGTATGAAACACACTGCAGGGTCCTTGTTATCCAGAACAAGGTGCAACTGGCACACCAGCTAACATTACACTTCTGACCATGCCCACTATCTGACCATCTTCTAGGAGCACTCCCAAACCATCAACTTTGTTTTTCAGGGTGACCTCATTTAAGGCAGGCAGATCCAGAATCTAGCAGGTTGCTCAGCCTCCCACCAGAAGCAACTCCATCTTATTTGTATTGTGTTCTAGGGTTTGTCCAAAGTGAAGCAAAACAAAGCACTTGCTTGTAACTTTGTGTTACCTTATCTTTGCCTCTTTCAGTGCAGGGTTTTCAATCCTCTTAAAGTTCAAAATGGCAAGGATAAAAAAACAACAACTTGCCTTTAAAGGGGAGGGAAAGTCCAGGATCCCACTGGGATGGGGAGGATGTCACATGGATGCCCCTACATTAATAGAGAGACAGGAAGGTGCAAATCCATGTTTTGCTCCAGGGTGGACAAGTCCTCAGTTCACCTTTATCCAATCTCTTTCTGACTTCAAACAGGTAAGTGCATTATCAAATTATTTATGAGGTGCTTTAGAGGGGGAGAGTGCATTTCATTTGTTCATAGATGTCCAGTGGTGTTTGTTGAGCACTATGAAATTATTTTTGTAGTCTATTAGCAGGGCTGGATCTCGACCAAACAGGGCCTTCCCTCCAATTGTTCAACTCAGAATAATATCTTTTTAGTGTTTGTAGCCAATTTCATTATTTTGACGAACAATTTTTATGCATGATATACCCCTGTCATGTAAGACAACAATAATTTGTATGGATCCAATCACTCATTCATGCATACACTATTTGTTGAACAGACACTGGTGTTCTAAATTTTTGCAGTGAATGCAAAAAACCACAACCAACCCCAAACACCCACATGACTATTAACTATGTTCACCACACACATAAATGCTGCCATCTTTACAAGTGCAGATGAATTCCTTGCATATTTGTAGCTGATTTAAGTTTATCAGAACTTGAACCATCCTGTGTGTTTCCTTCTGCATCCTTATATTATATGCTCAGCCTATAATTGTGTAATTGAACAAAATTATTACATAGGTATCAAACCAGCCTCCAGCAGTTTGTGCTCTAAAAGGCAACTCAGACTGCAGCCCTGTCTAAAGTTACTTTTAGTAAATATATATTCCTGCAAAAGTGACTGAATTTTCTGTCTCATGGAAAGAATGGCATGAAACAGTCTTACCAAGGTATTTCATCAGATTCAAAACATAATAAATGATATGAAACTTAGGTCAAAACCATTCAAGGCAGACTGGAAAGATAGAGAACCAATAAATTTTAATCATACATTTTTATGATGGTACTAGAAACAAATCTCATGCAAGATTCCCTCACTGCATTAAAAACAAACATTAATTTACAAGCCTTTTCTCTCTCTTTCCTGAAACTTGTATAGATATCCACATTATATATGGGTTTCCTTGCTGACAATACGAGCCAAGCATCTGGAAATGTATGATGTAACTCCATAAAACAATGTACTTTTAAGTGCAATCATATTTCTCCTATCATGCACTTTGGTGACATTTAGTCATGCAATCATAGTATCTTTATGGAGTACTGATCTTTTTGGATTTGCATATAAAACAATTTAACATGCAACTAAGAACACCTACTTCTACATAGGGCAAAGAGGTGTGTCTTCAGCATTCAAAGTGCCGGACACACCTGTGTGGAGACAGTTCCACAACTTAGGCACTTCCACAGAGAATGCCCTCTCCTAGACCAACACCCGGAAACCTCTGAAGGCAGAGGGACTACTAAGAAAGTCCCATCAGCCAATCTTAGCACTTAAGAGGTTCTGAAGGGAATCACAGAAGTTGGAAAGGACCGCGAGGGTCATCTCGCCCAACTCCCTGCAATGCAAGAATCTCAACTAAATCTGTCAGATATTTGTGGGCTTCAAACACTAACGTGACCACCCTGAATTGGGCATGGAAATGAACCGGCAAATCGTGCAGCTGTTTTAAAACAGGGGTTCTAACAGAGATCTAACAGAACTCAAGCCAGAGATCTGGCTGTTGCATTTTAAAGCAACTGAAGCTTCTTCATCGTTTTCAAGGGTAATCCAAGCCTGGAAGCTACCAGAGCATGGAGTACAGTGGCCAAATCCAAAAGAGGTTGTAGCTGGTCAATCAGCTGCAGCTGAAAGAAGGCATTCCAAGTCATCGAGGATGCCTGAGCCTCCAGCAGCAGTACTGGATTCAGGAGCACCCCTAAACTGCAATCCTGCTTGTTCCAGGGAAGTGTAACTGTATCCAGGGCAGGCCACTTCCCCACCTCCCAGACATGAGAACTCAGGACACATGAAACTTCTGCCTTTTCAGGATTATCATCGTTTTAACTGGAGATACCAGAGATATCCTGAGAGATATAACTGGAAATATCCTGGTACTTTCTTCATGCAAAAACGTGTGCTTCAACATTAAGGTATGTCAAGTTTTTGATGCAATGGGAATCTAACATTACTGAGGGAGAAATACTAGTAGATGGCATTGCATTGCATGGCAACTCAGGACTGCAGGAAAGAAGAATGGACAAGAGCGGGTCAAATTGTGCAATTTTTCCTTATATAAAGTGCAGTGGGAGGAGGAAGCAGCAGCAGCAGCATTCACTGACCGTGGGAATTAAGTTTCTTGAACTGAGCAGATTCAGTTCCAGAATAATCCCTGGCACTTGCAGCAGCAACAAGGGGGCAAGGAGGTGCAGTTAGTATTTCTCCACAGGAGCAACAAGTCTCGGCTGCAGGGAATGTAAGAGAGCCAATCTGTCTTTTGATCTAGCTTCTCTGTCTCACTAGCAGCCAATCACATGGCTGCATGCTCCAAAGGTAGCTGCCATGGTAACCATGTAAACAGTTTCTTGTTGAAGCAGCAGCTGTTGAGAGAAACAGGCGCTGCAGTGAATGTTTCTTTTGGGGTCTCAGATTTTAAACTGATATCACAGTGGCCCAGGCACTGTGCTGGTCCTATTTTTTCAGAGCTCCCTACCCCAAGCCCTTCCCCACATTATCCTCTTCCATAGTGGTAACTGTGGTTGCTGCTTATTCTAGTGTTTTGTCCCACCAGAAGGCAGATACAACGCTCAACCATGTCCAACACTACCGCAGGCAACCTGATCAACAAGGGCAGGAAACAGAGCATCATCATCAATAAGTAAGTACCAAAGGGTTACCACGTCAAGTAGCAATGTCTAGGGAGAAAATGGGTTTGGGTTCACAGGAAAAGTACCAATAAATGTTAGTCATTTTGTGATGACATAACAGCTAAGCCTTTCTGATCCTTCCCACATAACTAGGCAGTGTTAGAAACTGGGATAGAAAAGCTAGGAGCCAAATAGCGTCTGGGACCTGGGTTGTGGGCACCAAAACAGAATGTCTGGTTGCCAGTGGGGGGGGGGGAGCAACATTTTTTACTTATTTTGATAAGAGCATGAACTCATATGCAATTCACATAAGTGACACATGGTTAATATCATATTTTTAGCAGAAATTCTGAATACATGTTTAATTTGGTGTTTACAATAAAAATATTGGTACCATACTTCGGTTTTCGAAACACTCTAATCTTTATGATCAAACTCCTTGAGTGTCAGCCAGGTGCACAAAAAGGCACCCAGACTTTTTGAGGTGTTCGCAAATGGAGACTTTTTAGGTGCAAAATACGACTGGCGCCCTGCTAATTTCGAACCCTGTACCTAGGGTATTTATGCAGCACAAAAAAAGAGGAAATGTAGCATATATAAAGGTAAAGGGACCCCTGACCATTAGGTCCAGTCGTGGCCAACTCTGGGGTTGTGGCGCTCATTTCGCTTTATTGACCGAGGGAGCCGGCATACAGCTTCCGGGTCATGTGGCCAGCATGACCAAGCCGCTTCTGGCAAACCAGAGCAGCACACGGAAACGCCATTTACCTTCCCGCCGGAGCAGTACCTATTTATCTACTTGCACTGTGATGTGCTTTCGAGCTGCTAGATTGGCAGGAGTAGCATATATACAGACACACATATAAAATTATTCATTCATAATGGACAAAGGAGGACATGGATTTTATTGAAATTTGTTTATGTTGATTTATATGCGTAGATGTAAGCTTAGAAATAACTGCTACAATTTAAATGAAAATGTTCCCATGGTGGGGAAGATAGTGACCCATGCGCCTGCACTGATGCTGGAAAACCTTGAGGTCCTTCCTGTTCTCCCTTCCTACGTTTCTTTATCTTTGAACCAGCCTTGAACTGGACAGCCTTTTGAAGAGAGGACTGTCCTCTATAAAGCAGGACCCCATTGCCACCGTACACATACTTCTTTAGCCCTCTCAACAGGAAGCTGGGATGAGGGAGGGATCTCTGAATTTCAGTTTTACCCCATGTGCATTGATTCCATTTGTCACCTTGTAAGAGGATGAATGCATCTGGGCACTTGCAGGTTCCTCAAGAGAACTGGGCCAAGGCAACTAGTATATCCTATATGATAATCGTATATGCTAGGAACCACAAGCATCCTTCTGTCACACAACTAGAGAAGTCACCAACTACTTCTTTAGCTTTACCCCATACCTTGAAACAAATAAGGTAAAAGGTTGGCTGCAACCCTGTACTTACATACCTTGGAGTAACTGCTGCCATCAGACTCAGTGGGGGTTACTAATGATGTATAGGAAAACTGTGTAATGGTCATATAACTACACTGATTTTCATACTACAGTACTTATTATAGAAAAACATAACTCTTGGCAAAAGCCTTGATCATTCCTCCTTTTTCATTAGACCGAATTTCCCAAGCCCCAAGTCAAAATACTCTATTGTTGTCATACAGGCCTTAATACCTGCTTCCTAGCTCAAACCAGTATCCTTTTATGGGATGTATAGATGGCCCAAAGTTATTTTTTTCCACCTCCACATAATATCGATACTATCATTATACGTACCAACCTTACTGAAATGTTATCCTGGTTCAGTTGTAATGCAAAACTATAGTTTAGCGTTACATGCATGTACCTTAGGCTTGTGCACCCACTCCCTCTTCTTGTGTGGCCACAAGGAGGACACTGGAATATTTCACTTTGGTTTTCAATTATCTGCAATTTAGCCTTTCATCTGATCCCTCAACTGTCATTACTCTTATGTATGTTTTACTGAAACAAGCTGATTAGGTAAATCACCATGAAGACTAACCACAGTTTGTCCAGGTTTGGACATAACACTTAACTGTGGTTAGTCAAAAACAGAAGCAAAAGTTTCCAAGCTTTCCTATGATTTCAGCAGACCCAGTAACATCTTGGGTCACGCTGGAGGCATGAGATTCCCCTTCTCTCCTCCTAACTGTGATCCCCTTCTTGCTCCAAATTAGGTCAATATGGAAGTCCTTATCCAACCCTTTCATATGTTGTACTATAGAGGTGTGGAACAGATGGTATAAGAAACTAGCCTCCACACCAGGGGTCAGCAACCTTTTCCAGCTGTGGGCTGGTACACCATCCCTCAGACCATGTGGTGGGCCGGACTATATTTTTTTGGGGGGGAACAAATTCCTATGCCCCACAAATAACCCAGAGATGCATCTTGAATAAAAGCACATATTCTACTCATGTAAAAACACCAGGCAGGCCCCACAAATAACCCAGAGATGCATTTTAAATAAAAGGACACATTCTACTCATGTAAAAACACACTGATTCCCGGACCGTTCACGGGCCGGATTGAGAAGGCGATTGGGCCACATCCGGGCCACGGGCCTTAGGTTGCCTACCCCATCTCCACACCCTCACCGTTAATCCAGCTTAATATACCACAATATCAAGATCAAGAAGAATTAACAATATCTACTATTCTATGCGAAGCAGGGCTACAATGCTGGTGAGACCATTATGAAAACAACGTAATACTTACAGAATCACTTTTGGAACACTTGATTCAGGAACTAATTGACTACTTAGCCACCAAATTAGCATGATCTCGAAGGATCCTATGGTGAACAGTGTACCCACGAGAGCGCTGAAACCTTGTGAATATCTAGCTGTAGCAAGTGCCCAGAAAGGCAGGGTCTCTGTGGTATACTACTGTATTCCCTACGGATACAATCTCAGTTCTCTCCACTGAGTATCTGCCTGTTTGTTGATTGTATAACTGGAGTACTCATATCAGCACCCACAACCACCTCAATCTTGGGTCTTTTAAAAACACTGTATCACTTTTGAGGGTGGATTCACAAGTTATGATAGTATTGTGATAGTTAAAGGCTTGATCAGTTAGGCAGTCCTTCTGCAAGGATATCCATGGAAGGTGATAAACTCACACTTAAACTGAGTGTATAAGACGACACAATCCCTGAGATTGAATCTCTTAATATTCTGTGGCAATTACTGAAAAGGATGAGAGCATTTACTGCAAAATGTTTTGTGAATTGTGAAATAAAATAAAATCTGCTAACAAAAACTGACAGAATGGTTCCATTTTGAAGCTACTGTTCTGGCACATAATCTCACTTCTTTTTTTATTAAAGCAGGACCTCAAAAGAGCAGAGCACAGTGAAGAAGTTAGCATCGTCTTCAGCTTCTGGTAGGAAAATGAGCTTCACCAGCACGATGCTTGCTAGCAGAGTTGGATCACTGGCTCGCAGGAGCATACTGATTTCTTCAGAGGGAAAGTCTTTCGAAAGGGGCTCCATAGCAAGTTGCAAACCTCCTATCCAGGTAATGGCATAACATAAAAAAGTAACACAGCTACATTTGATAAATAAATGGGTATGCTGGCGATGCCAGGCGTTTGCTGCACAACCTTTGTGTGTTAAGATCAATCTTATAACGAAAGCTAGCTATTTTCTGAGTAGAGACTTGTGGAAAAATGTGAATGATACTGTTGATACTGTTTCCAGTAATAAACCATCAAGCAAAGTGTTTTGCTATATAATGTAAGAGTAATTATGTCTACATATTGTGCTTTGCAGTTGATCATATGGACCATGGGTTGTAACCAGCTACCCAAGAGAGTAGGCTTACTGAAATCAATGGACATGACTTATCTCCATTTAGTTCAATGGCTCTACTCTTGAGTATGACTTATTTCAAGACAACCCTATGTTTCCAGGCCACTGACCTGTTGTTTGAGTACTGGTCTGCTATCCGAGTACTCAGTCTCCCATATGCAAGTGAAGAATGTTTCTTCTCCATGACGCATCATGACTCTGAGCTAAAGAGCTCATTACACATATCAGTTGAGTACATACATGCGTTTGCATGAAAGTGTGATGGCATGAGGACTCTTCACAGGCCCACAAACTCAGTCCATTATCAAATAATATGCAGTCAATCCTATTCAAGTTTCTTTTTTGCCCCCCCCCCATAAAAAATTGCCAATAGCCTGGAAATACTACTTGCTAAAATACCACTACAATTCAAATTACAAGAAAGCAACAATATACTCTATCGATAAAATCAGGTTTTAAATTTCCATATTAAAAAACAACACCACCCCCTTCTGACCATATGCAAAGATCCGGTGGAATGAAAATGCCTTAATCCACTTTATGAAAATCATCAAGGAGAGTTTGCTGCAGACATCTAGAAGTTGGTTACAGGAAAAGAGTGTCAGAGGCTCCTGAATACCTGAATGTCATATTACATTCCACCAGACTTAGTCTCATACAAATGTGAATAGGAGGGAGCTTTAGGCTGCAATACCAGAGCCATTTACCTCTGTGACAGTTAATTCTGAACAGAAAAGGATAAGATGAGATGTTAGGCTGCAGTTTTGTGCACTTACCTGGGAGAAAATCCAGCTGAGCTCAATGCAACTTTCTTTTGAATAGACATGCAAAATGATTTGTTCTGTTAGTTTCAATAAATTAGCTTGAAATCTATTGGTTTTAGGTGTGATGAGAACAAAAACCAGCTCATACGTTGTTTTTTTGTCTTGTAACTTTGTTGTATCCACAGGTTTTTGATGACCTAGGAAAAGATGTGACTCCCCGTCCACTCTACCAACCTGAGCCAAGTGTTGCTGGACCCACCCCCGGGCCCATGCACAGACCAAGCAAAATCTTATCAACCCAAGATTTTGTTGGGGCAGTGCCAACAGAATTCTTGTCATCCCTCTCTCTGCAACAAGCGTCTGGGACAAGTATTAGCTTAGCAGGCCCATTCTCCAGGTATGACACAGCATCCGAAACCTGTTTGGGCTCCAACAGCAATACATAATATTCAGAAGTGGGTAGAAAAGGGATTTGGTGTTCTCTTACTGCCTTTTTTGTTGTTGCAAATCTAGTTGTATTGGCTGGGTAAAAGGGCAAAGGTCTTTATAGGCCTGTCTAATACAGCTGTGGGCTGTTTCTCCGATTCCAGTTGTATGAGCAGAAGTTGTGGATGTTAACAGGCTGCAAATTCTGAAGCCAACTTCGGCAGCTTTGCAATAATGTGGGGTGGATTGTTCTTGCCACAGGGGCTTTGCGCCATGAACTTTTGCATAAAGGGTGTCTCCTTTAAAAGGATGATTAGTCAGATTTAGATATGATTATGAAAACTGCAGTTCAAGCAGGATCCATCCATTTTTCTGTTTCATTATCATGCAGTTCAAGGATGATTGATTGAGTGTATCACCCTCCTTCTCCTAACATATCAAGCTTCTCTTGTGGCAGGCCTATTCATTCAGCAGTTCCAGAATTAACTTCTTCTTAACCAGGAATCACAGGCATGTCAAGTAAACTGGCAGATATTCGTGGAGTCACAAGGATGAGACAGTGCTCATTCCTAATCAGTGTCCAATCAGTTCCACGGCTGTGACATTTTCCTTCGGTACAGGCATGCCTCATTTTATTGCTCCTTACAAGGACATGGGTGCAGCTGCAGGCAGCCCAGACCCTTCATGGGGAAGGAAACTCCACTGCTGCCCCTGCCCTTTTTCTGGCACTGGGAATGGAGCTGGCTAGGGCTGGAGCCGGGTTTTCCCCCTGTAGCTGAGGGACCTGGCTTAATAGGCTACTGGATAGTGTAAACGTAACTTTTATATGGACTGCACAACAAAACAAAAAAAGTGTGACTCGCTTTATTGCGGTGGTCTGGAATCGAACCCACAATATCTCTGAGGTATGCCTGTATTCATAGAGCATCCTGATTCACATACTCAAAGACCATCCTGAGTTATTTCCCTCCTGCGCTGGAGACACTGGCTCCATTCATTCATTCTTACACACACACACACACACACACACACACACACACACACCAGTTCCAAGTCTGTCATTAGCCCAGAGAGGGAAGTTCCTATTGTCCCTAACAGATGCCTCCTTACTGGGACAAATAGCTGAGGCTGGGATAGGGTATCAGTGGATATTTATTTTTTAAGTTGTGCATGTACTTAAATTCAGAGGTAGTACCATATGCCTTTTCTATGTCTGATGGAGCTCAAACACTTCTGCAGCCTAGTGGTTCTTCATCCGAAATAAATACTCTGTGGCAATTAAACTGCTGTGGGATTTTATTGGTTGGCACCTCATATTCCTGTTATAAGTGCTTTGGCATTCTTTGTTATTTTACTTCCACTACTAACTTCCTCTTTCCCCCCACAAACTACAGAACATATGGTAGTAGCAGTATTACAAAGTCTACTACTTCTACTGAATCATTGGCAGAAGAAATTATAGAACCTGGAACCAGACATGAAGCGCTTGCTAGTTTTATAGGTAGAGTAAACTTATACAAATGCAATACACTGGAATTTTCTCATGTGGTATCACATTTAGGATGTCACGTGACATTCCAAAATGCTCAAAGTCAGTAAATATTCAGGGCCAACCACATGTTACGGGGATGCATGGCTGCTACTGACCCACATCTCTTCTGCTTTTGTCCCTAGTAACATCTGGTAAAAGAATGGTATATTGCCATTGCTTTTACTATTCTCTGTCCCTGCTCCATTTCATGGCTACTGCTTGCAGAGGGCAGGGGAATGGATGTGGTGATGTCACATTTCACTGAACAAAATTTACTGAAAGCATGGGAAAACGTGAGTTGGCAACACCTGTGCATCCTTTGCACCATATAGGTAGACTCTACTGGGCCAACACGCTGTCTCTTATAGTAGTGTATCTTATAGTAAAGACAACCCTTGTAATGTTTACATATGATTTCTTAATTATTTAGCACAAAACATTACAAACCCGTCAACTGCCCCAGAAAAAAAACAGGACATCCTGTTTTTTCTTGTGAGAGGACACTGGCCCCAATGGCCAGTGATTACGGGCTGCACTTTTGGGGGGCATGGCACCCCAAAACACACATTTTGGGGCACAGCATAAGATCGCTGTCCTGAAAAAAACTGTTTTTTTGAGGGGGTGATCTCACACGACTCCCAGGAGAGTACGGTCATGAAAAGATGGCATCCTGGTTTGGGGCCGCTTTGTATCGGAAGGTTTGACATTATTTAATTAATTCACATGGTTTTCTAATTTGGCAGATGTTCAGGTCAGGCGAGAAGCAGTGCCAGAGCCACTGACAAAGCGAGACCTGGAAAAGCGTGTGGATATTTTCCTTACGGAGACAGAAACAATTTGGTTATTTGACATGCCAACTGTCATGCTGTCGACAGAGTCTGAAGAAGTCGACTCTGTGAGGTAGGCACAATTTCTATGTAATGGGGCCCATCTATTGGGCCATCTAGTATTAGCTTTGCAATGAAAGTTACAGCGCAATCCTAACCATGCCTAAAGGTAAAGGGACCCCTGACCATTAGGTCCAGTCGTGGCCGACTCTGGGGTTGCAGCGCTCATCTCGCTTTATTGGCCGAGGGAGCCGGCGTACAGCTTCCGGGTCACGTGGCCAGCATGACGAAGCCGCTTCTGGCGAACCAGAGCAGCACACGGAAATGCCGTTTACCTTCCCGCTGGAGCAGTACCTATTTATCTACTTGCACTTTGACATGCTTTCGAACTGCTAGTTGGCAGGAGCAGGAACCAAGCAATGGGAGCTCACCCCGTCGCAGGGATTCGAACCACCGACCTTCTGATCGGCAAGTCCTAGGCTCTGTGGTTTAACCCACAGCGCCGGTTTGGGGAAGCTCAGTCCCAGGGCCTAATGTGGCCCTTTAAGCTTTCCTGCCTGGCTCCCCGGACTCTTCCTAGTCACACACCCCACACCCCCACTGAACCTGCTTTGCCCTCTCCTTGAGTGTTTTTGCCTGGCTGGAATATGCCCTTGAACTCCGTTAAGGCATCATGCTTTCCTTAATGAAACGGTAGAGCAGGGCTTGTGAGTGGGGGTTGAAATGTGCCAAGTGTACAAAGGTGAAATTTACGTTAATTGCTCTGTCTGCGTTTGCATCTGGCCCTGCCTACAACTATCATATGGCCCCTGAAAGGTTGCTCAGAAGGGAATGTGGCCCCCAGAATGAAAACAGTTGTACCCCACCCCACCCCTGCCTTGCTGAATTGAATGGAGATTACTCCCAGGTATGTGGGATTAGAATTTCAGCCTTAAAATGACATCTCTCATGGTATTATCCTCAAAGTATTCTCTTTACCATGGGATTTGGGCCCTACTTCTCTGTAAATTAAAATAATGCAGCATTGATTTTACAAAAAATCCAAGCACTAGAACTTCTGAGACTAGAGAGGTTCTACCCCTTTCGTTTGGCAGCAATCCTAAACACAGTCCGCCCAACTATGAACAAATTCGTATTTACAAATCTGTTCATCACATTTACTTGGAAGTAAGCTATAACTATTAAAACCCTTGGTCATATTAACCTGCAGGAAAACAGCAGAAGATCAAGGTTAGAGCTTGGATTACATTGTTAACACAACTTTAATTTTCTGTGTCGGGAGGAGGCAATTCACATAACCTTTCTAAAGGCTACATAACTGCATTGCAGCATTTCAACAATCTGGTCAACAATCTTATCTTCCTCTGAAGAATCTTGTAATCTATTGTAATGCCATTTAAGCACACTGTTCTACAACTACTGGTAAAAACCACACCAGTGCATGCTTATTTCTAAGAAAATTTATGTCCCTGAAGGGAAAACAAAACAAGGAGGAGTTGGAGTACACAGGTGTTGCTGCTGTTGTTGTTAATATACATATGTATGTCTTTTGTTTTTCAAAGAAAAAAGAATGTAGCTTATATGGAACTCTGTAAAAACAGAGCTGGCAATGACCGATATGTCAACAGAATGATGCAAACTATAGGCGGTGCACCAAAGACTAAGGAAATGCAATGTGACAAAATTATCATGGATGACAAAGGTAAATTACAGTTTGGAAATGTTTTTGGAGCTCACTGAAAGAGGCATGGAGAAAGACCTGTAGACAAAACCAAAGCTTCTTTTTATGTGGGAGCAAAGTCCAAGCATTATCTTTTCCATACTCTCATGTAGGTAAATAAGAATGTATGTGGCTCTTGGCCCAAACTTTTTTTCATGTAAGCATCCATTCAGCAGGAAACATTCACATGGAACACCAAGATTTTGCTGCAGAACCCAAAGGAAAAATTAAGAAAACACTGTATTTCTAAAAATAATTCCATCTATCTACTTGCAACATCTTCTCATAAAATATCTGGATATCACTGTGGGCATAGGATTGCCACATTCCACCAGGGATAGAGCTTCTGCTTCTTTAAGATATCTAAAGAGGACCGTCAACAGGCGGTACTTTTCCTGTCAGTCTAAAATGGTGGTTGGGCAACCTATATACAGTATTGCTGTCCCCATAGCATTTAAAGAAAACAGGGGTCCTTTACCAGATGAAATAGGCTTGGTGTTTTCATGTGGATTTCCCCCTCATTGCCCTGTAAAAAGTGAGTGAACATAAAAATGGCAGATGATAGGGAGATGTACCTGTCCAGGCCTCAAAACTGATATAGCTTTCACTGGGAAAATGATGATCTGGCAGCACTAGTAACTCATACTCTAGAAGCACTTTAAGTGTGGTAGGGTATATGCAGGTGTAGATCCCTCTAGGGGACTATATTGCATTAAAATTTGAGAAGACCCTTTAGAAAGTTGGCAAACGTCTCAGATCACATTGTTTCAAATCTCCCAGAAAAATATGCAGCTGCAAACGCGAGACATTATGCACACGTAGAAAGGATTGCGCACCTTCCAACGACACTCACCCCAGCTGATTACAACGAGCTCGTTCAATGAATCTTGCCATTTGCTACTCCAAAGTATAACTACCCATTTAGTTGCAATCGTTTGTAACATAAAGCCATGCACATGCAGAACAAGGAGCTATCTAACAATGTCCTTTGTCTATAGAGATAATGGCCACTACCTGGGATTTGTATGATTCCTTTAATGCATTGGAAGCAGCTATCGCAGAAAAAAGTACCAGACCAGTAAGTGTGACCAGCAGTAAGTCAACTCTATACAGGGAACGCGACAGAGCCATGTCTGTAGCTTCTGTAGGGAGAGGTAAATTCATTATTTCTGCATCTTTGCTAGCCATGAAAAGTTTCAAATATTACGTATATGCCATGATAAAAAAAAAAGAAACAAATGATCATATACATGCAATTACACAGGAGGGTGCCTGTCTCCCTTGCAGCTAGGTTAGGACCCTAGAGATTATTGATGCTGATTTGGGGATGGCAAAGTATAGTAGGAAGAGGACAATTCTGTTTTAACCTCAGTAACTTAATATGGAATCAAGTAACTTGCGGTTAATATTTCAGCCTTTTTGAGTGTTTAAAAGGTAAAGGTAAAGGGACCCCTGACCATTAGGTCCAGTCGTGGCCGACTCTGGGGTTGCGGCGCACATCTCGCTTTATTGGCCGAGGGAGCCGGTGTACAGCTTCCAGGTCATGTGGCCAGCATGACTAAGCTGCTTCTGGTGAACCAGGGCAACGCACGGAAACACCGTTTACCTTCCCGCCGGAGCGGTACCTATTTATCTACTTGCACTTTTACGTGCTTTCGAACTGCTAGGTGGGCAGGAGCAGGGACCGAGCAACGGGCGCTTACTCCGTCACGGTGATTCGAACTGCTGACCTTCTGATCGGCAAGTCCTAGGCTCTGTGGTTTAACCCACAGCGCCACCGAGAAACAAAACACATTGTACCTGAAACAAAAAAGGAAATAGGAATGGCATTTTTAGACCCAGGAAAAGCATTTGACATTTGGGAATGCAATTATCTGTATCAAGTTTTAGAGGAGTTCAGTGTTAGTAATTGGTTTATGAACTAGCTAAAATTCCTGCTGCTTAAAGTGAATCTCACAAAATCTGATTTATTTGGGGGCATACAACAAATAGGTCTGTTAGCGCTGTTGCTGTTTGTTATGCTGATTAAACTCTTGGTAAAGTGCAACAAGAGATGTTGAAAATACATATTGGGCTAAAGTAGGATAAGTAATGTTTAAAATTAATTTATATGCAGATGATGACTTCTATTTAAAATAAAGTTCTATTTATAAATGAGATCTTTTATGAGTCTAATTGAATTGCTTTAATATTTGGTCATTTATCCAACTATAAAGTAAACCTAGTCAAATTGGAATGGATGTGATTTAATATGGAAAAGGAAATTAAAACAAGATAGCATAAACAAGCTGGGTTAATTCTATGGAGAGAAATACCAACAAGAGATCCATGTATTTGGAGTACTTCTCAGTTGGAAGAACTAGGACAATTTAGGCTGCAATCTATCTCTGAGTAGATGTGGGTGGGATTCCATAGGCAATCATGCATTGTTAAATATTCTTCAGTAATGACACTATGGGGAAAGTATTTTTAAGTTTAACATTGTGAGATCATTTATATCCCCAAAATCTTGAAAGTACAGTATCCCATTTCCTGTTAACTCTTATTTGAATCTAAGTAACCCCAATGACCTTTTGGTGGAATACACGCACACACACACACACACACACACACACACACACGGATTGGGGTTGAGCATACCACTCTTCATCAAATATTACAGATTAGTTCACAAAATTCAAAGCAAAATACAATCGCATAGTAGTCAATATAAAACAGTAGTAAAAAAGCAGCTGAATACTGCTTTTAATACTGTTTGCTGTCAGTTTTTAACTCTAGATAACAGGAGACCTAAAAGCAGTCTGGGTAATACTGAAAGCAAATTATGAAGTTTCTTTTCCCATAATTCCTTCTGGGGGGAAATTAGATTATGCTATTAAATGACATGTCTCTTTCTTTCCTCAGAAAGCACTACAAGTTCTATCATTGACTTGGAAAGTGTAATTCTTTCCCGGATTCACGAAGAGATAGAAGACCACTCAGAAGCTATACTGAAATCTGAAAAATTTAATCAAGATTTGTTTTATATGGAGAGGGTCCTAATGGAGAATATTTTCCAGCCCAAACTAGCAGCTTATCGGCAGCTTCCTGTCCTCCTAGGTATATTTTTCTTCAAACATTTTAATCTTGGTCTGAGAAACTTCCTTGCAAAAGTAACTGCAAGTATTTAGTTTAAATGAGACTGTTACGACTTTCTCTAACTCTGCTAATGAATGGTTTTTTATCTTGGAACCACCCTTATTACCAACAGACTTTATTGAAATGGAAATGGATTTTCCATTGCTCCTGAAAACAAATTGTGTGATTTGTATAAAAACAAGCTTTTAAAACACTATTTAGAAGGCCCGGCCAACCCATGAGGCGAGGTGAAGCAGCTGCCTTGGGCAGCAGAAACGCCTGAGGCAGCGTCCCTGTGGGCATCCCACATGCCCCACTCACTCTGCACCATTGCCACCCTGTGAGGGAGACTATGCTAGGCAGGTAGTTCAGACACCAAGGTTGAGAAACTGCACATATTTAGAGTATTATTATTTTTTTGCTTGTTTATCAGGGCTGGCAGCTTTTGGGGGGGGGGCTAGTATTTAGCTGCAAAATTCAGAACTGAAATGTTGCAGTTAAAGCGAGGGGGAGGCTGCTTTTCTGGATTTTGGCATGTTTATGTTCCTTTACAGGTTCTGTGAATGACATTATACATTTGTATCTTGCTTTTCTGCCCCAGGAGCTCAAAGTTGTGCACCTCATTCTCCCCTCCCTGCTTTAATCTTTGCAACAGCCCTGTGAGGTAGGCTAGGCTAAGTTAATATAGTTATTTCCAACAGATTGTGGTGGCAGGGGTGGGGGGAAATACAGCGCCCCCAATCCACAAGCGGTGAGCAGGGACAAAGAAATCTTGCTGGCCTCTGTGCTTCCTCCTCATAATTTTCTTTCTAAGGAGCTCCCATTCTATCAGGTTGTCCCTTCTCCGCCTGAGACTGCTGCTAGGAAACTTGAGCTTGTCTGGTTTAGCAAGACTTGCTTCTCCTTTCTTTGAAACCACAGGAGGTGGTGACTTGGAGGAGCTTGGAAGGCACACAGTGCCCCCTCTGGGCACAACTGAACCCTGCCACTTAGTCATTTAACGTTCTTCCTTCCTTGATTCTGCAGTGAGGGAGGGAAACAGCACTGACCTGGATCTTAAAACAAGTGAGCACAAGTGAAGCCTCCTGGAAGCCACCTTGCCTCCCCAAAAGACCCTCGATAGAGAATCAGGTTACAGACACCGTTAACCCAGATATATTGCTTCAGGTTAAGAACTTTGCTTCAGGATGAGAACAGAAATTGTGCTCTGGCGGCGCGGCAGCAGCAGGAGGCCCCATTAGCTAAAGTGGTGCTTCAGGTTAAGAACAGTTTCAGGTTAAGTATGGACCTCGGGAACGAATTAAGTACTTAACCCGAGGTACCACTGTATCCTTTAGCAACTAGGCTACTGCAGTTATGCACTCTACCCTCCCGTGGATACGCTCCATCGTTGGTTGGGACAAGAAACCATAAGATCAGGACAGTCACAGCAATACTCAAAATCTTTGATTCCAAATCTGTGTTTGTCCTTAAAGATAGCTAAAGGTAAAGGGACCCCTGACCATTAGGTCCAGTTACAGACGACTCTGGGGCTGCGGCGCTCATCTCACTCTATAGGCCGAGGGAGCCGGCGTTTGTCTGCAGACAGCTTCCGGGTCATGTGGCCAGCATGGCTAAGCTGCTTCTGGCGAACCAGAACAGCACACGGAAACGCCGTTTACCTTCCCGCCAGAGCAGTACCTATTTATGTACATGCACTTTGATGTGCTTTCAAACTGCTAGGTGGGCAGGAGCTGGGACCGAGCAACGGGAGCTTACCCCGTTGCAGGGATTCGAACCATCGACCTTCTGATCGGTAAGCCCTAGGCTCTGTGGTTTATACCACAGCGCCACCAGCGTCCCTTGTCCTTAAAGATAGCCGGTGATAACCGTAATTGTGTGGTTCTGAAAGTCAACCCTGTTCAAAGAACAGAAATCTTCATATCGATTTACACATATATTTGTGTAGATTTCAACCACACTATTTTTTAATTTTTTTAAAAACCCAATATATAGTAAGTCATGGATCATTTTGGGCTGGAATCCTAAAACCAATCACGAAGTGCTAAATTCCATTGGGGCAAAATTTTGCGCCACGTGTATTTAAGTAGCAACAAAATGATAATCTGGCAGTCTATAGGGTGCAGGAAATTACGCAGAAGCACCTACCATCTGATCACAACCATGTCTTGTGGAAATTCAGTCTCCTCTGGTTACAGTCACAGATCAGTCAGTCAGAGTGTGGTGCTAAACGGCACTCAAAGAGCCAGCAAGCTTTTTTCCCCATCATTACCAGCATACTAAGGAAAGTTCTGTCCTAAGCATTCTAGCTTTATGAGGGGAGGCAAATTTGGCTTTGATCATGCTAAGGGAGGAGAGAGATAAGCCTTCATTCCCTCCACACCACTGATGGGGGCAAGCTTGGAGGCTTCTGCTCCTCCCACACACCTGTGGGCTCATCACCAGTGAAATCATAAGAGGGGCACCAGGATTTTCATACATCCCTGCTGGCACAGACAAAACTCTTCCTCCTACCTACATTACTTAGCAAACATGGAGGACAACAAAACAGGTAGTGGCGTTCATATCAGAAGGAACAGAGAACGTGCCATATGTGGAGCAGGCATTGTGGCAGATACAGAGCTGCTGGTTTAACCTGATTATTGGCCTGTTCTAGTATAGCTATTTATATTTGGGGATGGAAGGACAGCAACGTTTTCTGTGTTTACATGTGTTCCTAGAGCCGACTGTCAAATCTGAACATAGCCTTTCTATATTTGAAGAGGAATCCATAAAGGAGGAGGAGGAGGAGGAGGAGGAAGAGGAGGATGCGCTCTCAGTTAGGTCATCACTTCTGTTAGACTTTAGTTCAGGACGAGAGGAAATCCTACCACCTTATATAGAAGGCTTGTGGACCTATGCATGTGATTTGATGAGAGGAAACAATGTGAGCTGCCTAGCTTGGAACAAAGTGAATCCTGTAAGTGACCTCTAAACACTTGGGGAAAATGCAAAAAATTGTTCTTTGCACTGTCAAAATTAAGTATCACTTTAGGAGTAGAATTTCTAAGCTTGTCAAAGCTGCATTTGCAAAGAGACTCTATTATTATTATTATTATTATTATTATTATTATTATTATTATTAATATTACTGAAATTAATATACCACAGAAAAAAAGGCTGGCTTGTGTTTAGCCTGTCCCTCAAGATCATCTCCTGCGTTTCTCTGTCATGCATTTATTGGGAATGCTTGCCCACATTTGGAGAGTGACCAGTCTTTTGTTTGTTTGAAAGATGGGCTTTTCATTTTTCTCACAAAAGGTAGCCTACTTGCAAACATGCTGTTGGCCAGACCTTCCTGATCACAGCAGTTTAAACTGTTCTGTGGTAGCTTCATGACATCACAGTAGCTTAACTAATCACTGCCAGTTTTCAGCAGCATCAAATCCTTTAGCACTTAACAATATACGTACACTTGGACAGCAATAATGATAGCGGCAATAGATAGGTGAATGGAAGAAGGAGCCAGCTGTTAAAGGTTGCAGCAGGGGGCAGAAACACTCCTATGAGCTGTGAACAGTCTTGCTACTGACGCTGCTCTGGATCCATAATGAGCAGCTTTTCACTCCAAATTAAATAGAGCCTCAAAGGCCATACACATAGCCATCTCAATGGTTGCTGTGGCTTGGTAGTGTAATCATGTGTTGTTGGTTTTTAGGATCTACTGGCTGTTGGTTATGGACAGTTTCGTTTTAAAGAGCAGAAGAAAGGCTTGGCTTGCTGCTGGTCACTGAAGAACCCAACGGTAACACAATACTTGGGCTATTCCTCTTGATTTTGGTCAATTTGATATTATTTACTGATAAGATACAACGGCGATGTAGCAACAAAGTTCTTTTTTACTCTTCCTTAGGCCCATGAGGCCTTCAGATTTGCTTCCCCGTTAAGACCACAAATAGCTCATTTATACCCTATCCTTATCTTAAGATATAAAGCAATCTTATAATCTAACCACCCAGTCCTAAGCTTACTTGTATGTAAGATCCCCTGAGTTGACTTCCTCCCACATACAGTATGCATAAGCATCACTAAGCCATATTATAAATGCTATAGTAAAGAAAACATGCCAACCTTGAACCATATATTACAAAAAAGTAATCAGAAATGTAAAATCTCCATTTGTACCTGCTGATTACAACAGATGGATAAAGTTCCATTTTGTTTTATTTTAATTTATGTTATTTGACAGGAATTATATATCATTTAATCATCAAAACCTATAAGCAGTTTACTTAAAATGCATTTTTGTGGCATTCTTCCCTTCCTTTTCTGTAACGAATAATGTAAGGTAGCTTTAGTGTTCAATAACTGAATTTCAGAATTTTAAAGTATCTTCTTTCTTATCAGTTGCTAGCAATTATGGGATTAATTCAGTGTCCCACTCTTCTTATTGTTCTGTCAGCAGAAGCATTTCCACTTGCCAGATGAACTGACAACCTTCCTCTGCAAACTGTTCTGAGGGTACTCCCAACTCTCCAGAGTGGATTAGGGGGAGACAGCAGGGCTCATGGGGTCAGGAGAGGGCAGAAAGCCCCATTGTGCTGGCTCTAGTGCACTGGGTTAGTTGAATCCAGTCCAATATTTTTTCTTTTTTAAACAAAATTCTAATCTACATGCGAAGAAGATACACTCAGCAACATTGAAGGTGTTTCAGAAATGCACCTTAAAAGGAAGCAAAATTGAATCACAGCTAATCAGACCCTCCCTCCTGAATTTTAAATAATTTCTGGGGTCCCTGATTGTTTATAAAGTGTGAATGCTCTCTTAGTTAATACAGATTTGATTTTCCAGTGGCCAGAGCGTGTCTATCAATCTCATCATGGAGTAACTGCATTGGATTTCTCTCTAGCCAATCCAAACCTCTTAGCAGTTGGATTGTACAATGGGACAATTGCAGTCTACAATGTCCAGACCCATCATACAACTTCAGTTTTAGATACCAGGTAAGTCTTGTGGAGGCACCTCCACACATTGTTCATTACATTGCAAAGTATATTGTTTGTCTGGATCTAAACACACACACATCTCCAAATCCCACCTCTGTTTGGCTTTGACTATTCTGAAAAACTGGAGGATTAATTGGTTGTACTGTATTACACTCTCCCCACCTCTATGACAAGTTTCAGGCATATTTTCATTACCTGCATGTGTTGCTTCCTATATGTACTTGCATTCCCACCTCCAACTCCTGCAATCAGACATACTTGGAAGTCCAGAGAGGCCCAGTTCACTTCCAACTTTTGAGGCGCCTAGCCAGAATATTAATCTCTTGTTTCAGCGAATCTTGTTGGTATTAATCTCTTGTTTCAGCGAATCTTACGATAAACATTTGGGCCCTGTGTGGCAGCTGAGGTGGGTTGAGCAGGACAGGGGAATAACAGGAGAAGACAAAGGGGAGATACTAGTCTCCATATCAGCAGACGGCAGAGTGACTAAGTGGTTTGTTCGGAAAGGATTAAGCTGCAATGGTAAGCGTTGTCACCTTACTCCAAACATTCTGGAATTACTTAAATGGGGTGTGTGTGTGTGGGTTCCCCTAACCTTTCTTATGTTCTTGTCTTTTTAATATTATTGCCAGATACTTTGGCTGCTACATGTTGAAAGGTGGGATAAAATAATAACAATTCAGTAAGTAATTAAGTTAGGGAATAATAAAGACACTCCAGGTTATACAGCACAGAGAATTACACATAAGGGCTGTGATGCCATTGAGTGCACAAAGAACTAGGGCTATTTGCACACAGCCCTCTTTAAAAAAAGTTGAAATCCCATTGGCCAGCTGCTTGGTGGGGAAAGAGGTTAATAATTCCAGTTTACTGCCTCCCCTTCCAAACAACTGATTGGCAAGATTTGGGCCTCTTTTAAAAAGGCCTATATGTACAGTTCCAGTTGCTGGATTTGGAAAGGTAAGCAGGAAGCATCTGTTTGCGGATTCACCTTCTGATTAGTGATACATGTACAGAAATCTGTTTCCATGTTCACACAGGCCGTGCTGTGGATGCGAGGGGTTCACTGGTTTACTATAGGGGTTTACTATAGGTAATCAGAGATGAAATAAATAAAGCCGTTTCTTATACTAGCTCCAATAATCGACAAGGAGAGTTTGTAATGGCCATGTGTTGTGTAGAAGAGAAACAGTCCCTATAGCCCTCATAGTGAAACAGGAGGTCTCACCATCTATATGCATTTGTTTCTCAACTCAGATCTGATGAAACTCAAGCGAACAGCAAGTGACAAGAAAAAGGGAGGGGCAGAAAAGAAAAGTGAAGCACTCATATCTCGACAAGCTCCAGGATTATCCTTTGATTTCCATCCAAAGGTATCCTAATCTTTTATGATGTTTTCTGAATGTTTTGTCCACAGAGGTCAAAGTGATAATTTAGCTGAAGACAATGGATAGCAAGCAATGGAGGTCCGCTTGTTCCTCCTACTCATTGGTTGTTTCTGAACAAGTTTTATAGTTTAGCATGTTAGATTGACATAAAGAGCAGAGAATCTCTATTTTGGACATCTTTCCAAAGACTGAAGAGATTTTATAACCCATCCAACGCTAAAAAATGTAGTAGTAGCCTCTCCTAGTATTTCCAGGGAACTAGATGGAGGGCTCCCATCAAACTAAATGAGGATTGTAGCTCTGAGCTGGTAGAATCAGCCACACTTTTGACAAGGCTGGGTGCAGCGCCACTCTCTATCAAAACCCAATTCTGCTTAATCTACCTTCAAAGGAAAAGGAGAGGAGATACAAGCATACTCCAGGGGCAGGGAGCGTTAACATGGTCAAGAAATGGCTAAACTGGAGGTGGCATCACAATGTCATATTTCCCCTCTGCATGCACTGTCTTCCGAACATGTGACACATGCAACTCTTTCATGCATTATTATGTTTTGTTGGATATTGTTTGTTGGATGTCTGCTCTATTCCTGGACACGTGGTTAGTTGGGACTTCTGGCTCAAGCCTTTGAGAATTCCATTACATTGGACTCTACTTTACCAGGAAAGAAGAGAAGCAAGCCTGACAATTTGCTGCAGTGAAGATTCTAAAGAATATGCCCAATCTGGATAAAGTCAAAGCCATTTACAGTAATTTGGTTTTATTTCAGGACACTAATATATACTTGGTTGGAACTGAGGAAGGTTTTATTCACAAATGCTCTTGTTCTTACAATGAGCAGTACTTGGAGACCTACAGGGGACACAAAGTGAGTAAACATAAATAAAATTGGGTTGAATAAGTAGATGCACAGATACTCACACACTGTCTTTAGTACCCTTTACACCAGTGATGGGGAACCTGTGGCCCTCCACATGTGGCTGGACTACAACCCCTATAATTCCTGACCAATGGCCATACTGGCTGGGGCTGATGGGAGTTGTACTCCAGCTATTCATACCTGGAGGGCCACACAGGCTCCTAGCCCTACTTCACATATTCTTCTGACAGGATTCTTCAGGTACCAATCAAATTTTCTGTGTTGGGGAAATCAATGACTAATGAACCACATACTTTAATAATACTTTCTTGAATACTGCATAGTTTAGAAGGTTTCTCAACCAGACTAGGCCAGATGACTTTGGACCAACCATTTAAAATCAGTTATCTTCTAGGTCATTATACAAACTGGAATGCCAGGTTGTTGACTATAAACTGAGCAGGTCCTGCCCTGATGCAAGATAAGGCAGCCACCTCAAGCAGCTGCTTGTGGGTGACAAGTGATAATGCACTTAGAAGTTCTCTGCCCCGCTGAAATGAACAGGAGGAACCTTGGCTTCAAGTGGCAGCCAAGACTCACAGATACAGAGGTGTCTTTCAAAGCCATGCTACCCATACCACTGGTAGGGGACTGAGGCCTGGTCCCTAACATCACATCTGACATTGGTAGCCTGGAACCATCAAGCACCTCCTGAGCCTAGTGCCTCTGAAATATTGAGCCCCACAATACCAGATGCCCCTTATTGCCATCAGTGGTCAGGAAGTCAAACAGAGGCAACTGCTTGGCTCCAGGCTTATAGGCTACCCCTTTAAGGCTTTTCTCCTCTCAAGAAAGGGTTGGAATCTGGGAGAAGGTCAGGGCTGAAAAGGAGATAAAGGGCCTTGGATGGAACTGAAAGTCCCTTGGAGAAAGCTGCTATTCAAGTGATCTGTCCAAGGTGCTGCAAGCCTGCTGTATCTGACCCTCCTTATCCTCTCCCAGACCTGCTTCCACACGTCCTGCCTCACACTCTTGTGTAGGTGAAGTTAACAGCTGCTCTAGATTCCCAGGATTCTGACCACCATACCAGATTGTCTCCCCTGCAACCATTTTTTCTCTCAAGCAGCCCAGTCTGTTGCATTCCTTACCATATTTGGGTTCTGTCTTCCTAAAGACAAGAGGAAGAGCATAGTACAACTCCCATTGTTAGGACGGCAATCCGATGGCATTGTGTCCCTCATTAATAGCAGGATGGGTTGCCCTTTGAACTAGTGTGTCTCGGAACACCTCTGCAAACTTCCTTGACAGATATGAACTCAAAATGCTATCATATAAATTTAAACATGCAGAGAAACCAAAGGAGGAAGCTTACATACATGTGAGGCACCAAGCAGAGCCAGGGCTCCCTTCAGTTTTCAAGAACCCTCTAGCAGGGCCTAACTGCCATTCTGCTTGTCTTTTTTAGCTAGCACAGCTACTGTGGTACAAACTGTAAAAGAGGCTTCAGCTATGCATGGGTCTCCCCTGAGTGTATGAATTCAGCATCTCCTTTGGATTCAGGCCAATCTGCTTAACCTAGCTAAAGCTGTGCCATCCATCACATACTGCTTAGAGAAGTTCAGTGTCTCCCAAAATCTTGTTGGGCTTCAGCGCTGTGGTGCTGCATGCTTCTGCGCTAATATTTGCATATGTATGTGTGTGTAAAATTTAGCAATTACTCTTTCTCTCTCTATTTCAAGGGCCCAGTGTACAAGATAGCATGGAATCCATTCAGTACAGAAGTGTTTCTAAGTTGTTCTGCAGACTGGAGTATTATATTGTGGCGCGAGGATTCAGTTCGTCCTGTTTTGACTTTCAGTTCCACTGCCAATGTTATTTATGACATAGTGTGGTCTCCCAATTCAGCATATGTGTTTGCAGCAGCGAACGAAACCAGGGTGGAAATCTGGGATCTTAGTGTCAGCACGTAAGAATCAGCCATTTTCTTAAAAGCAATTTATACATCTATCTATCTAAAAAGGTACTGTATCCAGTTACTCTTGAACAAAGTAAACACAGCGTATCATACATGGAATGCATTACAAAATATGAGATCTTCTGCCATTGTATATATTTCCTATTTGCTAAGCAGCTATGTATCAATGGGAGAAACACTTGCACCCAATTCCTTAAAACCCAATTGGAAGGAGCTCTATGGATATTGTTTTTCTCCCCAGAGCTCAACGTTTCTTTCCAGGGGCCTAATCAGAGACTATACTTAGTGGAATGGAGCAATGGTACAGGGCAGAACCAATGCTGCAGGTTCAAACAGCTATCTAAGGTTATACAATATGTAGCTTCCTAACTTTAATGGTGTTATATACATCAGCATTACTAGCAGGAATAATTAAGGTAGTGTGGTGGAGGAAAGTAACTTGTGAGGCAGACAAGCAAGCAAGCAAACAGCAAACAATAGTAGTAGTTGTGGTAGTAACATATCTCACAATGGGATGTCCCACAGAGCTCTGCAGCCATCAGTTTTATACTGTATGCCATTGTTTTGCATGTAGCCTGGATCCCCTGATTGTGCATCCTGCCACTGGAACTGTGAAATTCACGGCTGTGCTTTTTGCCAAAAACGCAGATTGCCTTCTAATTGGCGACAGTGAAGGATCAGTCACCGTGTACGCACTAAGAAATATGATCCCTTCAGACAGGAAGAAGGTACGTTCTGCAGCATTAAAAGCTGAAGTAGCCTACCCCAACCGGGGGCCCTTCTAACACCTGAGCCCCACTGTTGATTCACATGTGTGTAGTGCGTTAATCAGTGTCCCTATGTTAATCAGCTGGACTATGCTCTGTTTAGGTAGGCTTGCCATACGTCAGGAGAATTCCTGACATGTCCTGGTTTTGGGGTGTAAAAATGGAGTTGGGGGGGGAATTTGGGGTCACTCCCAATTCTGATGGGAACAACTTTGTGGGTGTCAGGAATTTTACTTTTTGAAATACAGCGACCCTAGTTTAGGTGCTGCGACTATGCCACAGCGTTCTACTACAAATGCCTCACTATACATATTCAAGTTATGAGTGCTGGGAATGGAATAGCAATAGGATGGGACCATCCACGAATGAGGTCAGAACATAGCTTGCCAAACAGCGGTGTTTCTGCCTAATAAGTCAAAGGCATGTTAGCAAAGCAGCCTGCAGAAGGACTAGCCATTCATGAAAGGCGCTGCTGCTTAAACTTATGTTCAGCTGCATTCATGTGCAGAAGACGGCGTAAGTGGCTTATTTTATTCCTCAGCGCACCAGTAACATCTTTATAAACCACACAAGCCCAGCTTTATGATGTAGATGCAACTTTGGTAATGGTGAAAATTGTTTGCAAATTATGAGACCACGCGAGTATAGGGAGTATATAAATTCTAATTCTAATAATATAAGGTTTTAGTTATAATAAGGCTTTTTCCATCCAGAACTTGTTAGATTGACTACACTCAGAAAAGACCTAATGCAAACTCTTCCTACTTTTTTACCACTTGCTTTCGAATGATCAGGTTTGTTAATGTATATATCTACCTCTTTTTTGTCTTTTTCAGGTGGATGCTTTGCATGATATGATTGGCTCTGTTCTAACCAGTCCAGTGTAGATTTTTTACAGCAATATTCCATGAAAAAAGGACACAATATTTAATTCCTAGCAGTTAATTATGCAACAACCAACCATTAAGTGTGTGTGAGTTTATATATGGGAATAAATTTGTTGGGAATCATTTGAAATGCCACAGATGTTTGCTTGGAAAGTCCCAGTCTTTACAAACACTGCTAAAGTGAGATAATCAATCCTTGCTACCAATGTAGTATAGTAAAACAATGTGCTGAAGACTCTCCAGGAGGCAGAAGCTAAAGCTGCATTATATGCTCTGGCAAGAAAATGCTTTTGTAAATACTATAGACACCTACATAGCATTTCAGAAGTTATTGGAAAAAAATGGATTATTTGGGCAGGAGAAAAGGCCTCCAGATTATGTCCCAGCATCTAAACTTTGCAAATCCCGTTTCCTGACTCAAAAGTCTTGCATTTAAATACTATTGCTTCCTTTGCAAATACAGTGGAACTTTGGTTTTCGAGCGTTTTGGAAGCTGAATGTTTTTGGTTTTTGAACGCTGAAAACCTGGAAGTAATTGCTTCCATTTTTGAATACACCTCAGAAGTCAAACAGCTTTCGTGGCACGTTTCTCAATTTTCTCCATTGAAATTGCCAACCGCCCATTGTGCCTCAGTTGTCGAACGTTTTGGAAGCTGAATGGTCTTCTGGAACGGATTACTTTCGACAACCGAGGTTCCACTGTACAGTCCAGGAGAGCTGCCACACATGGGCATTATATTTAACTACAGTAATGTCAGGGAACTGCCATCGGACGGAAGGGAGGTGAAAGGGCTCACACAGGTTGGGAGAGACGCAGCAGCTGAAGAGGAAACCAACAGGGAGGTGAAAGGGCTCACACAGGTTGGGAGAGACGCAGCAGCTGATGAGGGAACCAGCAGGGGGGAGAGGAGCTGAGCTGGAGGGATGGCTCAGAGACACTTCCAGCGAAAACAGTGGAGAGGTTTCAGAACCTCCTGTAAGAACACCCACTCCTCGCCGGAAACTGTCACGCAGAGATTCCAGAAGACGTGTTTCCGTTAAGGAGCTTTTATGTTGGAAGCGATTACGAAAGCAACCACTGTCGGAATCTGCTAGTGACTAGAGTAGCCATGTCTGAGGGGCTCTGTCACAGACAGAGGTTTGTGGACTTGAACAAACTCTGAGGGGATACGATTTTACGCACAAGCAGCTCATCATCCCATCACAGCATTCCGACAGTCTTTGAAAGCAGCTTGTGCAACTAGAGTAGCCATGTCTGAGGGGCTCTGTCACAGACAGAGGTTTGTGGACTTGAACAAACTCTGAGGGGATACGATTTTACGCACAAGCAGCTCATCATCCCATCACAGCATTCCGACAGTCTTTGAAAGCAGCTTGTGCAGGAGAAGGCATCATGAGCAACCCAGCCGGAACCGGAGAAGCAGGAGCTGGAGCGGGTCCAAGCCTGGAAGAAAGGTACCAGATGTTGGAGGTCCAGCTAGCGATGCAGACGGCGAGGCTTGAGGAGAGGAGGGCTCAGGATGCAGACTAAAGGGGAAAGCCACCCAGTTCGCCAGAAAGGTACCAGGATTGGTGCAGAAGTTTGGGGGAGCCCAAAACTATCATGGTTTTCGGACAGAAATGCAATATGCCCTCAATCTGCAGTTTGATGAATTCCTGACGAGGAATCACGAGTGGCTTTCGTGATTGAGCATCTTGAAAAGGGGGCGAGAGACTGGGTTAGACCCCTGATGGCAGCGAATAGTGACGTCTTAAAGGACACGATGAAGTTCTTTCGCGCCATGGATCTGATGTTTTCCAGCGATATTGAAAAGGGAGTGGTGCGCAGACAGTTAATGGGTTGCAAACAGGGGAGCCGATCTGTCCGTGAGTACTGGACTGAGTTCACCATGCTTGTTCACAGATTGGGGTGGGACTTATCGGCGGAACCCATTCAAATGCTCTTTGAAGAAGGGCTTTCTTCGGCTGTGAAAGACGAACTTTCCCGGGCGCCCAGGGCGGAGTCTATGGACCAGCTGACCAAATCAGCGCTGGCCATAGGAGCGCGCCAGGAGGCGAGAGCATTGGAGAGGCGGGAAGGGAAAGGGGAACGTTGGAAGGAGTTCCGCATTCCAGACATTCCAGAGCCAACTTTCCCACCGGCAGAGCCGATGGAAATCGGAACAGGCGCGCGCGCGCAGTTTCAAAGCCCAGTGAGGGGGCAAAGAAGGAGGGAAAAGGCGCCCGGAAATGCTATCTCTGCCAACAGCCAGGTCACTTTGCCAGAGTCTGCCCCCAGAGGAAAGAATGGCAAGGGATGGTAGGAGCTGTGGATGGAAGAGAGGAAAATATACCGGAGCAAGTAGAGCCAACGCCTGGCTGCCACTGTCAGGGCACAGCAGCCAGGCCAAAGAGCAGTGAGAGTGCCCACGCCAGAACCTCCTAAACCCGCCCTAGTGATAGAAGTGACGCTAGAGCTGCCAAACGGACACCCTCTAAAGATAAAGGCGCTGTTGGACTCAGGCAGCTCCTGCAATTTCATGAGCAAAGAGTTTGCAGCTGAACACCAGATACAGACAATCCTTTAAGCAGCCCCCTGCAGGTGACCACGATCGATGGCAGGGAGCTGTTGGGTGGAGAAGTCAGCTTGCAGACCGTCCCAATGATAATGAAGGTAGCAAGGCACACCGAACTGATAGCTTTTAATGTGGCCACCTTGGGAGGAGCTCCCATTATATTGGGGATGAGCTGGCTAGCGTTACATGATCCGCTGGTGGGCTGGCATCAGAGAGTGGTTTCTTTTGGTTCAGCACATTGCTTAGAACACTGCAAAGAGGGAAAGGGTTTGGCAGGGGTCCAAGCCACCCTAGCAGGGACTGAAGTAACAGAGAACGTGAAGGTACCACGACAATATGCAGATCTCCGTGACGTCTTCAGCGAAAGGGAAGCTGACCAACTACCCCCGCATAGACCCTTTGACTGTCAAATCAACTTACTCCCTGGAGCACAGCTCCCTGTAGGCAAGCTGTACGCCATGTCAGACAGAGAGATGCAGGAGTTAAGAGAGTTCATTGACAAGAACCTGAAGAGAGGGTTCATCAGAGAGTCCAGGGCGGTGGGGGCAGCCCAGTGTTTTTGTGGATAAGAAAACACGAACAAGCCGAGGCTGGTGTGTGACTTCAGGGCCTTAAATGCAGTGTCAGAACCAGTAGCCTTCCCTATGCCCAGGATTGACGACATTTTGACAAGGGTGCGGAAGGGAAAGATTTTCACAAAGCTGGACCTAAGGGGGGCGTACAACCTGGTACGAATAAGGAAGGGGGATGAATGGAAAACCACTATGTTCACCCCTTTAGGGGCATTTGAATATTTGGTTATGCCCTTCGGCCTACAAGCAGGCTCCGCAACATTTCAATCGTTTATGAACCACGTCCTGGGGCCTTTGCTTTACAAGAATTGTGTGGCCTTTTAGACGACGTGTTGGTGTATTCTGAGAATGAGGAGCAGCATGTGAGAGACGTCAGAGAAGTGTTGAGCAGGCTGCAAGCCAACCAGCTGTGGGTGAAACTGGAGAAGTGTCAGTTTCATACCAAGGAGGTGGAATTCCTGGGGTATCGCCTGTCAGACAAGGGATTGGCCATGGATCCCGGCAAGGTCCAGGCGGTGCTGGAATGGAAAACACCCAAAACAAAGAAGGATGTGCAGAGGTTCCTAGGATTTGGGAACTTCTATCGTAAGTTCATCCGAAACTTTGCCCACCTGACGGCGCCCATTACGGACTGTCTCAGCAGTAAGAAGAAGTTCGTGTGGACTGAGGAGGCGGAGCGAGCATTTGAGGAACTAAAAAGGGCCTTCGCCTCGGAACAACAACTCCTGCATGTGGATTTACAAAAACCGATGAGAGTGGAAACTGACGCATCAGACAGAGCGATTGGGGCGGTGCTTCTGCAGCCAGGCAAGAAGGGGTCAGAGTGGAGACCGTGTGCCTTTTTTCGCGAAAGCTGAACAAATCCGAGAGGAACTACACGGTGTATGACCGAGAACTACTAGCCATTCATGAGGCGTTCCGGAGATGGAGGCACCTGCTAATTGGCGCACAACATAAGGTGCAAGTGTGCACTGACCACAAGAACCTAGAGTATTGGAGGACGGCACGAGTGCTCAACCAACGGCAAGTGAGATGGGCCCAGGAGTTCTCCAAATTTAACTTTGAGATTAGTTACGTGCCAGGCCCAGAGAACATTAGGGCGGACGCTCTCTCACGCAAACCTGAATATTTGGAGGGGGAGGGGGCACCCGAAGAGAGACATGTCATTCCAGAAGACCGCTGGGTGTGTGGGGCGGCATTGGTGGGACAAAGAGAACTGGTAGAGGAAACAGAGAATGATGAATACGCCCAGAATAAGCTCAGAGGTCTTAGGGGTGATGGAGAGGAACCAGGGGGTTTCGAGGAAAGAAATGGAGCTTTGTATTACAAAGGGGCACTGTATATCCCTGAAGGAGAGTTAAGGGGAGGGTACTCAAGCAGTTGCACGACAGCCCTACGGCGGGGCATTTTGGACAACACAAAACCATGTGGTTGGTCACCAGGGAATTTTGGTGGCCTAAGGTGAGGGAAGATGTACGTGAGTATGTAAGAGGGTGCGAGCAATGCCAGCGAGCCAAAGGGGAAAGGCGGGCGCCGGCGGGGCTATTAGAACCCTTACCAACCCCAGAACGACCTTGGGAGGCAGTGTCGATAGATTTTATGACTGATCTGCCGAAGTCCAAAGGGAAAACAGCCATCATGGTGGTGGTAGACCTACTAACAAAGATGTGCCACTTTGTAGCTTGCTCGCATGCAGTCACGGCGGAAGAGACAGCGAAGTTATTTGTAGAAAACATTTTTAGGTTGCACGGGGTGCCATTGAGGGTGGTCTCAGACCGAGGAAAACAATTTACTTCCAGGTTCTGGAGGAAGCTCATGAGCTTACTGCAGGTGGAGGTCAATTTTTCGACTGCCCGGCACCCTGAAACCAACGGGCAGGCGGAAAGAGCAAACGGTGTCCTCCAGCAATACCTGAGGTGTTATGTCAATGACAGAGAGAATGACTGGGTAGAAAAGTTGGCGCTGGCGGAATTTGCCTACAACAATGCCGAGAATGTGTCCACAGGGATGAGCCCCTTCTTGGCTAATTATGGGTGTCATCCCAGGGCTTTCCCAGGGGGAGAGGGGGAGAGATGGAGCGTCCCGGCAGCCGAGCATTTTGTGGAAGAAATGGAAGCAATCCATCGTCAGCTCCAACTCAACTTAGAAAGGGCGAAGGAAGAATACAAGAGGCAGGCAGACAAGAACCGAAGGGAAGGTGAAACCATAAGGGTGGGAGATAGGGTGTGGCTGTCAACCCAAGGGCTGCCGTTCAAAGGAGGTTGTAAGAAATTAAGACCCAGGAGGTTGGGTCCCTTTGAGGTCATTCAACAGGTCAACCCAGTGGCTTTCAGGCTCCGGTTACCCAACCACATGAAACTGCACCCAGTATTTCACAGGTCGTTACTGTCACCGTACGAAGGGGGACGAGAAGGGCTGGCCACTCGGGACCGGTCGTAGAAGAAAGAGAATGCAGCAGCCATGTGGCAGAAATCCTCGACGCCAGGTGGAAGGGGGATCAGGTGGAGTATTTGGTAGCGTGGGAAGGAGAACCGGAGTCAGAAAACACTTGGGTAATGGCTGAAGATATCAATGACGAGGTATTGATAGAAACGTTCCATCAAAGGTTCCCAAGGAAACCTCAGCCTGTGGAGAGGTTCCGGAGGGAATACTTTGGGACCACTGATGAAGGGGAGGAGTTGGAAGGATTCCCGGACTCGGAAGGGGAAGGGGAGATGGACTCTGAGGAGGAGGTGTACTTCGAGACCAGGAACCGCAACAGGTTGAGAGAAGTGTTCGAGACATCGGAAGATGAAGGAAGTTCATTCGGGGGTTTTGCCTCCTCGCCGCCCGTAGAGGCGGGGGCGAGAGGGGGTGACGGGGGCCGTGGGGGGGCGGTGGATGTCAGGGAACTGCCATCGGACGGAAGGGAGGTGAAAGGGCTCACACAGGTTGGGAGAGACGCAGCAGCTGAAGAGGGAACCAACAGGGAGGTGAAAGGGCTCACACAGGTTGGGAGAGACGCAGCAGCTGAAGAGGGAACCAGCAGGGGGAGAGGAGCTGAGCTGGAGGGATGGCTCAGAGACACTTCCAGCGAAAACAGTGGGGAGGTTTCAGGACCTCCTGTAAGAACACCCACTCCTCGCCGGAAACTGTCACGCAGAGATTCCAGAAGACGTGTTTCCGTTAAGGAGCTTTTATGTTGGAAGCGATTACGAAAGCAACCACTGTCGGAATCTGCTAGTGACTAGAGTAGCCATGTCTGAGGGGCTCCGTCACAGACAGAGGTTTGTGGACTTGAACAAACTCTGAGGGGATACGATTTT